GAAATACACACATACCAATATATACACATATGGTATATCTTGCGGGAAAATGAAAAGGGTGGACCAAAAGCGAGTCGACACTCATTGGGTAACCAGCTGACCCCCAGTGCAAAACCCGTTCCCTCCTCCCCGCCGAAACTAACGACTTAACCCGGCCCCAAGTTCCATTTAAGCACATTAGCGCTGATTATAACGGCGTTTACATCACACAGCCACAGCAGCGGCAACATTTTTGAGGGTTGCTGCTGACGAGCGACGATGGCAGCGAAAAGGTGCAAAGTTGAGCGGGGCGCACATGGCGTATGCGTAATCCGTTCGAGTAAATATTCAACGCGCAGCGAAGCGAACAAGAAACAAAAAACAAAAAAACAAGAAACAAGAAACGAGAAACTCTGCCATTATAAAAATCAGACGAAAAAAGAAATCCTGCAAATTGTGAAATTAAATTGGGCAGAGAGCTTTAAAATCGAAATCCAAACAAAATGCCAATTGCGGTTGAAAAGATGGAAGTGGAGGCGAATTAGGGAAATTAAACCAAACACCCACAAAAAATTTGTTTAATTTGTGCTGCACAAATTAGCTTCAACGCAACAAAGTGTTGAAACTTTTAGTTCGTTTTCAATAACCAATACACTTCAATGCAAAATTGTGTAAATGTTTACGATTACTCGTTGAAATAAAAATTTCAGACATAAAAGACTAAAACATTTCTTTAAACAAATGCCATTTTTATGCTGAAATCTATTAAAATGCTGCATGAATGGGATTAAGCCTTTATAAATCTTTACAGCTGCCAAAAAACAAGAGCATTTGGTTTCTATTTCTGAAAGATATTATTAAATCGGAAAATGATTTTCCCTAGTTTCTTCCTATTAAGTTGGCTTAGCCAAAACAAAAACATTTCCAAAATTCAATTATTTTCCAAAAGGTTGCAACCAAACTGATATCGTGTCTTGGAAAATAAAAAGCCCATTAAATAAACTATTAGAACCATTTTAATTGAAATCAAGGTACCCCCCGAAATTGATTACAATTTGATCTGGATATTTATAGATCTGGTAGCTGGTAGAACTAGGAATTTTCGTTCGCAATCAAACGCAATTGCAAGCATAAAATATTAACCGAATTCAGCAAATTGATTACAATTCGTTCCGCGTATTTATGGATCAGTGCGAGATAGGAATTTTCATTTGCTGTCGAACGCAATCATAATCATAAAATATTAACCGAATTCCATTTGCAGGAAATGCTTCGCTTGTTTCGTAATTGTTGGCAATCTGGGGAAACTCATGCCACTCAATCGCTCCAATCGAAATAGAAAACGCAAGCACAGGGTTAAAATGGGAATGGGAATGGGAAAAAGCGAACGATGCTTTCTTGAGTTTTTCCCTTTGACCCGTAGAGCATTTCGCTTTCCAACTCATTTCGTAGAACAAATCGAATCAAATCAAATTTGTGCAACTTTCGGCATTCACTGTGGCCATTGGAGCGATCTATTGTATATGTTTGTGCGTTGCCTTGGCGAATTCACGAAATGCACATGGAAAATACAGTACAGTCGCGTGTTCTTTCTACTTCAGTGCGTACCACGTTGCGTATGCGCGCTATTTATAAAAATCAATTTCTGCCTTGGCAGCAGAAGCAGCAAAGAGAAGCAAAGAACGAACTCAAGCCCAAGAAACAGCGACAACATCGCCGTCCCGAATGGCAAACAAACAGAAAACAAACAACGCTGCGAAATAAATAAATAAGACTGTTTAAAGCACGGCAACAACAACAAAAAACAACCAAACAACAAAATAACAGAACAACAAAACAACTGACGAATGGCGAATAAAATCCCGAAGAGGTAAAGGCCGAGCGATTTAGTAGTAGGAAGTTGCCTTGGCTAACTTTCCTTTGTTTGGTTTCATCCACACCATCAATTCCCCATCTGCAACCTCTTCTGTCGTCGCATTCTGGCCATGTGGATGTGGGATTTGGCCGAATACGAAATCTACTTATTGCAAATGATTTTATGTTCATTTCGGGGGTCTTACATGCGAGTGAAACACTCCGTACTTAAGGTAAAAGCAAGTATATGTAAAAATAGTTTCCTTTGGTTATTATCATTTTGATACCCGAATAATATTTTGAGACCCTAATAAAGGATTTATTAATTATAAAACATTGTTTATCCTAGAAACAATTTATAAAAATTGCAATATATATATTTTGAAATTCAAAATAAATTTTGAATAAATGCACAAACTTATACCTCAGCAGTTTAGAATAAAATACATATATTTCCAAGAGTAAATTTCAAAATAAAATTACCCTACTGATTTGTACCTTTTGATTACAAGCCATGCATATGTTGACCTAATGATTCATATTACCATTGAAATACACACGAAGCGATTCGGAATGATTACCATAAGAACATGTCCCCCTTGGGGCATCAGTTTTTCCTCCATTTCCTTTCTTATCTGGCTCGTTTTCCCTTTTTTCTTGCCCTCGAATTTTGCCCGCGTGCCTTCGCAAAGAAACAAACAATGACAATCTGAAAAAGTTCTCGACGCGTGCAACAAAAAAGCAACAAAAAAGCAACAGCAAAAACAACAACAAAAAAGCAGCAACAACAACAAAAGAGCAAGGGAAGGCAGAAAGAATCTTATAAAATAAACATTTATTTTTAGCATATTGCTGCTTGTGCCTCCGTTGCTTTAGTTTAATTTTTTCGACTGTGCTGGCCTGGCCTGGCAAATTGGAAAATGGAAAACTCAAAAAAGCAAAAAGGCAAAGAGGGTGAAGGGGGACGGGGGACGGGGGAGGAGGGAGGGGGAAAGAGGAAGAGGAGGCCAGCATGGCGCTCGGCCAGCCATTGAAAATGCCATATACACACTGCCACTGCCACCGGCACTCTGCTCCCTCTTTTCGCATGTTCCTCCTCCCCTCCTCTTCTCCACTCCCCCTTTCTTTTCTTCCTCTACTTCTCCTGCTCCTCCCCTCCTCCTCCTTTCTCCACTCTCTTCCTCAGTAGGATCGATTTTGTAAGAAGCTCCCTCTGCTTACCCCAAACCCACCGCTGCTCTCCTCTCCTCTCTTCTCCTCTCCTCTACGCTCCTCTCCACTCCTCGCCTCTCCGTTCCTCTCCTCCCCTCTCTTCCTCACTTAGCCAACGAACGAACGAGCTGCCCACCGAAGTTCCACCAACTGCACTCATTTGGCTTGGCTTTGACTGGTCGTCGTCGTCGCCATCGCCTTTGGCTATTTATCGAGCGACATAACTGCAAAACTATAACAAGCCCAGGGATGCCGGCAAAACGAGAGCACCACTGGCAAAGGCACAGACACAAACACAGGCACAGACACACAAAAACAACTTTGACTGATCGACACGTAGAATTACCTCTAGCTGAGAATTCAATATTTTACAATTAAACTAGTTTACAACTCATAAAAAACACCCAAATCGGAAGAAATAGTAACCCAACTAAATTTTAATTTTATAATCAAACAATCATTTTAACAAATATCAATAATAAACTACTCATAAAATCTGAATGAAAACGACTAATAAAGCGACTTTTTTCTTTTCAGAAGAGTAAGATGTGCAAAACTTGAAGTACTGCACTTCTTAAGTGTACTGCATAGTACTTCTTAAGTACCTAAGTGGAATTCTGAAAATCTATGACTAATTTGAAACGGTTTGAGTGAGAATAGAAATAAATAATAAACAAACTTTAGTAAAAAATACAATTGTTTCATTATTTGAATTTGTTGTTTTCAACATAAATTTAAGACCATTTCAAAACCAGATTAAACTTATACTCCTAAATTTTTAGAATCGTTTTTACCCAAGCAAATAAGTTTTTATATAAAAATCAGGGACGTAACTCAATAAATTCGATGCGATTGGATGGTTTTCGAGATGGGGGATGCAGGCGGTGGCATTTACGTCGACGTATTGTTTTCTATATCTGCGAGTGCAAATTCCATTTTATTTACTTGGAGCTTTTGCTTAATTAGCGCCTCGTTATGATTGTGTCGTCGACGCTCGAACGAACGAAGGACAGTCAGACAGTCGGACGGTCGGACGGTCGGGCGAACGGAAGGCGGAAGCTTTTCCCAGTTGTTGTCACCCACCCAGCTCCCCACACCACCACCACCACCGCCACCAGTAAACCACCCAACCACCCACTGAAAACCCCCGGGCACCACTTACTTTGCGGCCGATTCATTTGTCTTATGGTTTGGCATTTTTCCACCGTGTCTTTGTTATTATGCCCTTGTAGACGGTATTATACTCTTAGCCTTATGTTCCTATGCATTCGGGGTGACATCTTTTGACCCTATGAATTATATAGACGCTTTTGATCTTCGCTAGTTAGTAATGCATTTATGTCTTTTCTACGAAAGTCATTTAAAAGCAATAAACCTATATGTTACCTATTATATCTTTTTGTATCAGCCTTACACCACTATATTTTAACGCTGTTATGATATAATAATAACTGTTTGTTAACATGAATTGTTTATTGAAAAAACCTTGTAATTTTATAGTTTTACTATACATTTTTCCTGAAACTGCTAGGGTATAAAAACTTCGACTTGTCAAATGTATCTATCTTTCGTGTTTTTCTTTGCCCGCTGTAAGCGTTTTTCCAACTTATCTTATCGCCAATAATTGGAAGAAACACATGCGTATATCTCGGTCGACCTTAAAAATAGCCATTCCATTTTGACAACAACAAGAAAAACAGCGACAGCGACAGCAACAACAAGTCAACGCAACGAGGAAGAACAAAGACATCGAAGAGCATACATGGCGTATGAGTAATGAGCGTTCCGTGGTTGAATTTCTTGTTTCGTACACATCGGTTCCCTTGATTCGATTCCATTTAACTGAGGGTCGTCGATTAACCCAATTTACTTTTGCCACTTGATTCACATGCTCGAACATCTCTTTCATGTTGAAATTTAAAGAGCTTTTAATAAATAAATAAGGAAAGGGAATGTATCGCTTCAATTAGTATTATTTATTTAAATTCTAAAACTAATAACAACTGAAATCAGTTTAAACTTTTATCATTATCTTCCACTTGACTTTGTTTTGTTATTTATCTCGTTTCGAACTTTTCAATAGTTGACAAATCGCAGGAGAACTTTTTTAATAAAGATAAGAATGCCTGAAAGTATTTCGTGGTAATTAAAGTACGATTAAAAAATGTCTGACTCACTCCCCCGAAATTTTCTACAAACTCAAGTATTGCATAACCAAATTCGCACCTCCTTTTTTTTCTCAGCTTATCTTCATCGAATCGTCCATAAAGTTTTCTTCCCTGGCAGTGTTTATACAATTGGACTGGCAACAATCCCTTTGGGCCGTCGCCCCCGCTACAATTGTTTAAACATTTGCGATGTCTGTTTGCTAATTAACAATCATAAGAAAAACATTGAGCGCAGGCACAGCAAAAGCACCAAGAAAAACAAGATCCGCCCTTTAAAAACGCTCCACATTCTCTCGGTTTTCGCCGCCAAAGTTTTTGTGGGTGGTGAGAAAAACAATATAAATTTTCATTTAATTTACATTTCGCCTTGAAATTTGAATTTTGGTGTCAGGAAATTAACGGTTTGCTTGGCTCTTCAGTTTTTATTGCCGACCTGGCAAACTTTTCGTTTCCAAACAACCAAACAAAAACAAAATAATGGTTTAGCACATCTGGATTGAGATTAGTGTTATGTAAAAAGTTCTGGAGATTTTCCATGAAATTTTAAATCCTACTCCCGTGTTATCTATAAAATAGTGAACTGCTAAGCTCTCTATCATTTATTTATAATTTTTTTTAAGGTTATCCTTCAGTCTGCAACTTTGACATGCACTTGCTGGCATTTTGTTTTGTTTTTCATTGAATTTTCACTTTTTGACGCTGTTTAATTTTTCAACATCATTCGGGACAGTTGAGGTGGGCAGTTGGTTGGGTTGGTTGTGGATGGTGTGGGTGTCGACGGCATTGAAGCTGTCCAACGCAGGTGTTTTCGCCCCTTTTTCCTCCCAGTGTGGCCATCGCACAAATTAATTGAATTTGTTTGAGTTACATTCGCTGAGGTGATGTGTTAAGTTTGGCATTTAAGGACACTTCAAATTGGGGAATACTTTAAGAGGAATCTTTAAACATTCATAGGAATTAAATTGTCAGATCCTTTCTTAATTTGTTCCCATTTGAATTTCAGAGAACCACTGACTGTTGGCCACATTTGGCAATGATTCCGGTTTTGGCCGGAAAGAAACCCGAGACATCTGCTTTTTTCCCCCATTTGTCGGGCCACGCCCTCTCATATCCGCCTTTTATGGGCATTTAGGGTGTATGTGTATAAGTGTGTGTGTGTGTGTGGTCGATCAAAGGTCAAGGCACATGGCAAATTTATATCGTCCCAACTTTTTCGGGGCTTAAAAATGAGTGGAGAAGTACCTCAAATTCGCTGGCAGCACGTGCAGCCATAGATGAGTTGTACTTCCAGCAGGTGAACCAAGATGATGGGGTGGCAATAAGCCACTCGAAAAGTTGAGCAATCGAGGTGGAGGCAAAACCAGTGCAAGGACAGCTGACAGCCGGCCAAAAATGCTGAAGGAAGCGTTGATTGAAACCGAAATTTCGACTGCAACTTGATGAGCTGCCGGTTGAAGTGAGAGAAACTTGCCGAAAGTGCGAAAATTAAGATGCTGGAATGAAGCTAGATTTGATTTCCTTTCGGAGAAAAGCCAAACAAGAATTGGTTATAATAAAAATGTTATAACCGACAGTATTTAGGTAACACGGCTCCCAAAGTGCCAATATAAAAACTAACATTTTGCAATATAAATAATCATAGATCATCCCAAGTTTCTTTACTTGCAGATACATTTTTATTTTATCTGATGTCCAACAATCACAGACAAATTTGCTTCTATTAAAATATATTATCTTTAGATAAACCTTTGCAAAAGGATTTTCCAAAAGCAAACGATCCATTTCCGCCGGTTTTCCCTAGAGTCCATAAGCCATGTTTTGCACATCGCCATCAGATTGCGACATTTAGCCCAGTTTACACCCTTAGCAACTCTTTCTTTGGAGAAAACTGTGTTGATTTATATTTTCATAGCTCTCTGGCTCATGAATTTCGCAACAAGAGGGAGGACGGGGTCGTCGTGTAATGCCAATAGGCATTAAAATTGCATGCACACAAAAGTATGCAATGGACACAGCGCCAACGAAAGGGTAAAGGGTTTTCGAAAATGTGTCAGCAATTATAACAACTGCAAAAGGAACTGACAAGCTCTTAGTTAAAAGATGAGACAGGCTAACAAACAGAGGGAACTGGAAGATAGTTCCATTATGGAAATACTTTGAATTTAAATACAAAAGTAAATACAAAGTTCAACTTGAGCTACGCACAAAACTAGGGTTCAAGATAGAACGGATTTATTATAAAGTTTAAGTTAAACAAATTCTAAAAATAGAAATAGTAAGCAATGTAAAAGTTTCCAAAGGGAAAACTCTTTTGATACAAAAGATACAATCAATAAAATATACAAAATACTTAAGCCCTTAAAATATTTCGCAATTGTCCCACAAGTTCTGAATATTTCTGCGCTATTCTTGAGCGACTTTCCCCCACATTCCATTCACACCTTGGGCCATAAATCGGTGGCCCGAAATTATGCCATTGCCCGCCTATTCCAAGCTCAAGGACCTCAGTCCCTTCAACCCCTTGAAGTATGCAACAGCCATTTGCAACTCCGACGAGCAGAGATGGCCGAACAATAAAAAACAACTTACAATGCTAAACAAGCGAATGGCGCCGCAAAATGGAAAGCGAAAATGAAGAAAAAAAAATAAACTAAGCCAAAAGGTCAAATGTATTATTAAGCTGCCGCTCTCTATGTGTTTGTATATATATATGTGTGTGTGTGTGTGAGTGTGTTTCTTGGGTGTGTTTCTCGGAAAGTAAACGAGAAATTGAAATTTTTTTTTTTGGGTCAAATGGTCAGGTTGTTCTAGCAAGAGGCCCCTTCCCCCTTCACTTCCCCCCTTCCATCCACCTGCTTTCAGCGGTGGTGACCTTCAAAATTTTGGCCGAGTATCCTGTTAAGCCCTCAAGTATCCTTTTAGCCAAGACCCACACACATGTGTACGTGTCATTAGATACAAATATTTTTTTTTTTTTTTTTTTTTTTTTTGCGCCACTGGCAATTCGTTTTCCCTTTTTCGCCCATTCTACTGTTTGCCGCTCGCTTTTTATTTGCCAAGTGCACGCAATGTGACAAAACGTGGGCGGTGGGTGGCTAGGTGGGTGGCTGGTGCTCAGGTGGGCGGAGTGGTTCAGGTGGGTGTTGAGCGACGACAACGGTGGCTTTGGACCCTGGTGAGAATTATAGTGTCACATTATATAACGTGCCATATACGTGTGTGCTCGTACAGAGAAACAAAAATAGATCCAGATGCACAGGGGAAATGGGGAGAGCGCGGCAACACCATAATTAAAACACTTGCAGTTGTGGTATTAACTGTAGCCTGTGGCTAACTGCCGCTTACTGCTGTTCTGCACTCTACACTGCGAGAAAAAACACGAATCGGGATTACCCAGCACTAAATTATTTGGATAAATCCTTCCATAACGCCAGGTGTGTGGTTAAGAGGGTATATTTATAGGTTAAAATAAGTACATATATACCTTTTAAATTAATACAATACAATACTGTATTGGTTACTTTAAATAAATTAACATTAGTCTTGATACATATTAAATTGTTCGTTGAAAACTAAATTCTTTTAGTTAAAACTGATTCATTTCATTAACTCACCTCAAGAAATCAGAATTAGTCTTCACCCGGAAAAATCTAATTGTGATATACAGTTTTCCCTATTTCAATAAATCCCACTCTGTATGAATATCATAAAGAGTTACATATCTGTAAATTACAAGCGTAATCTGCGAATCGGAAAAATAAAAAACACCTTAGGGACAAGTGTGGATTCGGACTTTGGTTTTACTGTGCTCAAGCATGCATGAAGCCAGCGCTCTGTTCTGTTGTTCTTTTTCTTCCGTTTTTTCAAATTAATGAACTAACTTTTGATGTCCACCCACCGCCCCCTTCTGATCACCCCGTACTTCCCCGTCTATTTCGCTGCGCTCTCTACTTACCAACTACACACTACATACATATATGCGATTATGGATGCAGGCCAACTTTTTTTGGTTGTTTCTTTGTTTGTTTTTTTTTTTTCGGTTTCTGTTTCGTTGGGTTTTCCACCCGGTGTTTATGACACTTGACTGGACTAGCGGTTAACACAATTAAACAAGTCGAGGGAGGTGGAAAAAGAAAACCGTCAGTTATTAAGAAATATATTTCATATACATAGAAATAAACTAAGAGGTTACTTTCAAAAACTTATTGAAACCAAACAGGTTTTCAATCATGCTTTGCAACTATGAAAATATTATAATATGATATAATTATTTTCTCATCTAACAATCTTACTCCATACAAAAACTAGCATGCTTATCTGATCAACTAATCAAAAACGCATATACTCCTAAAATAAAAAAATATATTTATAATTTACTAAATCATACCAATTGTTAAAAAAAAAAAAACAACCTCACAAATCACTTTTTAACCTGGAATAAATAGAACACTCAAATGACGTAGTAACTAGTACTTATTTATCTACCCTCGTTTGTACTTGCGTCAAAGGAAAAGCCGGTGCCGGATTTCAACTGAAGCAGCTCTCATTACCCACTATCCACTATCCACCATCCATCGCCTGAATCTAAGCCCGCCACCCGTATCTCGGTGCCCTCTGAATGTGCCAAAAGCCGATGGCGAAAGCTAATCAAAAACCACTTAAATGGAAACGGAGGCATTAGCAAACCTTTCCACCGATCGCCCAATTCAATACCAACCAACCAACCAACCAGCCAGCCAAGCCAAAAGCCCTTTGCTAACAGAATCAGAATCAGAATCACCCAGCACGCAATGGCATTTATCGCGAGTATTTGCTTTCGGGTCCTAAACCATTACTGCTAGGCTCTTCTCCTTTGCCGGATTGGAATTCTCTTCGCTATTATTATTATTATGCCTCGCTGATTGACTCAAGTGAAGGTTATGACATTCAAATTACATTTTCAATAAGCTTCGCGCGCTAATCAAACAAACTTGAAGAGATTCATTCCCAAGAACAAGAATAACCTATATCGACATCTAGATACCCATTATCTATAGTTGCCTCTCTTAAAAAAAGGGAGTATCAAGAAATTTAATGTTTCTTTTTGCAACTATAGTAAAATATTAAAAATTCTATGCTTCGAAAATGTTTATAAATTAAAATTACATTCAAACTCTAATGTGTTTAAGTTTCCTTTTATTGAACGGTTAATCTTCACATATAAAAATAACTTCTATAAAAAAGAATAGCTTTTACAAGAATCATCTCTCTCTTTGAAAAGAATAATCTGAATTAAAATGTTTTGATTCAGATGTAATGCTATTTCCATTCGAATCAGCATCTTATAAATCTTATAAATTTATACGAATGCTTTCTCAAACGCAAAGTATCTCAGTTTTTCGCAAAAACTACGGGGAATGTAATCACACGACGGCAGAAGCGATGAAAACCCTGGCATGTGAGGGCATTTCGAACGACTTTTGGCGACATCGACGACACACGAGAAAGCTATGTAGATGATGGGAATGACATACGAGCGGGTCTGGGGAGGAGGATCCACCAACTCAATTATACAAATATTATACAAACATTAGAAATGCATCAAAATAACGAAGGATATTTGTCAAGGCACGGAACGGAACCCTTGGGGAGGCCACCGACTCACGACGTCTATCACTGGGACGACAAGGATGACTCGGCACTGACTTTTCCGCTGGAGGAACCGGGGAAAACGGAGAAAAGCGAGCCTTGGCACACTCTCCAAGGCACCAGCACGTGCGAAATGGGGGAAAAATGGGACAACAGGCCAATCAATAACACTGTGCAGCATGTAACATCGAAGGGGGGACAACACTTACTTTACTTGGGGTTAAGGTTTCCCCTTCGGTCGACTTGGGGTTAAGGCTCTGGCATGATAATTGCGATTTTTCGAAGGTGACTTGTTGCTGTACGTTTCCCGGGCATTTGGAAAACGTTTGCATACTAACTTGGGTTCAAGTTCAAAGAACTAACGTCGAAATCATAAAGAAAATAATTATTATTTTATGCAGTGTATTCAGATTTTTCATGCCTAATTTTAAGATCCTTAATTACCTACTGCAACTAATATAATTTTACTAGGAAATTCAGTCAAGAAATGGTTACCAATTTCTTATAACAAAATAAATATACAGCAATTTTGTTTTGCTGGTAACCAAACCCCCACAAACTGGTAAATAAACCCCCACGAGTTTTGTCTTCGCTTCCTGATTTTGTATATTAACAATTTGTGCACTCAGCGCCAATCAAATTTGATATAGTTTATGACTATTTTTTATCACCCAGAAGCAGTGCACTTGTTTGTTATGTCGCGTGTCAAATTCAACGAGATTCATTTTAGACAGCTATTTTCCCCCTTTCCTTTCCCCCTTTTCCTCTCCCCTGTTTTCTCCAATGTTCCCCAATCCCCCAATTCTCATCCCAATTTGCAACCCTTTATTTATATAATTTGTTTCGCATTACGTTTGACGATAGTGGATTTTGCGTCGTGTGAAAACAATTAGATGAAGGCAATTTGGGTTGTGGCTTATACTGGGGGCTTGTGGGGGGGGGGGAGGGGTAACTGGATTGATTTCATAACACACATATATTTATTTATTTGTAGAATACTATATATGTACCTAATCGGGGCAGGCGGTGTTGGTCAAGCGTTGGCACTGACATTGCGATTGCAGTTCCGGAAAAGTAAACAGTAACCGAACACCAAATCATAAATATTATTTCTTATCCCCATATAATAGTTGTTTACAAATATTTTTGGGTGAACGGTGCCAAGCGAAACCCTTGATACTGCGAATGTCGTTCAAATTGTTCATTCAAGGAATTGCAATCTCAGCAATATCTTGTAACACTAACCACGAGTTTTGAATTTAGTTAATAGGATGAGTAACAAGAAGTTGTATGTTTCTTCTTAACCCTTTGAAAATGCATTTAACTATTCCCCTGCCAATTTTACTCGCAATATCAAATCCTATATCTTTAGTAATAATTGATGTTACATTTTAACAGAAAACGTACTGAGAAATTGTTCATTTTAAATTTAAAAGTGGCTGCCAACTAAAGTTTAAGTAGCATTTAAAGAATACAACTTATGAGTGGTATTTTCCTACCGATTCAGTTTTACTTCCTGGGAATGAGTAATAAAATTGTCTTATCAATGGGTTTTACTCGTGAAGGCTTAGTTATGAAACGAGTAATGACATTGCACGAAAGCAATTTTGCGCAGTGTACCCAAGGACAGTGCTGTTTGAGTGGATGTATGTATTGCTTATTGGTTCGAAATTGCATCCTTTGTGCTGCTTCCCAAGCTTTTAGGCGTGTGACAAGCGAGTGAGCTGGCCGTAAAGTGATAAGTGTGGGCTGACTGATTGGGGAACAAGCGCCAGAGGACCTCTTTTAGTGACAAGAAGGGAGGGGGGAAGGTGGCGGAGGGGGAGTGGCGACGACAGCAGGCTACTTAGAGTACGAATCATGGTCGTGCCTTTTTTGGTGGGGTTTCTTGTGAAGATTGTGGTCTTGGATGCGCCGCTTTATGGTTTACTTTGCACTGGAGTGGAATGGAATACGAAAATGATGATCAACCAACATCAACAGTGATCAAGATTATTTTAGGTGGTAATACCAAACTCGGCGACGAAAAAGTCGCGCAGTTTCAATCTGGATTTCTTGGGCTCCTCGCGCGGATGATGGACGGTGATTTGGTCGCCATCGGCGGATATCATCGTCTCGCTGGGCGGCGATATCGAGTACTGTTGCAACAGCCGGCGCTGCTGTTCGGTGAGCTCTTCCAGCGGATCGTAACTGGACCCCGATCCGGATCCTGATCCGGATCCAGCCCCCAATCCCGATCCCGATCCAGAGCCCGTTCCCGATCCTAATCCCGTTCCCGATCCAAAAGAGGCCGCCAGAGCGGAGTAACTGCTGCTGGACGTCGGCGACGATGCGGAAACGGCGGCTGCGGCGGCGGCCGCTGAAGCGGTAGCAACGGCAGCGGCCGCTCCGCCAGCGGCGGCCAATTGTTGAGCGATTAGCAGCTTCTGGGCGTGCTCTTCGGCCTCTTTTTGCTTTTTGAAGTCTTGCCATGGATACACATATACATATTTATATATATATATATAGATTCGTAACGAAACACATACATAAAACTGGGCGGGGGAGGAGTGGGTGTTTGGGCAGCGGAAAAAATAACATAAAATAAGTACACACAATGGAGTGGGCGGGGGGCGAGCGAAAGTTTCCATCCTTCCCGGAAAAAAAAGCGGAGAAAAACACTACAGTCAGCCCGCCCGGCAAAAGTGCCTTAAAAATTCAATTTCAATTTGCAATTTGACAAATGAAATTTCTCTGCCGCCGCCTGCTGCTGGTGACAGAGCCTGATGACGCTTCATAGATCAGAATTAATGACATTTTTGAGGGGCGGAGAACGGGGCCGCAGTGCCATGACCTAGCCCACTCGATGACCTTGACAAATGGTTGGGTCTACCTCGGCCATTTCGCCCAATTTGTCTCTCTTTCTCTCTGTCTCTCTCTCTTTCTATTGCTCATCTGCTTTGTCATCTGAGAATGGTTTACTGCACACGCAGTGGACACTCGGTAACTCTAACTTTCGGGATAGAGAAGTTTATTTGTATTTGTGAATAAAAATCATTTAATCTATTTTATTGTTTTTCCTATGCAAATTTAAATATAAGTCATGTTTCTCTTTCCTAAATTCATCAGAACTGTTGGTGAATACAGCAGATATTTTTTTTGACATAACTTTACTATATATCTTAATCCTTCTTTATTTAATGAGTAACATTTGTATTCCTATTCTTGTACATTTCCGTTCTCAATTTCTCCTCAGAGAGGAAACCTTTTCTATTTAATCCTAGTGACCACTGTAGTTGGGTCGTGTCATCTCGTGGTAAGACAAAAAGTGAAACCGAAAGACAGAATCGGACGCGGAAAAGGGAAACTCATTGCGGAAATGGACAAAACCGAAAATCGCAATGTCCAAATGCAATTTTCCCGTCGGCCAGAGCCAAAGCCAAGTGGCGGTGCCCTGCCCCCTGAAAAGCAGCCATTCCTGGCATCTTCGACATTGGCTGACACTTGCAAAACGAGACAAGCGCTAAGCGGCTTAAGCAACCCTCGCAGATGGATGTGGGAAGCAGCAGGGAAACCGAAACCGAAGGGAGGTTGCAAAAATTTAAACTATTTAGCGCTTTTACGCTTTGCAGGAAGGTTGCATGATGACGCCGATGGCACAACCCCTGCCACGCTTACAGTAAATATCGACTATAGCAGTCCCTATAGCAAATCACACCTCACACACATTAACAGTTAAACAGATTCAAATTGAGCCATACATACGTTCTAAACTAATTATGCAATTCTTGTAAATAGTTATTCGGTTCCTATTCAACTTTCAAACACGTTCAAAAATTTGATAATTTTAATTATAATTATTTTACAAAAACCGGTGCTTTTTTCAAGATATCGGATCCACCAAAGGATACAAAAGTGAATACAAAAAGTGAATAGACATTCCAAAGTTAGCCTCCGCAACTGTTTTCAATGAATCTTCTAAATAATTCAGGTTCGAAAGATGTTTGATCTTAATTTGCGGACATATGTTTTGGGCAAAACATTTTGAAGATTTTCTTGTTGATATCTCCAAGTCTAAGTGGACATGAAAATACGGAAATGTGTTCAAAAATTAATTATTTAATACCATTTTCATAGAATGAACTTTCTGTCGAAAACAGATATTTTAGGTTTGCTCAATGGTACGCCTACATAATAGGAGATAGCTTTTAGTAATGTTTATTCTACAATTTGGGAATTTTAAATATTGTTTTGGCCCGGATACAGCCCAAAATTTGTTTTGAAAATCTTCGAATCTATATATATATTTTAACAGATTTATTTGAAATTTGAAAATTGAGTGGGTGGGAATTCGTTTTAAGCATAAAAGGTATACAAATGCATTGCCCAATTGGAAGGCTTTAACAGTTATTTTTCTGAAAATCGGCCGTGACACGATCGGTGGTCCCTCCCTAACGGTCAGTGGGGCCCCTACGCCGCTAAGCTCCTTATCGAGAACTCATGTGATTCCGTTCCTTCCCCGGCAATTTCATAGCTACATATTTTTTGAATCACACCCGCAGTTATCAGCTCGATGACGTCATTGGGCATCCAATATATAGGCGAAAACTAATATAAACCAAATATCATTGGGAGACAGTCGTAAGCAGAGAGAAAGAGATAGCACGACTAACAGCACGATCACTGTTAGCGTTATGTAAAGGCTAATGAGCGTAACAGTATGTGACTGTTGTTGTTTTCCGAGAGGAGCAATGAAAATCAATTAAAACTAATTGATTCAAGAGTCAAATTCAAACGGTTGCAGCGGCGGCGGCGGAGAAAGGGGTGAAGAGAAGAAGAGAAAAACTACTGTCATTTAGGCGAACAATGTGCAATAATTAGAAAATGCAATCGCTCGCACACACAAACACACTGATAAACTGGGTTGTAAATTAAAATGGGGGTAAGGACAGGGGCGTGGGTGGTGGGATAGGAGGTCCGAAAGGGGTCACGTTTTTTACTTACTCTCCAGCAGCCGCTGTATCAAACTGTCCACATTCAGATCGAAGTCGCCCATTTTTCAGCAGCTAAATTGTTCTTGGCCGCGTTTTGTTGTTGTGGCCAGCTGTTCCAGAATTCCGATCGGAATTTTTGGCGCAACAACTACACACGCACACACGCACGCACACAGCGACGCCCGATTGCTTATATACTTTTGTAAACAACAATTTTCGTTACCGTTGCTGTTGTTTCTCTCTTTCTTAATTCTTTTTTCTTATTTGCCGCAAAAGGCAATTTCACTTTTTCGTTTCGGTGGGCCGCTAGTTCACTGATTTTCCACGAGGAAGAACAGAAAAAAAATACAAACGGCGCTCGATTTTCGGTGCTACGACTCGACCGCAGAACGGTCAGTGAGTGTTAATAATGTGGGGCTAAGAAATCGGCTTAACTGGGAATTTGTGAACACCGCAGTTTCTTTTCTGGGTTTTTCTCCGCCAAAAACAACTCGTCAGACTCCAGTGTGACCAGATTTTGAAATGGCTTTCTCCCGGTGGCTCTTCTCTTTGACTGCCCAAAAATACTAAAATCCAGTGCTGTCTAATTTTCCGCGCAAAGCTGTATTCTTGCACCTAGTTAAATATCGGTTCGAAAATCGGATTCGCCAGTTATGAATGGCGGTAAAACGTTTAAAAGACTAACAAATTCTTTACCAAATAACTTTTAATGTATTTATAATAAAATATAAGATAATAAAAGTTCTTTTTCCGCTTCCTTTTTTTAATGATGAAATTGGTCATCAGCTTGCTAATATGGTATTTTTGCCGCCCTTATTCACGTTCGCTGATTATGCAGCCCTGGCACCCGCGAAAATAAACACAATTTCATTGTTTTGTTTACATCCGATAGAAAGCCCCTCCGGAATGAACTATTTCCCGAACTACTACTCCATCGAGGACATATTCGTGACCCAAGAGAAGGTCGAGTGCCGGGTGAACACAAAGTTGCAGCGGATGGGTGAGTGATTCTTCTGCAGTAATGGAATCAAACAAAATAAGCGACGATTGCCTTGCAGGATTCCTCGACGCCGGTGCCGATTCGGATGATCTCGAACCTGGTCGGACGGTGAATTTGCCGTTGTGGTACATCAAGGAGCTGAAGGTGAATAACGCCTACTTCACCGTCTCCGTTCCGGAGATCTATCGCAACGTGCACAAGGCCGTCTGTGAGGCGGAAACCACCCACATCGAGCTGGGGCGTCTGCACCCGTACTTCTACGAGTTCGGCCGCTACCTGACACCCTACGACCGCCAGCACGTCATCGGTCGCATCATCTTCGAGACACTGCGCCAGCGGGTGCGCCACCTGCTCGATATCTCCAAAAGCGACGGGCAGACGGCCAAGTCGGAGCAGCGGCTGGACAACATCGAGGCCAAGCTGCACGAGGCTGGTGTCCGTACCAACAGCCAGGTGATTATAGTTCCCAAATTCTACTTAGGGTTTCTTTGTTTGTGCTGACTAAATTTGGGTTGCAGTGGCTTATACTGAAAGTAGAAGTAATCTGAGAAAATTGTTCTTTTTCAGTACATCGAATGGCTGCAGATGACGGGCAACAAGATCCGGACCTCGGAGCTGGTGGAGGAGCATCAGAAAAAGCGGCGCCGGGCGGATCGCAGCGATGATGAGAGCGAGGTCCTGCCCAACAGCAAGCGGGCCACCCTGTAATCCAACCCATCACAGTAAACCAGTTCAGGCTGCTGTCGTGGAACTGTAGCAACTTTATTTCGTCCATGCTTTTGGTGGCCATGGGTCGGCCTCACCTCTCAAAAATACACATCATCATCATCATCTACGCACTCGGCTACGTCCATTTGTACAGTTCAAAATACATGGGCTTCGCATACATCTACACATAACTAAGCATCCGATCTAGGGCCGGTCTTAAACTACTCTGCTTGGAGCTGCCGGTTCGCTCTTTCCTGGACTTGGCAATAAGCCAAAACAACCGCGCGTTCCTATACGACATTGCGCCACAAATATTACATGTAAATAGTTAACTACATATATAATTATATTCTTGTAAGCTCAATTAAAATTTGATTTTGTGCTAGTTTCACATACACTTCGCAAATAAACATTCACCAATGCCAGCGTACATCTGCAAGTAGTTTGCCAAAAGCAAACAATTTTTGACTTCATTCCTTTTCAGGGACCGTAATGCGAATAAGTTTTGCAAGTCTGGATTGTGGTTTTGTATCTTGGAAGAATTTTCAATGGTAATTTATACTTTTTAGATTGTATTAACCAAACAATTACATTTAAAGAACAATTGTTGTGATTTAATAGAAGCAAATATCATTTCAAAATGCTTACTGGCAAAAATGCGATTGGGTCTCTGGAAGGTTATTACATTGTTTCAAAATGATTTTTGGCAGGGGAATGCGCAGGCTTGAAAATCAACGCATTTAGTAAGATTCAACCGAAATACATTTACAAAAACTTCGAACATGTTTTTCCTATTCCTTTGCTGGAAGAACATAACTCAGATTCAGGTTTTAATTTATTTTGTTTGGTAATAGGTAAAATTAGGCTTTAAACCTGGCTTTGGTTACCTGGTAAACAATATATGTTTTACGGTCCCTGGATATCTGTATATGTATCTTTCTTCATCACTATACAATCTGTGACATTCGCTTTTCTTAACAACTTCAACTGTAGTAGGTTCTTTTTTATACATATCCAGTGGTTTGTGCACATCGAACAATCCTAGTTGTGCATCTGGACAATCTCCTTTGCTTCTCAGTTATCTCTTCTGCATTCGCTACACATATATATGCATATATTTCTAACAGGTTATTTTTATAAACATAAGCTTGCTCCCCGAGAATGTTCGGGGCGATTAACAACATCGATTTCGTGGCTACAGCAAGAATTGAATGCAATGTTGGATTCGTTTATGGTTAGGGGCTTGCTTCAAAAAATAAGCAACGTACATAGTTTATTCGCTTCATCTGCATCTGCATCTGCATTTGGTTTTAGTTTTGTTCTTAGTTCTTCATTAGTAGATCATGTCTTTTTATAACTAAAGTTCTGTCCCCTGTTCTGTCCTGTTCGCTTCGTGATCCTTTAATCGATTCAGGTTTTGCGCTATCTGTATGTGGTTCCGTCCGTCCTTGTGTCTGTTAGTTAGCTGGGTAAGGGGTCCTTGTTGTATAATTAATCGTTAAAAATGTATAAACAATAGCAAGATCTCCGCAAAATGGAAGCGGCTGGAACTCTGCCTCAAAATAAATACATGGATACAAACAAACAGGTTACAATTTGCACTAGTTTTTGCCGTTTATAAGGGCGGTGGGGGTGGTCGTGGCCGCTGATGTGCCTGGAAGGGCGGCGTTGGGCGGTCGTCGCTTCTGCGGCAGGAAGACCTGAAAAAGAAAGGGACACATGACTGTTAGAGAGAGCGAGCTATATAGATTATTATATTATATTGCTTTACAAATTCAGCCAATGTTTTACGTAAGTAAATTATCAAAGATGCAAACAGACTAACCAGAAAATTAAGTTTTACACAAAAGGTGTAATAAAATAAATCCAATTTTATGTTGTAATGTAGGTAAATGTTTCCCATTGTCAAATAGTCAACTTCCAATCTTTACCAGAAGAACAACAAGTCAGACCATTAAACAGTGAATAAAAGATCAACAAATCTTCAAATAAAATAAACATATTTGATCTGCAATCATCGATTGAATTGATCTACTTTTTTGTTTTCGATAATCTCCTACTAATAAGGAATGGCGGCTCACCTTGAGGGCCCCCAAGACCATCAGATAGAACCAGTAGAGCTGCGGCAAGAACAGAATGGCGATGCTGACGAGGCAGCCGCGCGGCAACCCGCACATGGCCGCCCACATGGAGGCGGCCTCGATGGCCAGGCTGTAGCGCCACATCACGTACGGCCACATGCAGACGCGGCACACGAAGAAGGTGGCCAGCATGAGCAGTCCGTTGGCGATGTACACGCGCGAGTTCTTCAGCCGCATGGTGCTTAAGATGCTGCGCAGCGAGACGAACGGCGTGGAGAACTCCATCATGAACATGTAGCTGTAGATGCAGTGGCCGCCGCCGCGAATGTACTGAAAGGAGTACAGGATATACAGGATTAAAGCAACCAAAAGAGCATCGAATCCAACTGCCACTCACCGTCACCACCAGCAGGCCAAAGGTTCCGATGAAGACGTGGTGTATCATCATTACCGGATGCGTGACGACGTACTTGAGGAAGTCCCAACGTCCGTCCTTGGGAATCTGGACGCAGGCGCCGTCGTAATCGCAGATCTCATGAGGAGTTCCCGGTGTGCTGCCGTTGTTATTGCCACTGGAGGATTGGCCATTCGCCTTGCCGTTTCCGTTGGCATTGGCATTGGAGTTCGCGTTGCCATGACCATTGACCACTGCGGATGACCCCTGACCCTTGGTGATGCGCAGCAGGTGCAGCTTGTCGGCGATCTTCTGGGTGTGCACCTTGTACATCGACCAGATGTCGTACATGAAGTAGGCCGTTCCGAACCAGCCGTAGGCCTCCATCAGGAAGTGCGAGGCGTAGACGAAGGACTTGGTGCACGTCGCCTTGCAGACGATGAGTCCCACGAGGAAGGAGAACGACGCCTGGATGGCCGATACGATTCTGCAAGGAAGCCATGGGATTTCAAATTAAATGGATGCCAGTAAAATCAAGGAAAACCTATACATAAATGTAATAAACACTTTGAATTTCGAATACTTCTTAACACATTTCAATTTTATTTATCGTTCAGCATTTCTTACTTACTTACTTTACTATTTAAAAAGGTATTTTCGAAAACAACCAAGGAAAGTCTATAAAAAGGTCTGGATAGATCAGTTCTTAAACGTCTTCTACTAATTTCTTAAAGACAATCGACTCAAAATTTCAAATTTTCGACAGAACTCATATATTCACTGGAAATTACTCAAAATTTTTGGTAATACACATTTTGGTAAGCAAGAGGTCACCGGCTCCAAATAGTTCTCCCGCCCGCAAGGAAACCCCGAACCCAAAACCACTGCGTCCCTGAATCTTGGATTAGCCGTGATCCAACCGGAATCCACCGGAAATGGAGCCATGTGATCCTGGGCCGGAGCGGGCCATGCGGAGGTATCTAACCCAGCTGCTGGAGACGGGCAGCAACCCAACAACCACCACGACCACCACCGAATCCACGGGCACGGGCTGCCTGGACCGCTTCCTCGTGAGAGGAATGGCCAGCTTCCCGCCTTCCCCGCCAGCCTGCTCCTCCTCCACGCTGGAGGGGAAGGCCTCCCGCTGCTCCCTCTTCGAGCAGCTCCTGTGCGGCGGCAGCCGGAAGTCGGAGCGCCTGCTGGTCCCCGACCTGGCCACCGAGTGGTTCCGCAAGCAGAAGGTCTTCCTGGACAAGCTCAGTCCCGAGGAGCTGGCCGCCCTGAGCGACGGACTGGCGGGCAGGAGGAGGAGTGATGCCTCCTGCCCGGAACGCCGGCACCACGCCCACAAAGCGCAGGAGCAGAGCCAACGGAAGGAGCTGGCGGAGAAGACGAACCGCGTGGCCAAGTGTCTGCCCACCACGGAGCCCCGTTCCACCAATCCCTTCCTGATCGGCGGCCAGCGAGCGGAGGAGGTGCGCAGCCGGAGGAGTGGCGGCCGGCGACCGACTGGCTCCTCCTGCGGCGATCTCCTCCAGGGCGACGGCCAGCCGATGGCCAGGGAATGCCTGGCGGCCCGCCGGACGGAGCCGCTGCTGCCGCGTCTGCGACGCAAGTTCGATTTGCGGCGGGCGCCACAGCGACGGCTCGATCCGGCGCACTTCCGCCGCATCTCGCCGGAGTTCTACCGCATCCTGGCCAGCTACGAGGCGACCATGAGCGAGCACTGCCCGCTCTACGGCATCTCGATGCACCACTGGGGCGACACCGCAACCTGTTGTCCCTGCGGCGAGCGGCACTCCGCCTTCAAGCGGCGCTGCCTGGGCGAAGATCTGACGGCCACCGTGGAGATGCCTCCGGGTTATCCGCCCACCGAATCGCGACCGATGGAGCAGCCCGCCAAGAAGCAGCCATCGCAGCGGAGACCAACGAGGCAAGCGAAGAAGGAGCCGCCGGAGAAGGAGCTGGGAGGAAGGGGCAGCAAAAGCGAGTTCTCCGCCAGGGAGGATGGGGCCTCCTCCGGTGACGAGCGGAGCCAGGAGCGGAGACGTGGCAAACAGAAGGATAATCGGCCAAGGAGTGAGGAGCAGTTCGCGGACGCTCTGGCGAAGGAGAGCCAGCTGACCGTCCAGTCGAAGAATCCGCCCGAGAAGCGCAGGAAGTTCGGCAGCTGCCTTCGCCAGCAACCGCCGACCTACAGGAGGGCCTTCAACCCAATGAGCTTTGCTGTGCCGCCTGGTCAGGGGGGAACCTATTCATCTGGTAACCCACATGGTAACTTAGCTGGTAGCTCATCTGGTAACTCATATGATAACTCAACTGGTAACTCAACTGGTAACTCAGCTGCTCAGAAATCATCTGAGCACCGATCGAAGGGAGTCCTCGGCGGACTAACTGGGATCTGCAAGCGGTGCATTGAACCGGGACGCCACTTGCTGTACAACATGAACGGCAACTACAAGCAGAACCGGGAGCGGTACGGCCAGAAGCAGCAGAGCAATCGGCGGGAGCAGGAGCCACCTGGAGCGGTCTGCAGGTGTCTCGAAGAGACGGAGGAGGAGGAGAGGGACACCAGCACCACAACCCTGACACCAGCCAAGTCTTCCGAAGTGAACCAGAATCAGGCGGGGAGCGATCAGAGCCTGCCCTTTCGCACGCCAGCCAGTGAACGCACTTTGGTGGACGGCAATCAGGGAAGGGAAACGAGTTACCAGGAAGGTGACCCCAATTGCGAGTGCAGCCAAAGCCAAGCTTGGGAGAGCTCAGACACACAGCCGAAGAAAAGCGATTCGTATTGCCAGTGCGAACATCCGCAGGAGACCTTCCAACTGCCACCGGTTCGCAGGTGCACTTGCTCGAAGGAGGAGCGGGAGCAAGGGGTTGCCCAGGTCGAGTTGGCTGCTCAGGAGCAAAGGGTGACCCAGAACGAGCTGGCTCCCCAAGAGCAAAGGGTGACCCAGAACGAGCAGGGTCCCCAGGAGCAAAGGGTGACCCAGAACGGGCAGCCTCCTCAGGAGCAAAGGGTGACCCAGAACAAGCAGCCTCCTCGAAGGAAGTCCGCCAACGAGACGGAGTACACAAAGTGCGGTCAGCTTGTGAGGGCCTGCTACCTCGCCAACGATTACCACCAACTGATGCGACGTGTGGCCAGGAGAAGACCCAAAGCGATTAGGTCCAGGGCATCTAGTGCTATAAGCTCCCCCCAAAGGAAGGAGCGAAGATCGGAGGCTTCAGCAGTGCGTCGAGCATCTCCAATGGCCCAACCCCATCCGAACTTCCATCCAAGGGTTAAACCCAAACCGAAACCGAAACCAAAGGTCGCAAGAGCTCCGTTGCCGGAGGAAGGTCTTCCAAAGCGTTTATGCACCGCTCAACCACCCACGGATGTTCCCAAGCTGCGATGCCGGCGGAAGGTCCAGAAACAGATGGCAGATGGTGAGTCCAGCAGGGAGACCTCGAGGGAAACCTCCAGTCTCAGCTTGGACACTTGCCAGGCGAAAAGCAGCCAGCAACAGGAAATCATAAGATCCAGGCCGCAACAGAATCGGAGTTCTGCGCCCAAAGGATCCTCAAGGGGCTCATCGCCACGAAGGGAGGAAAGAGCTAGTCTTCCGATGAAGCGGAGACCCGATGCCAATCCAGTCAAGAACCGCCATCAGCGGAGAGCCTCCTCCTGCAGTTCATCTGGAAGGTCGCGACGAGAGCGCTCCTCAAGCGGCCAATGGGAGGAATCCAATGCAGCAAGTCCGCGTCGCCAGTCCGAGACGAGCTCCAAGGTCTCAGGTGCTTCCTGCTGGCCACCGGAAGGGCAGCAGCAAGGTCAGGGGTTCCAGTCCGCCCACTTGTATCCCCTGAACTCCGGTGCAGCCTCTTCCAACCAGTATTCGGATAAGTGGGAGCAGGAGGATGCCCAAACTGAGTGCGGCTGCTCCTGCACGAGAAAGCCAACGATCGAATGGAGCACCTCGCACGGCATTAGTGGTGTGGTGGTGGATCCATCGCGGAGCTCGGGGTTTCCCCGCACTGCACCCTCGCACTTGGAGACGGGTCGTCGCTACTACACGGACACCCAGCCGGGCGGTCAGGAGTCGAGATCCGGGTGCAGCTGTCGCTCGCTGCGCTCCTCGAACTCGATCCGGGCACTCAGCTCCAACACGGACAGTGTCCGCTGTCCCTGTGCGCCGGCTCCATCGGTGGCCAGTGTGCAGGCGCCGCGGCAGGAGCAGCAGCACACTGCCAGTGGAGAGGAGCCGTGCTTCTTCTGCAACCACAGCAGTCCTCATCAATTGCGGCGATCCGAGGAGCAGCCGTATCTGCAGTCCAGTCCGCCACCGAAGTGCGCCTGCCAAGGCAGCAAGCGGCCAGCGTATTTCAGTGGAGCACTGAAGTGGGAGCCACAACAGCACCACCACGCCAGGACTCTTCTGAGAACCCAGCGTTCGCCGCCTCCCAGGCACCAGCAGGTGGGTCACTATCCCCAGTACCCGGCGGTGAATCAGCAGGTGCAACAACCCGGCGAGTGGAATCCGGACTACCCCTATCATCATCCGGAAGTGGCCAACCAGCGATGGCGAGAGGAGGCTGAGAACGCGCAGTACTTCAGGGAGAACAACTATCCAATAGGCGGCGATCACCTGAGGAACAACCCCTATTGTGTTGGACAAGGCAACTACCTCGCCAGGCCAGGAAGAGATCGAGCTGGAGCCGTAACAGCCGCTGCCCAGGGACTTCGGGGATTGGTGAAGGCTTTGGGGGAGCTCGATACAAACGAAGCCACGATTCGCATCTGCAGCCAAATTATTACCGGGAAGGTAATGATACCTCCGCGAATCAAAGCTGCTATTATGAGGAAGCGGGAGTAGGAAAAGGCGGGCAGCCTCCATTGAAAGCTACGTGGTTACCGAGGCACCAACTCTCAATGGAGGCAGCATCCCAAGGGGTACCAAACCACTCGGTGTCCTCCTATTACAACAGCTACTCGAGAGCAAATAGCATGTATGGGTATAGTGAAGGAAACTACTCTTTGGAAGATGAACGATCCACAAGGAGTGACGTAAGACGAACCACGGAACGGGAACCACAACGGTGGTACGGAATGGATTCTCAAGAAGGTTCCTACCGATTGGCAGGAAAAAGACCATTCAGGGAAAGGGAAGGAGGAGGATCCGCGAACGTTCTTTTCCTTGGTTCCGACACGAATTACCACAACGAGATCGCAAGTAGGAGAAACACTCCTGTTTCGAAAAGAGGACGAAATGTGGCAGGAGCATCACCGCTTTTCGAAGAACCTCCGAGTTCGCCAACCCAAACGCCATTGGCTATTTTCCTGGACAGGTTGAGAGCCAAGCACGCCCTCTCCGAAAACGTGGTTAAAACGATGCAGCAGCCCAGAAAGGTGGTCACCATGGAGCACTTTCCGCGAACCAAGCGAATGGAAAGCCACGACTGCTGCTCCTTCAGTGACGACGATGCGGATGCAGATGATTGCCTCGACTGGCGGGACAGACGATTGAGCAGTGGCTCCGAGGAGGCCATTGTCCTCCCGACCACCTACACAGGTCTCCTCGAGGAGCAGGTCCTCGACGAGTACCTGCCCAGGCCTCGCTTCAAGCGGAGGACTCAGGAGTTCTAGCTTAAGTCACTTTGTTATCCCCTTTCATTTGCGAAGACAACAAACTACAGTAAATGTATCATTGGTTTGTTCAATTAAATGGTGTTGTCTCTCCAAGAAGTGGTTTCTCCAGTTTTGCATTTCGAAATGGACTAGCTACCCTATAAATTTATTAATCAAGTATCTCTAGTATATAGGTACCAGATATCAAAATAAACCTATTCAATATGACTTGCTCTTCTGTGATATATAGGTTAAGCTAAGGAACTAAAACCAATCACTACCCAACTTCTCAGTAACTATTACAATAACAAACTAGGAATTCGATGTATGGTACACAAGATATCCTATAGATCTTAATCCTATATAAACCTATTTAACCTAGGGAAATCATTACCCTGAAACTCCCCAAAGAAAGTCACAAACTACTCGCACTAAATAGAATTTAGATGGCTCTGTTTTTGAACGATATGGAAGACAGGGATTGTGGGGACTCGAAATGGGCGGATGGATGGACTGCGGGTGCTACTGGCTGCTCCGGGGGTTCTTCACGCGGTCGCCGCCCTGCATCCGCACTCCGAGGCTGGGCGCCGCCTCCGGCTTGCCCCTCTTCGGCGATCCTTGGGAGTTGCGCGATCCCCGACTGGATCCCTTCTCCGAGGCAGTGGCGCTGCTCCGCTGGACCACGTCCACGCCCTTCTTGTTGTTGTCGGAGCGACGGAGCGAGCTGCCGGTGCTGCGGATGATCGGGGTGCTGCCCTCCGCCCGGTTGCTCGGCTCCTCCACGACCTCTGGCGTGCGGCGCGTGCAGTAGATCTGCTGGGTGATCGTCCGGCGCTGCGGCTTCTTCTGCGCATCCGCGTCCTTGCCCTTCGGCTTGGCCTTCTGCCGGCGGCGCTCCGGCGCCACCGCCTTCTTGTCCATGGCGGCCACCTTGTGGTACAGGCTGCACAGCTCCTGGCACCGGCGGGCACTGTGGAAGCGCTTGACCCGACCATCCTGCTCCAGGATGCCGCACACCAGCTCGTCCAGCTGCACCTCCTGCAGGGCGATCAGCAGGCCGTCGAGGTCCACGGGACAGGCGGCGCGTGCGTTCAGCCGGCGGAGCATCACCAGCAGCTGGCTGCGCTGCTCCGGCACGAGCACCGGTCCGAGGAAGATCAGGCGCAACAGCTTGTAGGCGTTGCTCCGGTCCAGCGGATCGATCGGCTGGCCGCAGCGATCGTACAGGCTGTCGTAGATCTTCAGGTCGTGGAGCTCCGAGTACGGCGCCTTCACGTTCTCCATCACCGACCACTCCCGATCTCGGGGGAATCGCGGCAGCGGCTGGCTCTCGTGGAAGGCCAGCTGGAAGAGGGTGGTCAGCACCTGGAACTTGGACACGCGGAACAGGCAACTCAGAGCCTCCAGAATGTGCTTGTTGCGCGGACAGGTGCAGCGGCAGCCCTTCTCGCCGTGCTTCTGGCTGCACAGCTTGCACTTGGAGGCCGGACAGCACTGGTGGCCATTCGCCGGACGCAGTGGCTCCAGTGGCGGGCGACAGGCCGTCGGCCGTGGGCAGCAGCACATCGGAGGCCAGCAGGCCGGAGGACCACACTTCGGGGCGCAGCACATCTCCCACACAGTCTCCTCCTCCCGACTTTCCCTTCTAAAAAACTAACAATCTCGAAAGTCTGGGTTTGGCCTTCGCCCCGATTTCCCAACTGAAGGGAAAGCCATGGCTAACTAAACTGCACAAATAAGGTAACTACTTATTTTTGTATTGGTATGCATATCCAAGGAATCTTAAATTAATATTTGTACACTTATCAATTAATATTTGTAATTAACATTTGTACACCTATCAATTAATATTTGAAATTAATATTTGTTCACCTACCAATTAATATTTGTAATTTATATTTGTAGACCTATCAATAAATATTATATTGGGAATTAATATTTGTATACATATCAATTAATATTTGTAATTATTATTTTTACACCATTCAATTAATATTTGTAATTAGTATTTGTACACCAATCAATTAATATTTTTAATTGCACCTTTCAATTAATATTTGGAATTAATATTTGTACACCTATCAAATAATATTTGGAATTTATATTTGGAATTAATATTTGTATACATATCAATTAAAATTTGTAATTATTATTTTTACACCTTTCAATTAATATTTGGAATTAATATTTGTACACCTATTAATTAATATTTGTAATTAATATTTGTATTTCTATATTTCCTATCATTGGAAACTATACATAACTCTTAAGTGTCCATTCAAAAACACTTCAAAATTCGATTGGTTTAGAAGAAACTTTAGTGGCAGTCCAAAAGTTAAATTTAGAATGTGAGTTTTCTTTAAAATCTATACTCGAAATGCTTCGAAATGGAAAACGACAGAAAATGTATCAATTTAGTAATCCGTCCAAAAGTTATTTATAAGATGTTGACACTATTTCAAACTTTCAAAGGGCATTCTACCTTGTGTTTCTTATCTTTTGGAATCAAATGGAATTAATGCTTAAATTTGAGGGTTCTTTGATGCCAAAAATGTTTACCATTAAAATGAACATAATCAACTAACATTGATATTAAACTGGAGAGAAATAAGGTTTCCGTCATCGAATTGTTTTACGATATAAGCCTCGTTTGCCAAATCAACAATGACTTATTTATGGCTTTGATAACCCAATCCATTTCAAACTCCAGTAGGTTTCGCACAGTCTGTCATTGCTATTAACTTGGTATATCAATCACTATGTTAAATTATCGGAAAAAAAACCAATCAAAATCGTTTTTAACCATTGAGAAAAACCCGAACAGTACAAATTTGAAAGCAACTAAAATTCCCATTCGACCATAAGCCCGACATTCAAAATTTCTGTCGTAATTGCAATGTCCCTGGAGATGTCAACGTTTTTAGGAGGAGCTCGTCGCAATCCGCCGGATCGCACGAAGGGATTAAGGCCAAAGCCCGCAGCTGGGGAGGATCGGAGCTCTGGAGAGGTGGGAGGATCGGGAGCAGCAACTGCAGCTGCTGCATCTACTGCAGCTGCAACCAGACGCATTCGCAGGCCACCGGAAAGTGGTTCAAGTGCGGCAAGTACTTCCGCAGGAGCAACGCAGACACCAAGAACTGCGAATGCCAGTGGAGCAGTGCCCAAGAGGGGAGCCACTGGTGGTGGTGGTTGGGGTCCAACCAGGGTGTTCCAATCCACGGCCACATCCACTCTGCGTAGATCTCAAGCGACGCCTGCTCCTTCGAAGCTGCCCGTTCCCATTCGCCGGTTGAACGAAGTCAAGTGGATCATGATGCCGTCGCAGAGCTTCGTGCAGTGCAGCGAGTCCTCCTCCGAGGAGAGTATTCCCGAGCAGGCGGCGGATCCTCAGAAGCAGCGGGATAAACAGGATTCAACTGCGGAGAGCAGCAGCAGCAGCAAAAGAAGCAGCAGCAGCAGCGATCGCCTGTCAAAGTTGCAGGGAGTGGTGGCCAGACCAAAGGCTCCTCCGCGATCCTCGCGGATGTTCTGTGTGCCCAGCCAGCGGATCATGCGAGTGGAGGAGCTGAAGCAGGCCCAGCTGCTCCAGATGCATCCGCGCAAGGCGAAGAGACAGTCCTCCCACCGACCAGCCAGCGGATCGCCCACTCTGCTGTCCGTGAAGAGGTCGCCCAGTCGCTTCTTCAGTCTGGTTCCCTGTCCACTGGTTCCCGCTTCCCACTTGCCACTCGCCGCGGATCTGAACGCCAAAGCTGAGACCCCGGAATCCCCGCCAGAAGTGACCGCCTCGGGACTCATTTCCTGCGCTCCCAGTCCGGCTGGAGGCAGTCCCAATCCCAGCCAGAGTCGCTGCGGCAACCCGAGCGTGACCCTCAGCTGGGGGACCAGCTACTGCAGCCTGAAGAGCCTGCCGAAGGAGCCCAGTTCGGTTACTTCGAGGGATTCCTATCCCAGCAGCAGCAACAGCAGCTTGAGCACGAGTGGCAGCGAGTGCAGGAGTGCCGATCGCACCTCCACCTCGGAGCGGGTGCGTCGAGCCATCCGGAGGAGCAGGGGTGGCTCCAGCAGCAAGGCCATCAAGCTCACCTCCACGGTGATCAAGATCATGCCCGCCACTCATCCGTCGAAGGAGCAGAGGAAGCCCAAGGAGAAGGAGAAGGAGAAGGAGGAGGCGAAGCGAGGACAGGAGGAAACGAGACTGGCCATGAATGCACCCATGGTGCAATCGATTGCTCCACCCAAGTTCGCACCGAAGGTTAAGGTTTCCAGTCCGATCAGTCAGTCGGTCAACCATGCGGTCAACCAGCTGACGGCCCAGCTCAAGGAGGCGGCCATGGTCCGCTCCAAGGAGGAAGCCGAACCGAAGCCACCGAAGAAGGATCCAAATGCGTACCAGGCCTGGACAGCGAAGGCTCCCCTGCGGAAACCCTCCATCTATCTCATCATGGAGCAGCAGAAGGATCAGTCGGCGGCCTCGGCGACCAAGCAGGCCAAGGATGCGTGGGTCATTCAGCCGATGGAGCAACCCACAGAGCCTCCTGCCAGTCGGCCAAAGGATCCCGCAGTCCAACAGCAGACCAATCCCTACATGAACGAATCCAAGGAGGGGCACAACCTAAGCCGATACGTAAGGACACCTGGAACCAGCCAAGGCATCAACTCCCCACGGAATCCGCTGATGGACAAGTACATTCCGTCGCAGAGGATTCCATCCCGAGGTTCGTTGAAACCCCAATATGGAGGCTCCTCGAACAATCCGTACATGAGTGCTCCAGCCACGATTCAGCCGCTCCAGCGATTGCCGCTTCCCGCCAAGAAGACTCTCCCAGTTTCCCTGAACAGGATCACCAAGCCATCCAGTCCGCCTGCCAGACCACCGGTTCTGCCTCCCTCGACTCCGCGGGAAAGCCAGCAATCGGAATCCCCAATCGGCGGGAAGATCGTGAGGAAGGCGCAGCACAAGGTGCCGCGCACCATGGAGGACGGCATCGACATGAGCTACCAGTACTTCGTCTCCATTCCGCTGAAGCGCGGCAGGAAGCCGCAGGTGGTGCGGTACCTCTACCGCCCGATGGTGCGCCAACTGAATGCACCACCTTCCTCTCCCAGTCGCCGGTCCGCGAGGCGAGCCAAGAAGCGAGCAGCGGCAGCTGGCGGAGATGGTCAACACCAGACAGCCGGAGGGGGAGGTGGATCCGCATGCGGAACAGGTGGATCCGGATCTGCAAGCTCTGGGCGGAGTGCCGCTGCCACTGGAGGATCCATCCCGGCCAGAACCCCTGAACGGGGATCCGGATGCCCTGCTCAATGCTCCGTACGAGATGCCGCCCCTCAAGCTGGACGCCCGCTACAAGCCGATGATGGACGAGCTGGCCCAGATGCCGTTTCCCGAGGAGCGATCCCTTCGCCATCGTCGTCGTGGCCGCTCCAATCGCCGAGCACGCGCCGCCGGAGGAGCCGAGCCGGAGGCTCCCTCGATCAGCTCGTGGCCACTGGAGGCGGCGACGCCGTCCGGCGGAATGAGCTCCGCTCTTCGGGGAGGCTATCCGCCATCTGGTCGTCGGGTGGCCGGCTGCCGACGCTGGTCGACTATCTGCCGCAGGCCAAGCGCCTGAGAACGGCCACCGGAGCTCCGATATCGTACCATGCTCCCGTCCAGATCCGTCACCTCAAGGAGCTCGACGACGACAACGACCAGGACTTTGTGCTGCCCGGCGAACCGATGATCGAGGCCGTCAGGTACGAGGATATCGAACCGGAGGAGCCAAAGGAACCCAAGGAGGAGCAACTGGAGCCACTGGAGCAACTGGAGCAGAAGGATGGGAAAGATAACCCACTGCTGCAGAGGAGCAGCACTGATCCCCTAGAGAAGCGCAGGAAGAAGGCCTCTGCCGTCGGGAAGTCGGTGAGCTTCCATCCCGGCGACGTGGAAGTGATTGCCAATCCGCCCAAGAGCAGCAGTTCCATCAGCCTGACCTCGAGCAGCAGCGGCGGAAAGACCAAGGCCAAAGGACGACCCGCCAAGCGGAAGAGCAAGTCCAAGTCCAAGGGAAGGGCCAAGAACCGCAGATGAAAGGAGATGCATGGAGCCAGGAATAAGATGGATAGGGTGAAGGATGGAGTGCGGGAATCTCTGGCATTTATATAGCACCACTAGGATTACTGGGACCATTTCATTTTTGGCAACTTTTTTTAAAATTATTGTACAAATAATTCGTAGCAATCGCAGGGGAAATTCCTTTGCCGAATAAAGTTTTCGTGAGAATAAGTATTTAATAATATTGTTTAACAGTCCAAAGCTTTTACCTATGTTGGTGTTAATGATTTATCAGGTATTTAATTGCAAATAGTGTAAAACTTGGAATTAATCCCTAATTGGAGCTTAAAAGTATAAAATTCTTGTTAATTAATACAAGAATTAAACCAATTAATTATAGTATTCATCTTTGTTAAGATCAAAGGAAGTATCAAAAATGATAGTCAAATTGTATAAAAGTTGTTCTTAAAAAAAACATAGAAGTGGAACGAAAACCTTTTCAAATTCTAGGAAACGCTATCATAATACTGCAAATAATATAAATATATTTATATTATATTATATATAAATATTATAGATAATATAATAAATTATTTTCCGGTAAATTGGTCTTAAAATATTAAACAATATTCCACTATAACCACTAGCACTCTCATAACGAAAAACTTGTAGGTGTTCGACTTAATTTCATGGTGAGCTGTAATTTGTAGACTTCGTGGCTTAACGCGATGACTTCACCTGGCGCACCTGCGAAAAGGTCAAGGTTCGTGGTGGAGAGTCCTGGCGAGGCGATTGGTCAACGTCAGGATGTTGGTCATTAGCGCAGGACCTGCGACCGAGACCCTCAAGGAAGTGGAACAGCCAGAAATAGACTCGAATTAGCCGAAGTGCCTCGCAAATTGCTCCAATAATAACAAGCAATTACCGTCGAAGCTTTTTTACAACTTCATTTCTCCCATTATTATATTCGTTGATTTGAAAATTGTATATAATTTCATTTAATGAGCTCGCTGATTGCTTTTCAGTTTGCAGTTACACATGGTTTTTTCGAGTCTAAACACCTTCGATATATTATAAATGCTATCTATTTGCAAGTTCATTTCTATTGACAGTTACACATGCTAATGCCGCTGGCATGGTTTATGACCCATATGCCTACGCAATCAATTAGTCATCAGTGATTCCGGCTGGTGCAAAGTGATCACTTGACCCCGCTGCACCCGGCACCCCAACCCCAACCCCAAAGAGAGATTCGCACTCGATCGAGCCAAACCAAAGCAAACCAAAACCAAACCCAACCCAACACATTGGAGGCGGAGCAAAGTGGCCCAGCGGACGGGGCATTAGTTCCAATTAGAAGCGCCGCCGGTTCCACCTAATGAATGGCCCCAAAGGTGTCACCACACACAAAACCATTTACGATGTGGGCATGGAGTGTACATACAGCCCAGTATTTATTGGGTTGGGCTGCCTGCCCGACGCAGCAATCGAATCGAGTGTGATTTAGATATCGGTTACTGGGTCGTCGCAATCCAAACCAAGCCAAGCCAAGCCATACACACACAGAAAGGGAACCTCAACTAGGTCCAATTAAGATTAGAGGCGAAAGTCAAGGGCCCGAGGGAGAAGACCGAAAGACTGAAGGGAAGGTCTCTCAATGGTCCCTCAATTGTTCCACTGAGCTTTCGGTTCCCTTGAGCTCTCTCTAAACTGCTAAACTGCTCTTATCAGCTGTGGATGCACTCGCTCACCCAAATCGATTCGGTTGCCCGATAGGAGCAGACACAGCAGACAGACAGACAGACCCGGATGGACAGGAGGCGGCAGATAGGCGGGGCCAATCGCGAACACCCTCTGGCCGATAGCTGATTACCTTATCGCCGTCGTGTGGAAGTGGAGTGCGTCGCTTGGACTTACAACGATCGCCAGCCAGGAAATTGGGTTGTAGGCTGCCTGGATTGAGTTCCTAACTGGTTTTGGTTTGCCCAGAAAGTGGTTATCAGTTGGCAAAATCAAAAAGACTTCGGTTATTATCATAAGCAAGCTTCGATCTAAAGCGTTTTTAGAACTTATTTTTGGCAATTCAATAATCTTTAGGAAATCACGAACTGAGTTTCTGATTTACAATTTTAGAATCCCAAGGAAAAGCTAGAAAAACACGTACCTTCCGCATTCGAACGAAAGTATTTACATTCCTAAATTTAGGTGTACTTTAGTTGGCAAATAACAAACAAAAAACGGGTGGCAATTGTACATTAGTTTAAGCTACGTCTAAAATCCCTAGAAGCCAATTGTTTTTGTGGTTGCAAAATGCTTTAGAAACAACCGAAAATCCATCATACCCTTTTCCAAAAAGGGAAAAAGAAGGAAAGGAAGGCATGTGATGTGCGCTTATCCAAGTTTATTGCAGTGATAAAATAGATTGAGCCAATTCCCGTCCGGAGATCGGGTTGTGTAACACCTGTACGAGCACATATAGCACTTGGGCACACATCGGAATAATATATGGCCGGCACTCTCTGTTTCACCATGCCATGTGCGATGTGCTCGTACATATGTAATCGCAGGGAAAGTGAGGAGAAACGAGGAGTGAGGCGGGGTATGGAACTCAATTTAAGCGCGCTAAACAATTCTACACACAGTTTAATTAACACTTTGGGCTTGGGGGGAATCGTGGGGAAAGGGGCGGCTGTAGTTGGGCAATTACTAATCAAAAGCGGCTTGCACATTGAATCACCCTAAATGCTGGGAAATCAGAAGTATCTAAGCTATCCGAATCCGTTTACGATCTATAAATCATACAGCAATGTGGTATAATATATTATTGTGCAAATTGGCGGACAATGGTGTTTACTTGGGGAAGCGTGTCACCTCAGGATCTTAATGGCCAAAACTATTTAGATGGGATGGGTGGGCATTACACCCTCTTACACACTTTGGCGTTGACAAAGTCCGGTTAAATGCGATTTCAGTCAGCTGAGAATCGCTTTCCGCGCGCGTTTATTTCAACTCGAAAGCGACTCGCCTTGAGCCAAACCCGTTCTATCCCGTCGCCCCAGCGTCCCGTGAACCTCCCTCCCGCTTCCCTCCTCGTTCCACGCCCGCCAAGAGACCTTGACCCGCATGCCGCCATGCGATGGCAATGGCGATGATTTGAATCAGCTAAGGAACGCAACTGCCACCGCCGAGTTTCGGGGACGCCGGCCAACGTCCATTTGGGATACCATGGTATACTATATACTATACTACGTCCCTGTTTCCAACTGTTCGTGTTTCTGTATACGGACAACGATGGAAAGGGTGCTCAATGGGTGAATGGGTGCTTATGGCTAGGGCACTCCTAATTCGCCACTTGATGCATAATAGATAAGGCACTGACAAAATCAAAGCACCTCAAATTAATACCCCCATGCGGGTCCCACTCAAAATGTAAACTTATTCTGGAAGCTCAGAAGGAAATTGTTTCTCTCTATAAAATGTACCCGAATGTATTACTTTTCAAGCTTAATTCGACTGCATAAATAATCAGGTGGTGAGAAATCATTTCGCCAGAGGCAAATAATTCTAAACTTGAGTACTACGTAATCGATGACAGCAGCAAATAGCTGTTATAGGTTCACTACATCTCCACATCTTGCCAAATTCGTTCCCCAATTCGGATAGGGTAAAGTATATTCGTCATGGATCAGAAATGAGGTGCTAGCTCATTGGTTTCGTTTCAAAAACAAACTTAAGGAACGCTTAAGTTGAATAGTTGACCTACTAATTACCATATATTCAAATGGATCCCCTTGGCAGGGCGAACAATAGCGAACAATTCTAAGCCCAAGTAACTATGTAATACCACTGAGATACATAAACATAATACCAAACTATTCCAGTTCAACTTTGGAGCAATTGTTAACCTAGTACAAACACTTGTTTCAACACAATTATATAAGTAAATGGCTAATTGAATGAATCGTTTTGCGGGGAAGGGCAGAACCGAATCGGTTTTGGGAGTGGGGGCTGCGTAACGCCACCCAGATTGCCAGATTGCCAGAGTGCCACCCCATCAACTGCATAACGCAAGTGCAGTGGGTGCGTGTGTGTGGGCGGCAGACTGCGGGTAAAATCAATAGGCATCCTGCCGAATGCATCCTACTCACTTGTTGGTGATCTCCAGGACGTCGGACATCATCAGGCGGTACTTGCGGCGGAATCGCTGACCGTGGCTAGTCTCCAGCAGGTACTTGTTGCAGAAGTCGGTCAGCGAGACGAAGTAGATGAATCCCAGCGAGGTGAGCACCAGCCCCCGCTGCAGCGAGATGCGGTCGCTGCTGTTCGGGATCTGCCACAGGCTGCCGCAGGCCAGGCCCATCGAACCGATGGAGAAGGCCAGCGAGAAGTAGCAACCGCGTCGCGGTGCCTTTTCCATTGCCTTTGCTGTATGATCCTTGGGCTCAAGGTTTTGGGGCTCCTCCTGGCGCACTCCGTTGCCCCGGCGCTGCTGCATCCTGGCGCTGGCTTCCCCTCCTGTTCTCCGTTCCTATATCACTCGACGGTATTGAAATGCACGGCTGATGCTGGAGAAGGAGGAGGCGGCGGCGCAACCTGTTGCGGCAACTGGCTACCGGATTCTGAATCGGAGTCGAAAGCGTATCGGATCCGGACTCCTCGCGCTGCTACTCCCGTAACTGCGGGCGGACTTCTTTCTTTTGGCGGCTGCTCACTGGCTGCAGTGCGTCGGGCGCTGGGACATGGCGGCTGGACAAACGGAACGGAGGAGCGATATAGAGGTGGCGAAATGCCGATGCCAAGACGATGGACCGTGTTTTGAAAATCGAAGACATCGATGTTTGCGGCAATCGCTGGCGCTGCCACCTCTAGAATCCAGCTGAACAGCTTAGCAAGTACACCCTCCTAGCTAGTCGAGACAACCACTACCCTAGCAAATACATGCTCCTAAACTAACGAGTGCAGCGTACTTACCTAGCGAAGACACTCCCTAGTAAGGATATACACCAGAGTTAGCTGCGATAGGTTTTATAAAACATCGAATTTAGGGAGCGGGGTTTTTAAAATTTGGAAAACACACAATGTGTTCTGTATTAACAAATAATTACTTTTTGTCTATAATATAAAACACCTATTTGTATAATTTTTTAGATTTTAAATGCACAACTGAAATGCTCAAAAATATCGATCCAACAATTTGAAATGTCAAATCATATTGAGCTGAGTTAGTTGTCATATATTTTGTTCACTTTGTCACTTCAGTGTCTCAAACAATTTGATTTCGTTCGGTTGTCGAGTCAGCTTCATTTTCATTTTCGTTTTCAATTTTGTGGGTCAATCGCGCTTTTCCGCTTCGCTTTTCACGCCGTTTTCTCCGCTTATCGATTGCAAAAACGGTAATAATGCCGCACTGCCGGGAAATCAAAATGGTTCTGAAGCGCTTCACACGCTGCCACGAAGAGGAGATCCCCCCCGAGCTGGAGGGCTACTTGAAGTTCGTGTCCAGAACCGGGAAGACCGTCTACCGCTGGTACAACCTGAAGTACCTCTTCCGCCAAAAGCTGATCAACGTGATCATGAATTTCGGGGGATCCCGTCCAGAAGGTGGGTTTTCGGTGTTACTCATGCGAGATTTTCCAAGGCATAACTTATAATAACTAACAATCAATATAATAACAACAGTAATTATAATAACAATAATTATAGATAGGTTTTTTAACATTTAAAGTTAGCGTGCCAATCTTGAAGCCTTTAAAGTTTTTCCGTTTTTCTTCCAGATATTCCCAGCTACCCCAATGTGGATCCCTTTAACTTTGAGAGAATCAAGACCACCCTTCTCGCCCGCCTCGAACTCTTCGAGGCCGCTCCCTTCACCATTCAGCGTCTGTGCCAGTTGCTCGTCTTTCCCCATCAGCACTACTCTCGAGTGGACAAGTTCATGCGCGCCGTGGAGCGCTGCATTCTGGGTAAGTCCCCACTCGGGAGTCCTTTTTTGGAGAGAGAGAGATGACCTGTGGTATCCCAACCCTCCGCAGTGGTCACCACCGTTGATCAGAAGGGCAGGCGACCCCGCGATATTGCCTACCAGGCGTTGCAGTTCAGCGAGGAGGAGGAGGAGGAGGAGGAGGCTTCCCCATCAGAAGTCAACGTTGCAAGCGACGGTGAATGGGAGAGAGAGGTGGAGCCGGTCGCGGTGGATGAAGAGATGGAGGGACTGGTGGAGGAGGAGGAGGAGATGGAGGGGTTGATGGAGGAGGAGGATGAGGCTCCCATCACCTTTCCCACATCCACTCCCGCTTCTCCTTCCCCGTCCAATTCCCCTTCCAATCCCATTCCCACTTTCACTTTCGTTTTCAAACCCCATTCCCCTCCCAGTTCCCCTCCCCCTTCCCCACCCACATTCACTCCCACACCCTCGCCTCCCACTTCCCCACCCTCTCTTGGTGCTCAGAAAGCCAGGACTCCGCGCTCGGACGACATCATCCAGCCGAGGGCCAAGAAGATCAAGATGCGAAGGGGAACCGATGAGGAGCAATCCACGGAGGCTGGGTCGCCAATGGAAATCGATTCGGAATCCGAGAACGAGAGCCAGGACGAGGACGCAGACGATGAAGAGAACAGTGCCCCTTGCCATTACGGTCCTCCATATTACTCCGTTTCCGAATCCGAGTACGAAGAGATCCAAAACGAAAGCGAAGACCAGGACGAGAACTCAGCCGAAGAAGGGGACAAGACCCCGTGCCATGATGGTTCAGCTGATTATAACACTTCCGAATCCGATAACGAGGACAAGGACAAGGACGAGGACAAGAACGAGAACGAGAACAAGGACAAGGATGAGGACGAAGAGGAGTACGAGGACGAGAATGAGGTTGAGAATGAAGACAAGGACGAGGATGAGGATGAGGATGAGGAAAAGGACGAGGACAAGGAGGATAAGGATGAGGAAGAGAACGTAGATAAGGTCGAGGATGAGGATGAGGAAGAGGACGAGAACAAGGACGAGGATGAGGAAAAGGACAAGGATGAGGATGAGGAAAAGGACGAGGACAAGGACAAGAATGAGGAGGAGGACAAGGTCGAGGATGAGGACAAAGACATGGACGAGGACAAGGTCGAGAACAAAGCCAAGGACGAGGACAAGGTCGAGAACAAAGTCAGGGCCGAGGGCGAATTCGCAGAAGGGAACAAGTCCCCGACCTATTTCAATCCCGCATTCTATGGCCTTATCGAAATCGAAGAGGAGGACTATGACGATGGCGATAGCAGTCCCGAGTGGTGGGACGACTCCGAAGAAGAGGAAGAGTCTAAGAGCGGGGAGGAGTCCGAGGACGAGGACCAGGTTGATGAAGGGAACAGGAGGATCCCATCCATTTGGGGTCCTCGGTATAATGAGATCGACATGGTTGATGAAGGGAACAGGACACCATCCCATTGGGGTTCTGCGTATTATGATAACGAGGAGGAGCAAGAGGACCAGTTTGATGAAGGGAACAGGACCCCATCCCATTGGGGTCCTGCTTATTATGATAACGAGGACAAGTACGGGGATCATAACGATGACAGGATCAGGAACCGCAATAAGAAGAAGCGATACGGTCCTGCCAGTCCCGATAACAAGAGAGAGTTCGATAACAAGAAAGAGTTAGATAACAAGAAAGAGTTAGTTAACAAGAAAGAGCTCGATAACAAGAAAGAGCTCGATAACAAGAAAGAGTTAGACAACAAGAAAGAGTTAGACAACAAGAAAGAGTTTGATAACAGGAAAGAGTTCGATAACAAGATAGAGTTAGATAACAGGAAAGAGGTCCGAAACCCCAAAAAGCGATGAATAGACCGAGCCCAACCACGTTGAGAAGCCCAATGACGGATATGGGGCCGATGATGAGTCTGGATGGTTACCCTTCCCCTACCCAATGTAACTCAACTCTTAAAACACAACAACAAACCAAAGGGAAAAAAGGACCCGTCAAAGAATCCGATGCGCCGATCCGTTTCCCTTTTATTTTTACACCTATTATTTTACTATATTTGTACTCACACCCTAAACTTCATATAAACACCAAAAGCAAACCAAACTTTTACAAATAGAGGAGCTCCGCAATGAAAACATAACTTTACATAACAATAAAAAAACATTTTTATGATCTCCTGACCCTTTTCTTTCATAAATAGCTAAAAAATATAAGAAATTTTAAGTGTTTTAGTTTTAACCCTAATTCTAAACGAATTGTTTACATGTTTTTTTCAGAAACAAAAAGACTTTTATCTTTAAACGCACATGCTTTAAGACAATGTACTTGTTTTTAATGAAGTCGCTCTAAAATAAAAGAGCTTGTTTACGTTCTCAGAAAAATAGCCAGGCTGCGGCCTAAATAAGCGAATCGTTTCATTCACTACTCAGTTAAAATTGATTAACAAATCAGTAGTTTTCCGTTTACAAGGCCGAAATGACACGTTCTCCCTCGACCTCCTGGTCAATCCTCAAAGTTCTCATCCTGGCGGTGGCTTTCGCGTGTCCTTCGTTTGGCCAGAACTATTGTGACCCGGCTCTCTGTCCGAGTGGTCGACATGTGGCCTGTGGGAGCAGCGGAGTAAGCCTAAATCTTTAAGATGTGTTTAGATGTTTAGTGCTTGCTGATATCTTGAACAGAAATTTGAATGTCCCACCCATATTAATCCACCAACATAAAAACCAAATTGCTAAAATTGACGAGTTTTCATTCTTATTTTGTGGAGAACTTTAAAAAATTACAAATATGTATAAGCAATGTATATATATATTATTTTTGCAATAATATTGTCAGATATTTTATAAATGACTGATTTTAATTTTTAAGTAAAAATGTTGAGCTTAGTTTATTAACGTGTTAACCGAAATTTATCCCAATGACTTCTGAATTATTGCCAGGGGTCTTGAATTTAATAAACATATATTTTATATATGTATATATTATATCTATACTTTGCTCCATCACTCTTGATTAATTAATCCGACCCGTTAAACTAGCGCTTCGTCAGCGGCTGCAGGGGAGAGTTTGTGCCAGTGGACCAATACATCCAGCAGATCCTGCAGCTGCACAACGAACGGCGCAATCTGGTGGCCGGCGGCGGGGTGAGCGGGTTCCCCAGTGCCCTGCACATGGCCACCATGACCTGGGATACCGCTCTTGCCCAGCTGGCGGCCTACAATGCGCTGCAGTGCCGCATGGCGCACGACGAGTGCCGCAACACGAACGCCTATCGCTATGCGGGCCAGAACCTGAGCATCCTCTTCAGCAGGAGCGTGGACGTGGCGGACTTCCTGCGCCAGCGGATCGCCGCCTGGTTCGACGAGAATCGCGACGCGACCAGCGCCGACATGGAGAACTACCAGATGCGCGGCGGACCGTGAGTAGCATCCGTGAGGGGCATCCCTTAAGTTGGCGCTGGTTTCAGCTATCATTCATTTTTATCTTCACATTTAATAGAGCTCCCGAAATAGGTTTACTTATTTTTTCTCAAGCTGAATCGCTATCTTAAAAACAGGTAAAAGTGATCAATTTATTTTTTCGTAAGCTGACTGGCTTTTTTAAAAACAGGGAAAAGTGTTTGCACCCTAATTTCTCTCTAAAAAAAATTGAGTTTTCTTTTTGTAAAAGAAAAAGTTTTGAGGCAAACATTTTTTTAGGAATCTATAAAAGTTTTTTATTTTTAGAAATTCGAAAATCGAAAAATATGTTTTTTAGTTTTTAAATTGAAATATGTAGGTATTGCATAATATATTCCTGGTTTCTTTGTGATCTTTATAGTTCCATAGTGTGCTTATTATAGTTCAAAATACATTATATTTTCTCGATCGCAGGGCAATCGGCCATTTCACGACCATGGTGAATGAACGCAACAGCAGAGTGGGGTGTGCCATTGCCCGATATACGGACGCCAATAACGTACAGGCAACTCTGCTGGTGTGCAACTACGCGGTCACCAATGTGGTTAACAATCCCGTTTATCGAGCGGGATCTGCCGCCTCGGAATGCACAACAGGTCGCAACCCCAACTTTCCAAACCTCTGCTCCTCGAATGAAGCCTACAACTACAACCAATGGTCGGGATAAAAGAAGAAGAACTTTTGCCTAAAAATATAACTGAATTTTATATATTTGTACATGTAACCATATAATTAATACGATTGTTTTGTTTAAAAACCTTGATTCGAGGATTCATTTTTGTGTATTCACCAATTTACAGACACGTCACCACATAGAGTGGCTTTCAATCCAAGAAGGTAGACCAAAGACATTGCCAAATTTGATTTAATTTAAATTTATGTTTGAATTTGAATTCGATAGATATTAGTGTTGCGAAGAAAAATTATAAAAAAAAAATAGAAAAAAGGAAGACGATGTGAATTCCTTAATCGATAGTATGGAAACTGGGACTGGTTGGCAAGTGTACTCGCTAAAAAGGACGGTGTATTCGCTAACCAGGAAAGTGCACTCGCTATTCCGATCCGAGTTTCCAACCAACCCGGTTTTGGCTTAAATAAACCATTTTTGTGGGCCAAATTTAGGGACAATGTGATCTTAGTATTTTTCGGTATTCATAGTCGAAGGCACTGGGAAAAGAGCCATTTCGCCATCTGGCAACACTTGCAACGGAACGGGGACTGAAATCGGTAAAAAATGGCGAAGAGTGTTTGTTGTGCGTGCGCGCGAATTGCGATCCTTTTGGCCATATGCAGTGCGGTGCCCAACACTTCGGCCTGGTGTAAGTGAATCCTATTGGAGTCCCAATTAATACGACATTTTTGTAAACCGAGCCGTGCCGCTCTTCCTCTTCCACTATCTCTGTTTCTCTTTATCCACCTTGCAGGTGTGTGCGTGTGTGTTTCTGAGTGCGTGTGTGTAAATCTGGTTGGGTTGTTAATTTCTTGTACGCAATTCGAAAAATTCCAATAAGACGGAGGCGAATCGGCCTAAAAGCAAAGCCCACCTATTTTCTGGGGAGCTACGCACATATGGACAATATTTGGATGGTGTATTTATGCATTTACGGCCCGTTGTTTGTACACAAAGTCCACAAATACAAATCATCGTGGTTCTCTTTAGGAACGGGGGAGGGGATGAGGGGACCAGTTTTGTATTTTTTTTTTCGTATGGTGAACTTTACTGCCATGTTGTATTTTTTCCGTTTTTTTTTTCGTGTGCTGGCACATCAAATGCGTTAATTGACAACAACGAAAAGCCAAATATTTTGTGTTTGTGTGTGTGTGCGAGCAGCCGAGTGTGAAAATGGGCAACGTCCTGTGGCCAAACAACCCCAGCCCCCCTGAAAACTACAAGAAAAAACAACTCCAGCCGCCTCTGCGTTTTTTTATTTTTGAGTTTTGTTTTGTGCGACGCGCTCATTTGCGCCATGCTCCACTTAACGTGCAACAATTTTCCATCTGCGACGTCGCCACCAGGCGAACAACCTGCATATATCAATTGAAATCGCTGATTAAGGCGCAAAAGCTTATTGTTTTGTTTTGCAATTGAAACGATGGAGCTAAACTGGCAACACTTTTGCCACCGTTCTGTTCTTGCGCGCCTTTCTGCGACAGGTGGCAACATTGCGCACCGGCTAACGGGGCTTTATAGTTTTCCCCAATAAGAAACGGGAATGGGTACTGGAGAAAAGTGCTTACGTAACGAGTATTACCACCAACCACACAACACACACCACCCGCCACCCACCAGTCCACCGGCACCACTGAGTGTGCTTGATTTGCTCATTTCCATCTATTTATGTCTTGTTGATTCAGTTTGTACGCCGTTTAGGTTTCTTTGTCTGCTTATCGGCTCATTTGTTCCCAGCCAACCACATTTCACCTGGCATCAGTTAAAGTGCATTCGGTTATCTGCGTGGCCAACTAAAGTGCTATTCACTCTGCCGTGCATCTGTCTTTTTTCTTTGGTTTTTGGTTTCGAATCAGCCGCAAGGACTATAAAACGCCGGTTGCATTGATTTAAACTATATTTCTTAAGACAGGTGTATATTTTTCTAATTGGAATTGACAACCTATAACTTTGTAGTTTGCAACATGTTGCTTTGTTTACTTTACGCAACTCCTTACATATGGAAATCAATGATATGAGATTGAGATTGACTTCCTTTCTAAGTACAAAGTTATTTGAGCTCCACTATTAAAGCATTAATTAGGTAAATTTTGGGATTTCTAAAATAAATGGCAGCTCTAAAACAAGTCACTCATTGCTCATTGTTGGCGATGCAAAGTCAAATTCTTTCATCATCGTCTTGTGGGGAGCACGCATGGCTTATCTGTGGCAGAGTTACAATTGTATAATTCGCAACCCAATCCCACAGGACTTGCATCTGGCGGCAGTCGGCTACTGGCACCGCTATCGCTTATTAAGGCCATTCACGCATGGCTCCAATCTGTTGGCTTCTCCGCGCTTCCCAGTATTACTTCGCCCGTTGCGAAGTTTGCAATCAGCTCTGAATCACCCATCTTCACAGCTTTCCGGTGTCCATAAGCATCGGAAACCGTCAGCGAGAGAAAGTCCCCACCTAAAAATATACCGGGAAAGAACAGAACAAAACACAATCAAATACCTTAACGATTTTGTATACACTCAGAAAAAAGAGAAACCCTTTGGTATAGGAAACTGGCTGTTGAATAAAAAAAATGCCATGATTTTAACCTAACGGTGACTTAATTTGATAGTATCTTTACCTTTCTGAACATCATTAAAAATTATTCTAAAAAAGTATGTATTCATAATAGACAAAAAGTAAATCCATAGAATTTAAATTATTAAAAAAATAAACACTTACCACTTCGAACTCTGATGACTGAGCCAGAAAAATCAGCTGTTTCTTCTTTTTCACAATTACAAATAAAACGAAACAGGTCAAAAATCAAAGCAAATTACACAGTCACAAAAAGTTCTTATCTTTTATTGACAATAAGAAGTGAGCTAAAATTATTGATAATCAAATTCTGGGTGTGTAAAGTTGTAGTTTTCCCTGGGTAAATATTTAACCAAATTGATTGCTTGTTTATGTACACGTACTACTTTCTGATAACAAGTGTAAATACTTCATTGGGTCCAAAATTAGACTTTCTTCTCGTCTTCTACTTTATTGTTAAACAATGAGTGGCGTTTGAAAATTCAAACATTTAGATCTAAGACGTCTTCTCAAGCTTAAATGATTGCACATTCATTTTGTGTGACCAACAATAATAATAATAATTAAATTAGTGATTTAAATAATTCTTAAATGTATTTGCAAAACGCTTGTATAAGTTAGATGGATGGGTTTTTCCATCGATTGACTTCTAATGTTTTCAAAAAAAAACCCGGTGTCAAAAATGTCAGGTCTAAAACTCTGATGACTAAAGCTATTTCATCTGAACCAAGAGAACTAGGAATCTCAAGTGCGAAAGGTACACCAGGTTATCTCTAGTCGCCGATATTGATGTTGTGCTGTTTATAAGACATAAAACAAATCGCAAACAGGTTCCAACATAAGGAATGGTTTCAAATTTCACATGTCACTTATAATCTATTATTTAAACTTTAGGCTCAACAAACAGTTCAAGAAAATATGGTTTTTTTGGCAACATGTGCAAATTTCGTATCGATATGCAGACATTGCTAGCTCGTAAATTTTGATAACAAGTCGTCAGAGCTTTGTGATAATTTATGTGAGGCGTTGTTCAGCCAAATTTTTTTGCACGAGCGACACAAATGCTTTTATTTAATATTTGCAATAACCTACAAAGTGAAGTGCAATAATTGGGACAGAAGCAATAGCTTTGGGAGTTGGAAACCAAACTCTTCAGAGTTCAGGTTACAAAGAATGCCACACGCGCAAGTTCAAGTTGCAGTACTTCTTCAGCGAGCCCTTTTCCGAGTTCCCAACTGTAACCAAACAATTGGATCCATTGTGGATCTGCAAGATCTGCGCATTTCGACAAGTGCATCGTTTGTCAGTGGTTGCTTGGCCATGGGAAGATCATTAGCACCAGATCATCTTCTGGTTGCCCTGTCGCTCCGTTTCTGGGAATAAAAAGCCGGGCATTGCCCACAATGTTCCCCTCGATGGAGGGGCTGATAAGCTTTTCCGTCTAACGGCGATCGAAGAACGGTAAGAGTATTGTCACTCCGGCCACGTTTGTCCGGTGCAACCAGCGGATACGATTGGTGCACTCCAAAAAACAGGCGTGCATTTACAATTTATTCAAAAATATTTTGAGATTGATTTACTAATTATAATATAATATGTAATATATACAATATATATATTATAATATATAAAAACCCTTTAAAAAAGTTAAATGTGTAGGGAACCACTTACAGCATTTAAAATATCTTACTATAAATAATAAATCATCATCAACACATTAGCTTATAATTTATGACTCTTCAACTTCCACAGTTTTTATTTTATTTCCATCTCGCTTTCTATTCCTTGTTTTCTCTCTCTCTCCCTCTTTCTCGGGGTACTCTATATTGTTCGAATTTGTATAAAATAATGTTGATTTGGTTTTTTGTAAGTGTAGTGGTGTTTGTGTACGTGTTTTACCGCCCGTCAATTAGCCGGACAAGTTCAGGTAAAAAAGCGTGCGACGCAAATTGCCCGCCGAAAGGCGAGGCGTCGGTGCAAGGCAGGCGTTTTTTTTTTTTTTTTTTTTTTTAGGGAAACGCGCTGATAAACCGAATTGGAGAGCGCCCCTGGCAAACCGCTAATCAGTGGGATGCAGGTGGAGGTAATGGCGTAGAAATGCGGTAAAAATAAGATAGGAAAGCTGCTGAAATCCGGCCTTAAAGGCAAAAATTCAACCGTTCTTGCGTAAGGAGATATTTCTTCGAAGGGAGGTGGTGGTAAACCTTAATGCGAGTGAACAATTGCAGGTGCTATCTTCTAAAAATTAAAACTTTACTTGTAGTGTGGTTCCTCTAGATAAATACTACCTTTGAAAATTCAAACCAAGAAAGAAGAGAAGCTAAATGCACTTGTGACTAACATTCTAGGTGGAATGGTATTAACAACTCAAACAGGGCTCGAATACATTTGAAAAACTGCTGTGCTTTTTGTACTTACGTGTACCAAACGAAGCAAAAACGAACACTTTTGATGGGTTATTTAAATGCTTGAGCTCAATGTTAAGTGATTTCACAATGGGATTTCAGCAGTATTTCGAAATAAACAGAAAAGAACCCTTCACAAATGTTTCTTGCTCGTTTTTAGAATACATGTTCTTGCTGAAAAACATTTGCTTTACTATTTTAGTATGGTCATTAACACTATATTAAATGAGCACTAAAACGAGCAATTTGTAGTTCATTAATTTGTTGTGGGAATAAAGTTCCCAAATCCATTCAAAGTTGATAACCGAAGCAGTTTTGCGATAAGGTTTTTTCAAACAAAGGCAAATTTTGGGAATGCAGACAAAAAAAAGGTATGAAAAAAGGTATACAAAAAAATATGGTGCGATAAGGATTATTTCCCAGTGTGTTGTTTTTAAACTCTGGGGAATTTGAATATTTCTAATCAGTTCAATGAGTTAGTTTGCTTTCAACAATTTTAAATTATCAAGGACATTTAAAAATTCTTTAAAGTGTAAGAACGAAACTCTTTTGAATCAGCCAAAATATATGTATATAATATAATATATGATAATATATAATTAAACTGTATTTTATGCAAATCCTATGTTAGAATATTATTGATAATTTCCTTAACAAACAAGGTGTTCTTTCCTCACATTAAACGTTTTGCAGCACGAAATTGATTTTGATAAATTTCGAGCTCACTGCTCTATAGTGTGATGATCTTGAGATCGACTTTCATTGATTCATTCGTCCTTCACACCTTGTTTTGCAACCAATTTCACCCAGAAGCGACAATTAAAGATCGTATGCGGATACCCGAAAGTGGGTCACTGTGCAAATTATGCGTTCCACTTGTGGACTTCTTAAGGTTTCCCTAAGGTCATTATCATGACATACCAGAAAAGCCTACACTGAGAAATATAGAAATGAAATGAGCTAACAATCATTAATTTAATTAAAGTAACAACACATCATAACTGATGGATATTTAAGAAGGAATTCCTTTTTTTATTTTGGAACAATATGAAACTATTGTGTTTAAGTGGATCTGAGTAAATCGATATAGGAATGGCTTCTTAAGATTCTTTCATGGTATTGAAAAACGAATCGGTTTTCAATCAAGTGCCGCATAAATTTACGCCAATTATTTCAACGGCCATAACAGAAACCCTGGGGAAAGACAACAAACCGCCACTTACAGCAATTAACATCGGGTTCAATTGGATCGGCGTCACGCGAATGTTGATCGCTTGCGGGGAGGAGGTGGTGGGTGGTGGGTGGTTGGGTGGTTGGGTAGTGCTGGGTGGTCGGTGGGTGGTGGACAGAAGGCGGTCCCACTAGATGTGCATGTCATCTCATCTGCGATGGGGCTTCGCTGAGTCACTTTGATCGCAGTGGCACCTAAACTTATTAATCGTTACGAAAGTGGGATAAATAGAGCATGCCGGCTGATAAGCCTAATGATTTTCTATTGTTTCGTAAATAAGTATGAGTAAGAAACGCGAATAAAAGTGCACTTATTCATAATAAAATTGGTTAGCTTGTTCAATTGCTTAAAGCATTCTCATTTATTTAAAATAGTTATATTATAATTGTGCTTAGATACAAGTTAGTTCTACAAAACGTTTCCTATTCATTATTGCACATTTCATTGTAGACTTCAAATGCTGTTAGCAGTGCTCTCTGTTTTTCAAGTTCAGAAGAAACGTGATAGTTCTGTGCACTTTTTGTGGCAAAGTTGTTCCTTGACGTTGTTGCAGCATTGTAAACAATAACTTTTACACGTACGAGTCTGTATGTCTGTATGTATGTGTGTGTGTGTGTGTGTGTGGCATGGTGGTGCACACACTAACGAAGCGGAGCGAAAGTCTCACGGGTGAGCGGTGCCGAAACTTCTCCCGGCGAATCACTCGAATGCCATTTATCCGGGAAAGAGAGAGCAGTGAGCAGTGTGTGTGAAATTGACCGGAAAGGATCCGGCGTACTGACTTTCGATTAGCAGCTTTTACACAAGTTGCGGATACTGTGCTGGTTTTTGCTTCACATCAAAGTATTTCTTTGGCAAATATTAGCTATTAAAGAAATACAAACCAAACGTGAAATTGAATCTATTTTTCAATATTGCAAATATTTATTTGAATACCAGAAAGCATTCTTTTTGGTTCCCCAATGACTTGTCTTGTTCATAAAAACTTTAAATTGATTAATTTTTAGTAAAAACTGCGTTTAAAATATATTTCACTCGTTTTATTATTTGGCAAAACAACATATACAGTATGCACACACTATACGTGAGCATTAGTGTTGAATTGAACTTAAAACGCTGATTTATATTATCCTCCTAAGCCAATTGCTAATTCCATCAATCACGGCTTACGTTCTGTCAGTTTCAAATCGAATGCAATTCTGCTCGTCAGCTTGTTATTGTTGCGGCAATTGTAATCGATATCGTTTGTTTATGGGTATGCCCCCCTAAAACCGCTGAAACCCCTGAGCCACCCAACCACTGAGCCACTGAACCACTGAACCACCCAACCACCCAACCACCAACCACTGACCGCACTCTCGAATTGTTGTAATTGTAAATTGCAGCGGGGCCGACTGGTAGATGGTCTTATTGCGGTGATTGTACAAGTACGCTTATTGCTTATGGCTTATGGCTTATGTCAGGACATGTGAGAACGGTAATAGAAAATCAATATCGAGGGTGGCCGTTGTGACTAGCAACTGGGTTAATTGCAACACAAGCAAGTGGGCACCAAGTGCGGTGGCAGCCCTACGAATGTCCTGCCCGGTCTTTACATCGCCAGGATATCCCGTGGTCTTGGCCGACGAGCTAAATTTAGACTTATTGTAACCTCCTCCGGATTTGTATGCTTCAGAAGTGGTTACATATTATGTGTTCACTTCTGGCTTAAGAACTTTCACGAATGCAAAATATATGATAATTAAGGATATATTTTATAATACCTCTTAAAAACTATTTTAACATAAAAGTTGTATATTATTATATAGAACATTTCATGCAGTACAAACATGTGGTTTTTTTCGTAGAGTCAAAGTGTCTCTGAAAACCTGATTTGTTTATGGCTAACCCGAAATGTATATTGTTTCTAATTCTTGAGACAGCTCACGCAGCAAAGTCAGCTTAATGAGTCATTGAAATGCGCGATGAGCTTGAAACCGAGTTCTTCCGCCACCGAAAATCCTCCATTATTTATTAAATTTATTTCGGAAGCTTTTAAGTGAGGGAAACGTTTGACAAACTGTTGAGTTCTTGACTTTGAAGAACATTCTAACCTTTGGTAATTTAATTTGCTAACTTATCCGTTCGTTTTATTCATTTACAGCCAATCGGGATAGCTACGAACCGCTGGACTCGAGGCTGCCAGTGCTAGATACTTACGGAGTGGTGCCACTGACGACGAGCCAGCTGCACCGCCAGAGACGAGCGGTTCCAGTGGACGCGAAGGCGGATGCGAATGTCCAGTTGCAGAGCGGCAATGCGAATGCCAGTGCGGCAGCAGCAGCAGCGGGAGCAGCAGCAGCAGCTGGAGCAGCAGCTTCAGCGGAGACCACGGTGACCACTGTGGACAGCAAGACGGCCGGAGGCAGTGTGTCCTACAATGTGCACAACGTGGGAGTCAATGGCACTGGACAGCGGAAGGCCTACAGCATCGGTGACGGAGGTTCGCCGGTTGCCGGGTCCAATATCAGCACCACCATCAATGTGGCCGCCAAGAAGCCCACCCAGCTGATGGCCCAGTCCACCTATCCCAAGAAGGTGGCTCCCTCCGCCGTGGCAGTGACGAATACGAACACAGACCGCTCCACGGCCGGTGAAATCGATGTGGATGTGAGCGGCGTGGATGTGCCGGAGGACGAGATCAACGAGGCGGCGAAGAACGAGTCGCTGGTGCGCAGCGAGGGTGCGTTTGACTACTACAACAGCCTGCAGTACATCAACAAGCAGGAGGTGTCCGCCCTGTGGACCGAACTGAAGAACACTCCCGTCAACGACATGCTATCCTCGTCCCATCGACGTGCCATGACCGTGGAGCTCAAGTTCGACTTCCCCTTCTACGGACACTACGTGAGGAACATCACGGTGGCCACCGGAGGATTCCTCTACACGGGCGAGTACGTCCACTCCTGGCTGGCGGCCACCCAGTACATCGCTCCTTTGATGGCCAACTTCGACACGAGCATCTCCAACGACTCCTTCGTTCGGGTCCAGGATAATGGTGAGCTGAACCCATTAGTTTGACTCCTCAAACCGTAATGAATAGTCCATAAGCATTTGTTCATCTGTGGGTATCCAAAATGTTTTCATTTTGAATTGAAATCGAAGAACGAAAACCTTCGTAAAAATAGTTAGAATCTAATTTTATTGGAAGTTTAATTTCCCCAATTTTAGAAACCTCTTCCTCATCTCCATTAAAAACCTTCCTTAAATTATTTTCTGCTTAAGCTAAAGCTTTCGGTGTTTCTTTCTGTTGGTTATTTTTGAGAATTTCTATAAATTGGCATTTAATATTATTTATTATCAGCTTTAAATCATCTTGCTAAATACTACACACTCTGGATTGAGTAATAATTCTTTCGTTTTAAATACATATTGAATAATAAGGGGAATGAATAGCTGACTACAAAGAAGGCAAATGCATCATTCTATTAAAACTTAATGATGCATTCTCAGAATTACTATGTACTGCATTTAGCAAGAACAGTGTCTTATCACTTTGTTTTCTGTGGAGTCTATGAGTAACACTAATTGCATAGAGTAAATTTAAAAACAAGTATATATAAAAAACAAATGAACAAGTGCAAATGAAGAACAAAGAATGCATAGAACTACAAAAATAGGTGATACGCATTTAAGAGTAAACTGTTTTTGCTAAAACGACAGCTGTACTTCTGCTCAGTTTCACTAGAAGCCAAATGTTTACTTTAACAAATACCACCTGGGTTAATATGCCCGTGGTAAATACATTTTATTGATTTAATAATACATATAAATACATTTCATTCCCAAAGACTAGACTTGCATATGACTTTGTGTTTTAAGAAGTTGTTTACAAAATCGTTGGACTTTTGAGTACCTGAAATGGTAACAGAATTTCAAGTGATTTCGTTGTTGATTGTTGAAAAGGTTTATGAGTTTGGGATTAGTAGAGAATATGAACTTGTTTACATTTTTTAAACTTGTAGTCCTTCCTGGTATTGATATCTGATGGTCAGTACACTCTATGTACATCATCCATCGCTAGATTCATTTAACAAATGGTGCTGTAAAAGTCTAAATATTTATCAAAATCAATCCCTATTCCAGGAACCGCCTTCACCGCCGTGTGGGAGAATGTGACGCTGCAGGACAAGCCGGAGTTTGGAAAGTTCACGTTCAGCGTAACGCTTCACCAGAGCGGCGACATCGTGTTCACCTACCTGCAGGTGCCCACCCAAATAAACACCATCCAGGACAACAAGCACCCGGTGAAGGTCGGCCTCTCCGACGCCTACATCATTGACAAGAATTTATACTGTAAGTACTTGTTTATTTCGAACTTAAAAACCGAACTCACGAACATCCCTTCCATTTCGATAGTTGCCCGCCGAAAGACAATCTACGAGTACCACCGAGTCACTTTCGTGCAGCATGAGATCACCAACCACACCATCATCAAGCTGACAGCTCTGCCCACCTGCCTGGGCTACAATGACTGCACCTCGTGCATCAACCACAACACAACCTTCACGGTGAGTGCTGCTGGATCCACGGGTTCCCCTCAATCTCACTTCAATTCCAATTGAATCCCAATATATATTGTTTTGCAGTGCCTCTGGTGTCCGGCGCTGAATCGCTGCTCCACGGGCACGGATCGCAAGAAGCACGAGTGGATTCAAAAGGGTGAGTATTGCATGAAGAGCAGCTAGATGTTGGAAACTAATTATTGAATTTATCTGCAGGATGTGATGCTGCCGCTGTTCATGTGGCGAGCAACTGTCCGGCGCTCGGCGAGAAGGGCAACAATGCCCCACCGGCGAAGAGTGGTAACGCGAACAGCGGAGCCGGCAGTGCGACGAACGCCTCCACGGCGACCACCGGCTCCTCGACGCCGGTGACGGAGCCCACTGTGATCAGCACGCGGGCACCGCACGCCACCGCCCAATCGAAGCCGGAGGAGGATGCCGCCGCCGCCGCTGCCGCCTCCGCCGCTCATGCGGATGGAAAGCTCGGCAATGCCGAGCTCTCGCAAGCGGGGGCGGATAACAAGAGCGTGGGCGTGGCCTTTGGGTTCATGGTGCCCATCTGTCTGGTGTTCGCCGCGACGCTGTGGCTCTTCTACGCGTACCGCAATCCGCACACCAAGAGCGGCCAGCTGCTCATCCACGTAAGTTAATCCTTAGTCCTTTGAGGCTCATGCCGTTTGCCTTGTGCTTTGTGCTTTGTGGTTACTCAATCGACTTCCCGTCCGTTTCTTTCAATTACATGCAGTCCAAGCATTTACACCAGGTTTGTGGCTACACTGTGAACTTATTGGTTCTACTTTTATTAAACCATAAATTTATGAGTTGTACTAAAAACGAACACGAATAGGAAAGAAAGTTTAAAATCAGCACACAAAGTGTTGAGATACGGAGCTTATAAAACTATTAAACAAGAAGATGTTATGTATTTGTAGTTATTAAGGGTTACATTTGTGCCGTTGAGGAATTTAATTTGTGTATGTAGAGGAAAAGCTCTTAATGAAAGATCTTTGAAATACATTGAGATCTTTTAATATTTAGGAAGTGATTTTTTAATAGACTTTTTTGTTCTCTAACTTTATTAGCTTTAATCTGAAAGATCTCTTAATTGAATGATCTCTTATCCCTCTAATATTTATGGGAACCTATGTTATAATTAGATTAGTGTTTTTTCTTATTTAAATCTGAAACCTGCTAATCGCATTTCCATCCACAGTACCGTCCCAGCCAGTGGTCCTGGAGGCGCGGCGAGGCCCGCTACACGGCAGCCACGATACACATGTAGGAGGTGTCCCTTCGAGGTGACGTGGAGGAGTACTGAGATCGCGGACGTGGGACGGGGGAGCTGCAGCTGTACCGATAAGGAACCAACCAACCAACCAATCAACCAATTAACCAACCAACCAACCAATCAACCAACTAACAACATCTAACCAATTGAACCCGACAAGAGCAGTATCGAGAAAGGGAAACTGAGAAGTAGGAGCAGTCGTCATCGCCAACAGCTATGATCACAAACAGGATGGACAAGCTTGCCGAATCCTATATTTTAAAGACACCTGAACCGGTTTGTAATGTGATATTACATGTCCAGGGCAAAGAAAAAGACACATTTTGCACTGATTGAGATTGAGATTCTTTAGATATAACTGCCGCACTGACAACATCAAGCAATATAGATTCCGAACCGATCTGCTCAAGAGACAGGAGAAACAGAAACAGAAAAATTTAAATAAAAAGACGACAGCATGAAGTGATCTTTTAATGTATCTTTTAACCATTTTTAAAAACGTACCGCTGCCCCAGAAATCTAGAAATCTAGAAATCCAGAAATCCAGAAATACCCCCGAAGACAACTAAATAAATATAATATATGTGACCCCCAGAAGGCCAAGGCTCCCACCAGCCACGCACACACGCATACTGACACCAATACCAACAACAAGGCACCTTTAACACACACACACACTCACTCACTCACGCACACATATATACACACATACACACACACAGACACAGGGCAAAGTGCTTTCAATTGTTTCATAGTTCAATTTTGTTTAGTGTTCTTTTATCTTATCTCTGTATCTGTATCTTTTATCCTGTATTCTACCCAAAATCTCGAAAGAGAGAAAGCGAGGACTCTTTGCCAAAAGTTTCTCCTCATTCTGTGTAATGTTTTTTTTTTTAATTCGTTTGTTTTAAGTGTGTGTAGCTTGGCAAGCAATTACGGGATAAGTGTATTACTGTGAGCACTCGTCGCAGTTTTTATAAATGTATTATACGCGGATTGTGTGTTCACTTATATATACTTTATATACATATACACATACACCTGCATCCGTGTGCATGTGGCGTATACATAAATATATATCCAAGACAACCTCTTCTTTTTATACCCTTGCAGAGCAAATTGCATTATAATTGCAGTCAGAAGAGCGCAACGCAGTGAAGGAGACACCTCAGACCCTCAGACCATAAAGTATATATATTTTTGATCAGCAAAAATACGTCTGTCCGTCATAAAGCTGCAATGGGAAAAATCTAAAAATCTATATAGAATTAACTGAAAAAAAATGATAACGTGGTGGTTTTTTATCAAACAAGCATAATTTTTGGAATATAGTGTTTTCTAATGACATATGACTGCAAGGGTATATAAGCTTCGGCTTGCCGAAACTAGCTTCCTTTCTTGTTGTTAGTATTTTTTTCTATTAATTAATATTACAAATGAAAAACAAAGAAAAAAAACTTATATATATATATACATATATATATATATTAATGAATATAAAACTATAACTAAATGCGGTGTGAAAAGCTAAACTAAATTGATAAATAACTAAGTAAGGGAGATTGGAACAAGGAGGGGAGATTTAAATATGTTTTTAGAAATATCAATAAAATCAAACCGATTAAAACACAACAGAAATAAACCCCAAGCATGCAAGCGAAAGCAACTAAGAAAATTGTATAACAATGTATTTTGATAAAGAAATTAAACTTGTTTTTAAGCTCTTCTTATGTATACATGATAATTTAAATAAAAAAAAACATACTCGAAAATTGACTCTCTTTCATCCTCTAACATTTAATTGTATTTTATGCCAAACTGTCCACTTGTAAGTTAATGTTCTAGGTTGGTCAACTCAATCTTAAAGAATATTTAAAAATCAGAAATCATATCATTAAGTTTCTCTTCTAAAAGTGTTCTACTAACGAGGTATGTATATGATTTCTATATTTGTTTTTATAAAAAAATATCAAATATATTTTGTAAATACAAATATATATTGCGATTTAAAAAGGGAATTTCCGGTTGCAGTGAAGTGATGCGATTTCGAATTATATAACACAGAAGCTGATGCTACTGCAAATGCCACCTGTAGGTTACTTTTATATTATCACTGAAGATTATAAACAAAAGCTATTTTCTTATTTAATTTATATTGATTCGTATAAAAAGGGGGCACCACTCAGAATTCGCTCTACCCGTTCAAACCGAGCGATCATCGAAGCCCAAGCTCTTAAGTGATGCAATGCACCACAAAGTAGAGCTGGACAAATCCTCACGCTGCCGGATAGAACGATCCAACTCATCAACGCGGGTGCACTTGGCTTTCAGCTAGTGTGAAAGTATGTGAAGACTGACTACAGAAATGATCCTGTGAAGTATAGTCTTAATGTTCCAGTGCTCGGCTTTAACCCCTTGGTGTGCCCGCTGCTAGAACTGGTTGAGAATTTTATGTAAAAAAAAAATAGAAAATGAAAACTAAACATGCGCAGTGATAACACATTTTCAGTCACGACCTATCCCACACATTTATTTATAGCAGCAGAATGATTTTTCCGACTGTGGCCGACAGGGAGTGTGTTAGCCCATCGAGCAGAAGGTTTAGGGTTCAAGTCTCACCGATGATGAACATTATTGTTTTCTTATTATTCTGAATCATAAATTATTTTTCATATTTCTACGGGTGCAAACTGATGGTATTAAAAATCTATTTGCCTATTTTGGTAATTACTTGAATTATATTTTGTACATTTTCGATTCATTCTATAATTTAATTGTTGATAAATCAACATAAATGCTATGCTACCATTGCTTAATTATAAGGCAGTAAGTAAACTGGGAAAACAAATCAACTTGTTTTCCATGTGGATAAATCTTTTTTCTGTCCATTATAATCAAGAGTGTCTATATTAGGCTAAAAGCTGTATTTTACCTAAAAATCATTTTCATTTTCATAACCATAACCAAAAACCAAAGATAAATTTATTTTAAGTTATTCCCCATCCAGTCAAAAGCACTTATATTTGTTTAAATTTGATTTTTAAAATTTATTAATATTTTCCTGGTTCTTACTATTTCTGTTGGTCTTTTAAACTTTATTAAATCATTAGCTTTGGTTAATGATGCAAGTAGCTCTTTTGCGTTACACATTAATTCGAATTTCCATCTAAACATTTACAGGTTTCCTATGTGGGCGGGGTGGGGATTCTGTGGGATTTGTGCTAAGCGAGCGATGGATATTGGACTAAAGGATGCAGTTGCAGATGGAGATGGAGATGGAGTTGCTGTTGCAGATGTGGATGCAGCTGGGGATGGAGTTCACATCTTCTGCTGAGCCAGTTCGTCGATGGTGCGGGCGTTGGTGAGAGTTACCCAGAGTGGAGCCTGGATGCTGGCCAGCGAGTAGCTCTCGGCGGCGTCCAAGGAGTGCGATTTCCGCATGGCAGGGGAACCTCCTCCGGATGCACTACTCGATCCTGCTGCAGCACCTCGCCGACGGTCCCGTTTGGATTCCCTTTTGGTAAAGGCGGCGGCGGCGGCTCCTTCTCCTCCTCCTCCTCCGCTACTGGCAGCCCGAATCTCCTGGAGGCGACTCCTGCGCTTGGCGGCCGGATCATCCCTCACACTCGCCGTCTTACGGAGCTGAGGCTGTGGAGGCAGAAGCTGCGATGGTTTGGCCACCGGAGGAACCTTCGTCGGCTCCTGAGAATCGGTTTGCTGCTCAGCTGAAGCCAACTCATTGGTGGCCGGCGGAGCAGGGTGCTCCGGCTGCTGCTTGGCTAACTGTTAGCTCGAGGAGAAGGACATCTTGTAGGAGGCGGTGTCCATCGGCGACTCCGGATTGAACATCTCCGTCTGGGTCTGCTCCACGTCGCTGCATCGCTCCTCCAGCACAGTGTCCAGCTCCAGGGAGGTGAAGCCCTGGCTTAGACTTCGTTCAGGACGTAGACTGATAGCTCGCGACGATCGGTAATCTGTGAAAGTTTTCGTGAATGCATTGGAAACAAGTGTCTATTTTAGTCAATCGTTCTTATCCAGAATCGAAAAGCGAAGCGAAACGTGAGTGGAGGACTTGACTGGGATGCGGATGATGTCGCAGGGAATGAACTCAAATGTGTGAAGGATGTGCAGGTGTCACGCAATCAACTTAGTCATCGTGGTGTAAAAAGTGATTTACTGGCATCGCATCTGATGTCTTGGATGACAAAAGCTTCGAAAATATATCAGTGCCAAGCTAGAAAAGCGCTGCTTTTATCTCATATTTTAGCTGATATTTGTCAAAATTAAACTCAGTTTCAGTGGGGAAATCCTTCCCTACACAAGCAGAAATATTAATAAATTCATTTACACTTTAATACCATAGTGTGCTTGCTATGAAATATAGAAAATGGGAAAATCTACTCATGTGTGTGGCTTGCCATGCAAATAAAATGTAAAATAAAAGCGCAACTAGGGGGGAATCGCAAAATAAATATTTCTTTTCAATAAAATGTGTTTATCCTTATGCAAGCAGTGCTTTTCGCTCTTAATTTGGGGGAGGAAATGGGAAATGCATTTTGTTTAACTTTTTGCGGTGGGCAGGCAAATGGATTTACATTAACTCATTTTATTTTCAGCCCTGAAAAGTTTATTGAGCTGTAAAGAAGTGCAAATACGAGTCGGCTGGCAAAAATGCTGTGTGCAAGCCGAGTGGAGAGGAGAAGTTTTGAGGGAACAAAAGGCGGAGGCTTCTGCGGTGACGTGTAATTGTTTTGCAAAAATGTGTGCCAAAAAAAAAAAAAAAAAACGAAAAAAACGAATGCTCCACTGGAGGGCGTGCGGTAAATATGTGTTGTTTTGGGGCCAAGAACCGAAAACAAGCGTAGTTTGCGGTTACCGCTGTTTTCTTGTTTTTGGACGACCTGTGCTTCTGACGACCTCGTCAACTCTACCTTGATCATCATCATCGCTGAGGAGATGCACCGCGAACAAAAGGTTACCCCATGTATGTTGCCAATTCACACTGCTAGCCAAACATTTCAAGAAAATATTATGCATAAAATTTAAAAAGGGTTTTACAAGCACAGTTTCGTTTTTACTTGAGTTTTAGCACAACGACTTGAGATTATTATGAGCTAATTATTTTTACTCCTGAGCAGAAAATAACCAACTTTCGAACAAAGCTACTTAACTGCTGGAATTAATTTACTTTTATATTGAAGAAAAATATTTGAATGTTCTCTAAACAAATTCACCTCGTGAAGTGAACAAAGGATTCCTTTCAGTGCTCGCCAAAAAGGATTCCGACTAGAAGCCTGTGTGATTTAAATAAATTGCAGAAATAAACTCATATAAAGTAAAGCATTTTGAAAATGTGACTGCATTTGTTTCGTACAATTTTAATGAAAAGGGCTGAATTGGCCGGCGTTTTTTTTCGGAGAGCCTCTCCATGGGATGTAAAGTGGCAGTTTCGCTTGTTTTGCCCGTCTCCTTGCGTTCTGAATATGAAATTTACAGTTATAAAAATGCTTCTGCGTGTTCGTGCGTGCATAAAGCATGGAAATTCTCACACGACAGTCGGGTTTTTGTGGGCGTGGCAGCTCCAAAAGGGGTAGAGGTGAAGGTGGGGGAAAAGGTTGGTTGTGATGGGGGTGTGCTGGCAAGTTGGCAATTTTAAAATAGCGGGGTTCTAGCTCCCCTTATGTTTTGTTTTTGTTTTCATGCACCTGTCCCCCCGTTCCCCCTTCCCCTTTCTCCTTCCCCCCTGCTCCGCCCACTTGATTTTGTGATATGAAAAGAGGGCTGCGAGCGCCCAAAGGTATGCTATGCAAATTCAAATGCAGGCAGAGCTCTCTCTCTCTCTCTCTTTCTCTCTTCTCGTTTGACACTTGTAAAGCAGTTCAGACACACACACAAATAAATGCCCATGTGTGTGTGTGTTGGTGCCTTACTTTCTCCCAGTGAAGGTGTTCTCCTTTCACCCAGCTCACGTTCCCTGTTGTTTGCATTCCTTCAATCCTTTTGGTGGAAGCACGCCTTCCGGAATTTTAAATTGAAACTGTTTGCTGTCCCAAGAAGGACTACGAGTATATCTGAATGGGAAATATCTCTTGGAATCGTTAAACCGATTCGAGAAGCCTAAGACTTAGAGCCTTTTAAAAGTTTCGCTTTTCTTTGAACTTAACTTTGGAAGGCGGTGGGCATATGTGACTCATATTGTAAAATTAAATCTTTTCCTCTAAGGACTTAAATTCATTCGACAGTTTTAAACACGAGGAGTGGGTGACCTGAATTTGTACTCCCCTTTAAATCCGTTCTGAATACATACAACATCAAACATGAAAAATGCAATGAATCGAAAAAATGCTTTTTATGGAAAATATTGTGCACCAAAGAAACCAAAATAAAAACCTTCGTAAAGCTGATACAACCGGACTGACATATTTTTTGGCTATCATTTTTCGTACTCTCTGCAATATGTACACACATATATTTTTTATCAGCTTTGTTGATGACATTCTAAAAAAAGAAATCACTTTTTTTTTTTTGAGACAAATGACTTGCAAAGTGGTTAGTGATAATGGTTCAAAATTTTCAATTATATCAGACATACGAAATAATTTTTAAGAAATTTTTATTTATGCATTAAAATATTGGCTTTTCCTGATCTTAGTCAAAATAATAAAAGTGCAATCATTTTATTAAATGAAGGACAACTTTTTGAACTTAGAAACTGTTTATTTAAAAGGGAATATTAGTTTAAGGAGGTTTGATTTTCTAATTCCAGAACACTCCAAAAGTTTTTGGTTTCTCTAAGTGTTTCCTTTGGTCTGCTAATGCAACCGGGTGCTCGAAATCAGCTTCGGTGGATTATTTTTGGTATTCACTCTGCACTGGCCACTGGCCACTGGCCACTGGCCACTGGACACTGCTGACTGCTGACTGCCCACTGACAATGGCAATGGCAATTCAGTTGCTCAGGCAAAGGACGAGGTCCTTCTCGGACATGCGGGCCACTCGAAAAACAATGATTATGATATTGATGGTGCGCCGGACTCTTGGCCATCTTTTTGTGGATGTTAACATCCTTTTATGCAGGCAGGCAGAACAATGGTCGACAGGTGTATTAATGACTACGACACGGCACAGATTAAGGGGAAAGTGAAAGGGAAAGCGGGGGAATGTGGAGGGAAAGCGGTATGGATATCAATGAGGAAAAAGCCAAGGGGAGCATACAGTGATTTTCGAGGAAGGTGGGCTTGTGAGTGGGTGGGTTTTTTGAGGCAGTGATGACTATACTGAAAAAATGCAAGTAGGGATGCAATCGACAGTCCTTCGATCTGCCAGTGGCTGCAAACCAATTAGAGTCGATAAAGAGAGCAGAAAGAAGGAAACGTTTGAACACACAGATATACACGACACCCAAACTCACTAAGCCTATGTATTGGACTAAATCTGACCAGGCTGACGGCATGGTCCTGCATGTCGTAGTTGCGCCTCCTGTCCCGCTCCCTGGCCAGCTTGGCCCTCCTCCGCAGGCAGCAGATCACGATCAGCGCCAGGATCGGGAAGCCGAAGATGCACGACACGATCGGTATGACGATCGACTCGGGTGAAACTGGAACGACAAATTGCACGAATAATTAGCCGAAATTGCAAAGTAGCCTTAAAGGATATTTATTTTAGAGAGCATCAGCTTTATAGTCTTGTCCCTATTGGTTAATCTAAAAATTATATCATGTCATATCATATCATTTATATCATTAGTGTAGGGTTTAACAATATTGTTGTTGATTTATTTATCAAAGTTTGACTGTAGGTTTTATCAAGTAAAAAACGCTTAAATAACTAATATTATATTAATACCAATTATTTTCAACTTTCCATTTAATTAAAAGCTTAAATTGTAGGATATTAAAAGGTCGTTTGACTTAAAAATTGTGGCCTTGCCATTTTGTCAATTAACCACCTTTAATTAGTTTTTCCAAAGCGAATAAGTGAATTTAGTTCACATCTCATACAAAATTCAAACCAATTAGATTCCAGTCGCAAAAAGGATCTGCAAATATAAGCAGTATGCTGAACGTTAATCCTTTTTTAAATTGTAGAGGCTTCGGCTATCCTTTTTATCTACATTTAAGTCGTCATGTAGAACACGACCTTTGCTATTCGGTCGTTTTGCTCCTTTTTTTGCTGGCATCAGCGTACCTGGCTGGCTCTATCTCACCTGGCCCATCTCTTGGCAAATATTTTGACCCGAAATTTATTGGGAATTTCCTGCTTCCACCGGCGTCGGCGAACGGAGGACGAAGGCATCCTAGTCCACTTAATCTCACTCAACGTCGGGCGAACCGTACTCATTGCTGACCCCACCGAACCCGCTGCCTCCTCAGCTTTTCAGCTGTGACCTTGTCCCACCTCATTTTGAGCCGCCCAACCACCCACCGAAAACCCACCAACCAGCCAGCCCCACTGAAAACGTCCTTGCCAAATGATGCACGAATGTTAATCGCCCGACTCTCTGGCCTGTCAACGGCCCAACCAACCAACCAACCAAAAAAAAAAAAAAAAAATCGGGGCTGGGCAACATATTTGCCTAATTGCTGTGGTCAGCCGCAGAAATGCCATCACCCAAGCCCAAGATTATTTATTTATATGTTTATTTTATCACAATAACTGAGTGCCGTCTGCCGACTGCGGAGTGTTGAGTTCGTTGAATGTGGAGTGTTGAGTGGGGAGAATGCGGAATGCGATGATGGTGAGTGGTTTAATGGGTGGTTTTATGGGCAACGCAAACTCATAATTCCGAAACTCATCTCCGGTTCATTTGCATGGCCTCAAATTCGCCCGAAAGTAGGCAACATTTATCTGCGCAGACTGTTTTGGGGAATGGGAATGGGAATTGGGATCCCCGAATGGGAATGGGCATGAGGGCTCGAAATTATATTGAAGCGGCTGCCTTCGAAGGATAAAGGGGGTTTGGTGGGTCGGTGGGTTGACTGGTGGGTTGGCTGGTGGGTTGGTTGTATGCCGAACGGCTTTTGGGGCGCATTCCACCAGCGCCATTTGCATTTTCCCCCGTTAACGATTCGCCCGTCTGGCTGTTTAATTTCGGCTCACAGTCATAAACCAAGTCGAGGCGAATCTGCATCTGCCACTGTTTAGCTTAACCCCCTTAGCGTCTTTTCCATTAAGAATAATTAGCAAAGAAAACATTTATGCTAGCAACATGAACAAACCTTGTTTGAACACGTTCCTTTCCTTAAAATGTTTTCCGTGTCACAGGATGCTTCATTAGTTTGAGGAACTGTAATCCTTAAGACCGAATTTAAAGCAAATAAAGGGTTATTTTCTGGATTTGGAGACTCAAAAGAATAAAGCATTAAAAATAATATATATAAAGCGAAATAAATCAAGCAATTTGAATTTTCTATGACATCTAAAAATAATTACACTAAAAAAACTCCTATATTTAAATGCTGTTAAACTCAAGATCTTAGTTCCACATCTGCAAATCTTAAAAAGATAATATTGTTAATATTCTATGATAAAATTAAAAAAATACACATAAAATACCATTTTAAAATGGTTAAATATAAAGAGAGTTTTTAAGTAAAAGTAAAAGTTTAACCCTCAACGAGCGACTCTTTCGTTTTACATATCTTATTAGGATCTGCGGTGGCGATCAACCTGGTGAACTTCCCCACAAGTGACAGCAATGCCATCATCCTGTGGCCCCACGACCTCATTTGGCATCCCCAACCACTCATAAGTCACCGCCACCCACTTCCTCATCCCCCCTTCTCCAACGGCCTTGCAAAACGGATGCTCTCTAATCTAAGTCACAAAATCCATGGCCCAAATTTTTGTTTGTCGAAAAAGTAGCATAAAAGCAACAAGCCAAAGGCAAAGCGAAAATGAAATGCTCTAATAAATTTCATTTGAGGAATCCGTGTTTCGTTTGTGCAAAGGTAAAGCAACAAGGTTGTTAAGGGGTTAATTATTAAAGGCAAATACGATTTAATGCCTCACGTGAGTGGACATATTCGTTAAAAGCCAATTTGGAAGTGGATTTACTGTTTGGTAGGCGATTTTTAATTGTAAATGGTGTGGAAATAATTAATTTTCAAGTGCGTCTGCAAGGAAAGGAAAGGAAATGGGACCATTTAATAATAAAGTCTAACCCTTAAGTTTTTAAGTTACCATAAAATATTGCCATTAATGTTAAAAAGTTAAGAGTAAATATTTTTATTAAATTCTATTTAAAAAGCATGTTTTATCAAGCAAACTAAATCCCAGTTTTGCGAAGATATTTCCCCTAAAGCAGGTGAGGAAATCTCCTTTTTTAAATAAGTGCTTTAAATATAAAAATAAAAAGGTATTAAAAACGCTTTTAAAAAAGAACAACAATGTTTGTCCCCAAAAAACCAATTCAGTGTTTCCCCAGCTGGGAAAATGAACTTTTAACGATGGAGAATTACCATCAAAGTTAAATTAAATATTTAGGTAAAATTCTAATTGAAAACGCTGTTCAATAAGCAAACAGCTAAACTAAACCAAACTGAACTGAGTTGAACGGAACTTAACGGAGCTCCAGTTAAGCGGTTGTGTTTGTCCCCGAAAAAAGCAATACAGTTTGCCCCCATTGCGAGTTTGCTTTTTAAACTTGGATGGATAAACGCGGCGTCGGGGCAAAAGTGAGCACTTGATGTCAGGACGACATTATTCGATTAAATCCGAGTTCGATCAGGGGCGCAACTGGGGAAGTGTGTGCTGTCGCGTTATCAGCTCTCTGGATGGGTCTACTTTACTCGGGACGAAGGACCCCCCCTCCCCCGCTCCATTCTTCTGGAGGGGAAGAGCCAGCGCCACTGAATCCAATTAACGCCTTCAAAGTGACAGTTCAAATTTACACAAATTGATGGCGTGGAGTGTTGGGAGACTTTAGTTTGCCGGCAAGAAGGAAGAAGGAGCCTCGAAGGAGCCTCGAAGGAGAAGGAGGAGCTCCTGCCATTCAGGCCCAGTCATCAGGCGTCGTTTGATGCCTGAAATATTCAATAAATACAATAAAAATAATGCCTCTGCCCGAGCAGACAGACGCGCCCTTTGAATGGAAATTAAATGTTTGCATATTTGACGTCGACGGTGGAATGCGCTACAAAGGAGCATCGGTGGCACAAAACAAAGAGCCGATCCACCACAAGCACACAAATGTGCGGCCCATACAAACAGATAAATATATACGTATATATATGGGGGATATATGTATGTAGGTATATAGTATATATTGTGGCGCAAAGTGATTTCTCCAGTTCGAAGATATTCCCATCAAAGTCAACTCGAGCTTGATTGCGGTTCCACTCGAGGCGGTCCAAGTGGGCCAACTTTCGAGTCCGCAGGCATTTTCAGTCGAGAGTTGGGAATCGGTATTCGGTAGATGGGAGTCGGTAGTCGGTGAAGTCGGTAGTCGGTTTCCATCAGTGAATAGTTTGCATTTAATGGCGCCCCAAAGTTTCGCTTTGATTCGAACTGGCTGCAGCTAGCTCCTCGGATCAAAGTCAAAGTCGGTGGTGTCCTGTCGTGCTGTTGTCCTGTTGTCCTGTTGTTGACGGGACTCTGGCGTAAGCTAACGCACTCGGAGTGACCATTAGCATGTGGTTTTGGTCCTGCGGTTTCCCAACTTAAATACAAGTAATTTCGAATGCCTGCCAAAGTCCTTGAAGATTTCCAAAAAGATTAGCAGAACCCCAGCGCCAAAACCATTCGAAATCGTAAACTTAGGCAAGATAAGCTCACCAGAAGATTAGATGTAAATGAAATTAAATCTAATACTATTTTTGTGAAAATGAAATGTTTCCAAAAAGAAAAGCAATCCTTGCAGCCAAACCCCTTCGAAATCGTAACTTAAAGCGAGATAAGTTCACCACAAAAATAAATGTAAATTAAATGAAATAACTTTGCTTTTCAACAACCAATTGGAAATTATAATTTCTATAAAATTAAATTTTAGTGCAAATGAAATGTATACACTCCGAAAACAACATAAATGTTTTTAGCTTTTAAGCTTGCGGAATGCGGAAATAAAGGGAATTTCCATTCGGAAAACAAATGAAGTAGAATTTGAATTTCAAATTCGGGTAATTTGTACAATTATTCATCTCGCAATATGGAAAACACTCGGAAAGTGGAATTTCAGGACGGAACTCCACCCACCGAATGATAAAGTTTGCTTTCGAGAGGAGAAATCTGTTGTGCTATCTGTTTACAAATATAATTTGGATAATCGAAACGGAAACTTTGAATTGCAATTTAAGCCTTTGCTTAGAAATGGATTATTGAATTCAAGTGGGGTAATCGAACTTGTTCAGCCGCCCTATTGCTAAATCCAGTCTCCCTTTGAATGGGTTCCGAATTTATGTAGTAACTATTCAAGAAACCCGATACCCAAATAAAGTTTTGGGGCAAGCAAAAAAAAAAAGGAAATGCTGAAGTATTGTTGGAGGCAAAAAAGCATCCCTCGACTTATCTGAATGAAAAACGAGAACTCCCATCGCGAAGGGAACACGAAATCGAGTGTCGCGCTAAGTAGAATGCATTGTTAACTTATCAATGGAGCTGAAGGACATCGCATTCCTGTTACACCATTTTATCGGATGAATTTACGCACTTTTTGTTGGCGAAATTGTAATGGCCAAGTTTTTTTCTCCTTTTTTTTCCTCCCCCTCTGCGAATCTCTTTGTTTTCCTTCTTTTTTCTTTTTTCTGTTTTCATACCCTTGCAGGGGGTTTTTTAGTTTCAGTCAGCAGCTTGCAACGCAGTGAAGGAAGCATCTTAGACCCCATTATATAATATTATATATAGAGATATATATTTCGAAAAAATAAGTTGACCACTTTGTTAAAAAAAAAACAATATATTTTAGGAGGTTTTTCGGTTGTAATAAGACCAAATAGTGACTTACAGCGGACCCAAACACTGTTTTGAGCACCTTATGACCACAGTTAACGAGCCCAATCACTTTTTGGATGATTAAAAAAAAATGATTTTTGGCCAATTTTCGCATTTTTCATAAGGGGTAACATCGTCATTTTTTGCGAAAAATGGCAAAATTTCAACTTTTTTGGGTGTTTATATCATCGGAATCAGAATTTTATTACGAATTCAACGATGTATGCCATTCCACATTTGGGAGAGTACTTTCTCAGATATTGCAAAAAAACGGGGTTTTTTTAAGCCATTTTTTGTAGTTTTGGGCAAAAAAAAAAACTTTTTCCATTGGTAATTTGTCTGTTATTTGGGCAAGAAACAACTTACAGCAAAACAAAGTATAGTTTTGGAAACTAGAAAAGCCCAGCAATTCATGCCACCGAATGCAAAATTTATTGTTATTTTACTGATCCTTAAGTAAGTTCATAAAAACTGATTTGGGAAAGATCAGTTGACAATTCCGGTAGAAAACACTATATTTTGAGTGGTTTTTTGGTTGTAATAAGGCCAATTAGTGACTTACAGTGGAACCAAACACTGTTTTGAGCACCTTATGACCACAGTTAACGAGCCCAATCACTTTTTGGATGATTAAAGAAAAATGATTTTTGGCCAATTTTCGCATTTTTCATAAGGGGTAACATCGTCATTTTTTGCGAAAAATGGCAAAATTTCAACTTTTTTTGGTGTTTATATCATCGAAATCAGAATTTTATTACGAATTCAACAATGTATGCCATTCCACATTTGGATGAGTACTTCCTGAGATATTGCAAAAAAACTGGGTTTTTTTTTAGCCATTTTAAATAGTTTTAGGAAAACCATCAATTTTTAATGGGGTAATTTGTCTGTTATTTGGGCAAAGAAACATTAATTTTTCATAACTCATCTAATAATTTTTCTAATTTTAATCAGGTTTTTAAGTGGCATGCCTTTTAAAGTAATTTTGTTTCATTGATTTTATATAACGACTATATCACTATATCATTTTATGAAAAAATGGAAAAATAAATAGAAAAATAGTCATTACTTCAATGTTGTTTGGCCTTTAGGCATTTTGCATTTGCTCGACTTTGTGATGACTGCAAGGGTATAAAGACTTCGGCTCGGCGAAGCTAGCTTTCTTTCTTGTGTTTTTTTTTTTGTGTTTGCCAGCATGGACGAAAAGTTGTATCTTGTGTCGAACTGACGAGGTGGCGGCACTCGAGTGCCACGCCCACAGGCCATTGAGGGCGCTGACATTGATGTCCCCGCCCCCCCGAGGATGTCGATGGTGCAGATACATCTGATTGTCGTATGGATTGGGGAAATGAGATGTTTGCGGGGGAAAAAAGGGGGAGGGGGAGAAAAGGGGGGTTGGGGGTTTCGGAGCAGATAAGATGAGCAGGAAAGTCGACAATGTTGTCGACAAATTTCGACGGGGCCCAGAAGCCTTGGGAGTGTGATAAAGAAGCCATTCGCTTAATAAAGACGCCAGCCTACCACCACACCAAAAAAAAAAAAAAAAAAAAATTAAAATCAATTTTAATATAACATTTTTTTTTTTCGCTTTCTCGACAGCCCAAAAAAAAAACAAGAATGTAGTCGGAAGTGTGTCAGAGTTCGCAGACAATGGAATTCCAGCCGAAAGTCATATCTTCGAGTCACAGAAGCCGGATTCACTTGAAGAAGGGATTTTAAAATCAACTGAAGCCGGATTATCCGGGTGATTTCACTCCCCTGGGCGAATTCCAGAAATCTGTTTCAGCCGAAGGTAAAATCCCTTAAAACCCATTTAAATTTTAAGTTACCATTTGCTTGCTTGAAAACTACAAAGTTTTTCATAAAGTATTTCACATCGAAACTTGAACTCTTGGGATTCCTGTATTTGCTGGGGAAAATCCGCAATGGGGTTGAGGCAATGGGATGCTAAGTTTCCCCCGCTCGGTTGAAAAATGACATACAATTTGTATTTAAAAAAAAGTATGCTACAAGAAATTTGTAACGAGGGAACCCCGCGCTGATCTGCTGCCGCCTGCATTTAATATTATTTGTTTGCCGTGCAGCCTTTAAGACTCTAATTTGTGAGCGGCTCGAGGCGATGTGACATTGGCGCCAGCTGCGGAGGCCCAAGAACCTTCCCAACCAACCCCCCCTTTGGCGCCTCCCCCCTTTTGGCACCCAATCTCCCCCAGAACCCACTTCACCCACTCCATTCAACTGATGGCGACACTTGCCTCGAACAATCAACAGCTATATTCGAGTGCGACTCTTTGCAATTACTGCGACTTAGACTTGTCTAATTGCCGAGGGGGCAGGGAAAATGTGCGAAGCTGTGTGTGTGTGTTTCTTGGGGGCAACTTTTTGGATTGGCCTGTGCCTTTGGCGAAAGCCAAGCAAAGTTTCCCGTTCGCCGTGCCACCGAAACTATAAAAAATAAGTTGACGCGCCAGCCGAAGGAGATTGGAGTCAATGCGGATAATGAGGACTCGGTTGTCAGCTCATGCAAATTAACGCCGGCAACGAGGCAACTAATTGGAACGGAGGAGGAGGGCTGCACCCTCCCAATTGGGAAGGGGTCCGGGGTCCTGGATCCTGGTTACCAGTTCCTCCCGGGATCTCCAAAGGATCCGGCACGCGACCTCGATGGCTGACTGACTGCACTGATTTGATTACTGAACCGGCGAATTGGGAATGGAAATTCAGAGTGGGAAAGGGAATGGGATTCGGAATGGAAAAAGGGAATGGGAATGGGGATTGGGAGTGGTATTCCGAAAGGGAAGGGGGAGGGAAGACTGAGGATGACAGGACCTGCGACTCCAGCTTTATCCTGCAAAGTCCCTAATTAACTCAAGGCAGTTCGGAAGTCCTTTCGTTTAAGGGACGCGTTGCGACAAAGTAAGAAACACACCGTTGGGGAGCTAATTGTTTTGCTTTTGCTAATTAAACGTATCACCTTCCACGAATACCGGATTTTCACTGCGGAAAAAAGGAAGAAATAACTGCAAGAGGATGTGCTTAAATTTTAATTTATAGCGCATCCTTAAAAGGTAAATTAGAGATCCAAGTCAGCCATTCGGTTACAGAATTATCAAGATATTTTGTGGTGTTTTTCTTGACCAACATATTTTACATTTATATTTTATATAATATGCCAATTAATTCAATCCCATTCCACATTTCCCATTTTTGTAGTTACAGATTAAATTGCAATTAAATATATATTGTTTGTAACTTATTTTTTACTAAAAAGTTTGTATGCCTTATAAATAAAAATCTTGACATTCAGCTTTCTTCTAGGCTCGTACAGAAAAAAGTTGTGGAAAAATTGCGTATCTTGATATTTGACAAAACTCATAAAAAAGGCAATTATACTAACTTACGCAATAAAATGATGGAATCCGCAGCAAATTGCGCTACGAGTTTCTTGCGCTGTTGCTTTTCTGTTTAAGAAATTACATTTTATCTTTTATCAACGCTTTGGTGGCTTTCACTCCCTCTGTTTAAAGGCAACTTAAAGGTTGCGAGGCGCTTATGCATTTTTTATTAGCCAGCTGCGCATTAACAGGAAGCTATTCTGATTTCACACATTCAAAAATTCATGAAATGCATAGCTTATGCACAGCAATTACTTCCTGAAGTGCGTGGTTCTAACAATAAAACCCTCGCTCACTCAAAACAAAAACCATAATCAACTCAAAACAAAGGGCTCGAAATTTCAATTTGCTAAAATAAATGGAAAATCCGAACAAATAAACATTGAAAGATAAAATAAGGAGACATTTTGAATGTTTAAAATTTGGGAATTTTCTTTTCTATTGCAATAGTTTAATAAAGATTAATGTAAAGATTACATTTATATATATTTTAAGTAAATAAAGATTTTGTAATAATAATAAAAATAGTCTATAATAAAATCAACTAACTGGAAATAGAAAAAAATCAAGAACCAAATAAATAAATAAAATAGTTCTTACACTTCTTGAAGAAATCATTTAAAAGTATCTATGTATTTGTAAAATAAACTCATCAAATTTTCCATTTCCTTTTGCTGTTTTTGAAGAGACACATTTACCCAAAATGTTGTTTCCTGTAATTTCAATTTCCCCCAACAAAATACAAGGCAGCAAGGCAGCAGGACATGGCTGTTATCCTTGAAGTGTGTGGTAAATTTGAAAGGACTTTTCTTGGTACTCACCCGTTGGGTAGACAACGATGGTCGTTGGGCGATTCTTGGTGCCGGTGGCCGCGATGAAGGTGGCCACCGTTTGGGCCTGAAAGCTGGCCATGCTGCTGGTGGGCAGTGTGCTCATCACCGCCGTGGTCGAGGATTCGATGAAACCGCTGAGGTTGCCCGCCGGCAGGTACGCCTCCGTTCCCCCCTCTCCGCCACCCGCCAACGGACCAATCCCGGTGGCGTTCCCAGGGAACACTGTACTGCTCAGCTGCAGCTCATCGACCGCTGTGGGATCCGTGGTGGCAGTGGGTCCACGGGTCGGATGATCGATGTCCTGGCCGTGGGCCATGTCCGCCGCCTCGAGCGTTTGGAGCAGCAAGGCGGAGAGGGGCAGGTTGGGCATCATTAGCTGGCGGGCGGGATTGACGCCGGCCACCTTCGACAGGGTGCGGTTGAGCAGAGCCCTCAGCTGATTGCCCGGGGATTGGCTTTTCACGCTCTCGCCGTTCGCCGTTCCGGCTTTTTCAGCTTTTCCGGTTTTTTTGGATTTCGCGGATTTTCCCGTTTTTCCGGGTGTTTCGGCTGTTTCGACTGGTGGTGGCGGTTGCCTGGCTCCTCTGGCTCCTCTGACTCCTCTGGCGGTCATATTGTTTAATAATTTCGCAGCATAATCGTAAATTTCAATGAGCATTAGGTGGTCGTCTCTCGTTCGCTCGTGGAATGCCGGCTGCTTTTTGCAAGAGAAGTGTTGCTAAATGTTTGTCCCGAGCCGCGGTTTTTGGTCACTGGACTGCAAACTCTGGACTCGGGACTAATTGCTTTAATGAATCACTTTGCCAAACACCAAGTGTGCTCGCATGCGTGTGTGTGTGCGTGTGTGTATTAGAGGGAGAGTGTGTGTATGTATTAGAGAGTGTATGTGGGGGGGAAAGTAAAAGTTTCGGGAGGCGAAAGTTTGACCAACCACGATTGATTGCGATCGTGACCCTTGTGAGGCTGCCACTCCCAAGTGCTAAGTGCCATTCCCCACCGGATGTTGGCCAGGGATTTGCCTTAAGGACGAAGGACAATAGAGCTGCAGGTCCAGCACTTAACTAAAGAATTTATTCTGGTTTCTATTGGACCTTAAAGAATGCCCTAAAAACATTAAAACACAACCACACATAAATTAATATTATCTCTAAAACCAACCATTAAAAACATTCTTTAAATTAAATTACATGATTCTGCTGAACTTAAGGAAGGAATCTTAAACAAAGAGTATTAAGCCCCAAAAATCCTGTTCAGCAGCAAAAACTGTTACAGAAGCTTTAAAAAAAAGTACAAGTAATAAAAATGTTTATGGATCGCTTTAATGTTGTTTTTAATGTGTTGACCTTTGCACCCACAACGTTGGCTCGTTGTTTCCCACTCTCTGAAAACACTCCACAGTTTTGGGGCACATAAACCCAACGTACAATGGAGACGGCTCCATCTCGAAATCTCATCCGTATTTACGAACTGTTCCCGTCATCGTTGACTACTCGGGATTTGTTAACCGCACCGTGTTGCAGGACATGACTTTTGGAAGCCTTTCTCCCCCCCGAAAAATAAAAACCGTTTGCTCCCCAAAATGATGTAAGCAACTTATTCGGGGGGACGGGGGTCGGTCCGAGAGCCCTTGGTCCGCTGTCCACGTACCGAATGGAGCAGCTCTTGACCTCCCAATAGCGATTCAAATCCCTGTACCAATACCCACACTTGTTGGCCACGCAAGAGCGCAAACATTGAATCGGCCCGGCCCGGCCCGGCCAGCCCTCCATCAAGTGAGCAATCCAGGGAGCTTCAGCTCCAATGGCACTTGAAACCGAAACTGCCGGGGGAATACAGATGGGTATATAGCGGATGGCTATATATGTAGATATAGATGGGAAGAGTGGAGAATAGAGAATGGAGATGGGAATGGGGATGGGGAGCATTGAGAATGGGGAATAAAGGGATGGAGGATAGAGGATGGGGGGAAACGGATGCGAATGCGAATCCGGCGGGGGGAACACTTTGGCGACAACAGGCAATAAAAATATGTTAACTATTGCATGGGACACTCGTGGACTAGCTTCATTACGACAAATCGAATTGAATCGAATCGAATCGAAGCGAAAGGAAGCGCCACTCGACAATCGCCACATCCTCAATCCCCAATCCCCCAATACCCAATCCTCCAGTCCACAATCCCCGGCAACCGTTGGTCACCAGAGACCACAATTAAATGGACAGGCACGATTCTCCGTGCGGAGCGAACGATTCAATACATCCAAAGGGAATGATTTAACTCCCGGCCTTAATCCGCTGACCATGAATAATTTAAATCACTACATTTTTCATTTGCAAGTCAAAATAAACCATTTAAACGCCTCTCCTTGCGGAGTGTAAGGAAATACAGTCATATATCTTAGGGTTTCCCATTAAAGTCAAGGCTCAAATGTCGCAAAATTTAACGTGTTGAAAGAGTTGTGTGACCGAAAACCTAATCGCTTAATTTACTTTCAGGAAACATGGGTCTGCAGCCCTTTCTAATTACTCCTAAGATAATTAATTGTATTCTCTTACATTGGAATTTAATCAAATTAAAAGGTTGCAACACTTCGCTCGTAATCTCCGCCGACAAAGTCTTTTGTAAACTTATTTTGTATTTTGTAACAAAAAAAAGGATTAAGGCAATGTCCTTTCTTTTCTACTTTGTTTTCTCTGACAAGCTTGTATTCTTTTTGATAAGGATTTAATAAAGATTTTTATCAGTCAACTAAATACCTTTTTAATACCTTTTTTATTTACTGCATAGTAAACTATGGAATTCGCCAGCTTAAAAACTAATTTTGGCTTACCACGTTTTAAAGAGAATTTCAAACATAGTTTTTGGAGGAATTTAATTTTTATTTTCTTCTGAAGGTTATCAGCAAAATATTTTTAGGGATTACATGAAGGAATTTTTCAGTTCTAAACTTTCGCCAGAAATTTCGTGGCTTTCCATCATCACAACACAAACTCTCTTCCAAAAATAATCATCAATGTGGAAAGGATTGTAACTTGAGTTCGGGTATAACCCGTATATATTAAAACTTAAAACTTTTGCTTATGCTTAAAGCTATCTTAACTCATTTGATTAAGCGCGTCCCCAGTAATTCAACCGTGTATTTATATAAAGAAAAATGGAAAAAGAAAAGAGGAGAAGACCCCACCTGTTTAAAAATAACAGCTAAGACAGAATTTAAGTGTCAGCGTCTAACAAAGTTGCCCATAGCGTGTTTGCATAAAGGGAATGCTACACATTTATATAAATATCGGATTTCCCTTGATTATTTTGCAAACTTGTTATGATGACGTTTACTTGTGCGTAGTACTTGGCACCCAAAAAGCCATCGCTTCTTGGCCATGTGGAGAGTGGGAGTGGGTGGAGTGCACGCCGAATCGAAAAGGGAGTTTTGGGGAATGGATATTGGATGGGTTTCCGGTGGTTTGGCTAGGATGGTTCGGTTCGGTTGGTTTTGGTTACGATGGTTTGGCTTGGTTGGTTTAGCTTGGATTGGTTCGGTTTGGTTTGGTTTGGTTTGGTGGGTTCTATTGATACAAGGATGCTAAATGCTAAAAGCGCGCGTCCTTATTTGTTTCATGTGTCGATGATGCTCATCCAAATGTGAAGCGTACTTTGTCACTTTTGTGTTTTTGTTTTTTGTTTTTCGTTTTTATTGTTTTGTTCCTCTTTTTGGTTTTGCTCGCTGTAAATCGGGCAAAACAAAAAACAAAAAACGAGGAGGACACAGGAAAAGAAAGAGAAAAAAAATGCAAGGCGCGAGTACGCCAACGAACCGTTATAAAGGATCGGCGGGCAGCCCGGAATGGCGGTTTACTAATCGACTTTCGTCCTTTTCGCCGTTCGTCCTTTTTGACCGTTAACCGTTCGTCGTTCGTCACTCGTCGTTCGCCGTTCACCGTTCGCCGTTCACCGTTAGCCGTTCCGCTCGAAACTTTCGCGTCGGCAGTCCGCCTGCCTTTGTGACGCGAGCGCCAAAAGCAGCTGGCTTTTATAGACTGGCCGCCTGCCAGGGAAATTCCCATAATTTCCCGCAATTTACCCCAAAGAGAAAATGCACCCGGCGCCACTGGAAGAGCGGAGAGGAAGTGGCGCTCTCCGCTCGCCATGCTGGAAATTCAAAAGAAATTCGTTATTTATTGTGCAAGACAAACAATCCATTCCTTTGTTCAATCCGCCGACAATACAAGCGGGTTCTTCCACAAAATCGGATTGGATTGTCCGCTCACGAATTTGGAATAACTTTAACCCGATATTTGAATATATATTAAATACACGTTTCAATTAAAAGGACTATAACCCTATTATTTGCATTTGGGAAAGGTATAATTTAAGTTTCCCACTCAACACGGCAAAGTCCTAAAATTTAATACGCTTTAAGGTAATAAATACATACATAAGTTCATAAATCAGAGCGGAAAATCAACAGGATACCTTTCGAATGTAAAAAACACATAAAACAGTTTTATTTTGGAACTGCACAAGGGGAACATATGTTTACCTAGCTTACACTTCCTTCTTTAATGCCTTTTTTATTACAACGCACTCCCCGGCAAAAACTTAACTGTTTTTAAAGCCACTTTAAATCCTTATTTCGCTATAAGCACTTGACACTTCGAAATACCAAGACTGAAAAACTTCGTTTGAAATTACATATGTATTTGCACGTAATATGTTTTAAATGTGAGTTTATAATTTAACATTCGCATATGTTTTAAATGTGAGTTTATAATTTAACATTCGCACAAGTGAGTTCCTTATTTAATGCCTTTTTTATTGCATAAATAATTTGAATCACAAATATGTTTTTTTAACTCACAAGAGTACTAGTTTTTTTTATATAATTTTTATAAAACACACAACCGCGAAACAAATACTTTAAGCCTGTTGAAGGAGGGATTCTATTCGTGAAAATAATCGCGTAAGTGCGTTGTTGTGGTATAAACATATAGTAGTGCAGAGGCACAAAATCCACAATATGAGTTTTTAGAGGACGGTCGGAATGTTTGGAATTACAGCAATTCAACTGTTTTTTATATCCGCGACTTGAAGGGTAAAAGGGTATAGCATACTGTATTTGGGCGTATCCGCCTTTCCATTGCTATGAACGTTAATATCTGAGAAGCTATAATATATGATAAATAATAAATTCGCAGCAAAAGGTGTTTGTTAGTCGACGCAATCAACTACATATATCGTTTCCTCCTGTTGTACACGTAATCTTTCAGCAAGTATAAAGTACATAAAAAGGTTTTATGTTACAGCTGCACAAGGACAACAGTGATTTCTGTGGGTCACACATCTCTTATTGTTATATTCTCAAGCACAAATTAAATTAGTTTTAAAGCATGCCTTGGGCCAATAAAAATATTTATTTCGCTCTAAGCATTTCGGCAGATTAAAATTGTTCTACCTATAACTTTGTAATGTGTATAAATTAAATGTATGTTTATTTGATATTTGAAGATGGCAATCATATAAACAACGCGTTTTGTATCAATTCCAAATAAAATGTCAATTTTTAAGATACCTGCAAATGCTTATATCATCTAGACAAGCTAGGAGCTAACATCAAATCACACAACTCTTTATACAGTTTTTTTTATAAAGCACAAGTGTATAAGTTTTTTGTAAAATTTTTGTAGAACTACATCGAAACAAATGCGCCAAACCCGTCGAGGAAAGGGTTCTTTTCGTGGAAATTAATTGGGTAAGTCCATTGTTGTGGTTCTATTTGCTAATGTGGGTCAAGTTTTTGTTTGGCTGTTTGGCTGATTTATTTCACACTTCTCGAAGAAGCCAACAACAACAAACGAGGTCGATAATCGTCGGTCGAGACCGGCGTAATATATTCGGGTTTGATTCGATTCGATTCGATGCAAATTGCCATCAAAATCTGGATAAATTTAAGAACAAATGGGGAGATATACCCCTATTATCTTAAATTTGGTAACTGATGTGTGACCTATGCTCTTGTTTGCCACCTTCAAATTGGCTAAAACATTGCGTTTCAAGTAGAGAAGTTCTTAAGTTGTAAGAAAGTCGGCATCATTTTAGAACTGAAGTGACGTTTAAATCATAAACTAGGTTTTTCATAGCGAATCTCAATTTATAATTTATGGTTTTGGAATTTAATAGTTCAATAACTATTCATCTTTTTGCATTTAATGCTTTCTTTAGTGGGCAATTAGATCTGCTGGTATTTTAAATTAATTGTTGGGTATCAGCTAGAATCGGTGCAATTAATTTTGTCTGGCGTTTACATTTGTCTATTTTTTTCATGGAGTTTATCAATTTATCATTCATTATCATGAACGCCATCCCTTTTTATCTATTGGAGACACGTTATACAGTTTTCCATAGAGCACACAGAAATGAGTTTTTAATACAATTTATAAAAAAAAGTAGCGTAAAAAAAAGAATTTCACTCGTGAAAATTAATCGGGTGGGTCAAGTTTTTTGCTTTGCGCTGATGTATTTCACACTTCTCGATGCCAAAAACAACAAATGCTGTTGGAAAGTGTCGGTCAGGAAATCGCGTAATATATTCGTGTTTTATTCGATGCGATGCAAATTGCCAGAAAAATACGTGCCACTCGATGTATTTCCAAACTGTTCAATGCCCCACGATGTTCGATCGAATCGAATCCGGCTAAACAAACACGGATAAGATTCGAGAAAAAGCGGCAAACTAAATCCCATTCAATTCAATTCAATTCTGTGACTGATATGTGACCTAGGCTCTTGTTTTCCATCTCCGCATGTCAGTCGGTCTAAAATGGCAAAAACATTGCTTTGAAAGCAGGAAAATTCTTCAGTTGTAAACAAATCCATCTGAATTTGGATTCTAGTGGAATAAAATGCCCCGATGACGTTTAACTTTTAGTCAAAGCGTCCGACTGCGAGTATCCATTTGTATTTTGAAGAGAGGGTAATTACCATTTTCCCTTTTTACCCCTTAATGACTATACTTAATAGTACAATGGTTCCTTTGCTAACTGAAAATAATTATACGACTTTCAGCTAGAACTCACAGATAGATTTCCATTGTCGCTGAGGAATAGTGCATTAAATTGCATATCTAAGATTATATTTTACCTTTCCCAAGTTTTAATCATTAATACAACTGCTTATTTCAGCTGAAACACCTTTGAAGTATTAAAGTGTCTGAAATAGCTTTAATTTTATTTACCGAAGCGCTTACCCTCTGCTGCCTTATTTATGGCATTTGATCTCATGTTAATCTTCGGACAAAGAAACGCATTCTCGGTTTTAATTGTTTATTTTCTCATTAATGGAAGCCAACTGCCATGACAGTCGAATTCTGCTGATGCTCGAGTCTGCAATCCAATTTCTATTCCTATGCTGAATGCAATCAATTTAAAATCCAAAGAGGCCAGATGCAAAAACAACATCTGGCTAATCAATGAGGACACACATATGTGGCGGCAGGTTGCACAATGCACATTGCACTTTCCACTCGTTTGCGGAATATTACAAATTTAATTGCTTTGCTTACGCTTCGTATGGGAAAATGCGTTTGGGAGGAGGCAAATATTTCCGGGAGTGGAATTAAAATGGGCCAAAACAGTTGGACATTTCGGTGCAGCACCTTCCGCATTTAGGATATTTTTGCAATTTATTTGTTCTATTATTATTCTGACCAAAACACTCGCACACAATGAATGTCGTGTCCTGTGTGCTGGATATGCTCTTTATGCCTCTTTATTTTTCACATTTTCCGAGAAGTCCGGTATTTAAATTGCCCACATGGGGTCCTCCGATTTTCTCTGCTGGTCGTTGGACAAACCAATTCAATTTCACTAATCCTCGTTTTCGGCTTTTTGGACGACAATTTCGAATTGTTTGCAGCAAATGATTATTGGATTGTCAGCTGCAATTGACTGCTAGATTTGAGGCTAGTTTTTCGATGATTAGGCCAGTTCTTTCTAATATTAATTATTTACACCCGAATAATTACAAAAATTAAAATTTCTTAATATATTGTTAAGCATTATTGTATTCTTATTTCGATTTATGTCCCCCAAGGCAATTTTCCGTGCTGCAAAATCAAAAAAATAAGGACTATGCGCTATATTTTGACAAATTAAACAAGTTACAACTTTGGTTCAATTGGTTTTCTAGAAGTTTGGTTTACTATTATATTGAACATTCAGGATTATTTTAGAGTTGCTCCACTCTAGGAGTAAAAGGAGACAGGATCAGCAGCTTAACATTTAAATATTTATATTTAATTATATTCAGCAGGTGAGTAACCCACTAGTTATCTAGTATAAGCACTTGCTGATTTAACTTACCCTATTCCAAATACATCATAGGAACTATTTAGGAAGTACTGGTTAGGTGATAAATTATAGTACAGCACAGTTGTTAAATTAAAGTACAGTCACTACAAAACGCTGTGATGGAGTCCTGTTGCACTACAAATGCAACCGTGCCAACTGTGACGGACTCGGAGAAACTTTTAAGTGTTAGAGAGCGGGTTTTACTATTAGAACAACAGATGCAACAAAACCAGGAAGCCTTAAAAACTGTGTTAAAAGGGAAAAGTGTAAAGTTGAACAGCGGCTTAATTAAAGCCATAGCGTCACTATATGTAAAAAGTAATCTGAGTGAGATTCCATACCCAACTAAGAAGACTGAAAAAACTTCAGATGGAGGAATTCCCAAAGAATCTGAAAAGAGTGTTAAGGACCAACTAGATGATTCCAAACAGGCAGGTGACAAATGTGACGACAGTGAGACAAAGGTGGCCCAGAAGAAAACTTTCATATTGACTGCCAGCAGGATTCCCATGCCTAAAAAGCGTGGTAAGGATTGCAACGCCAGGGGTGATATGCCGACGGAGCAACCCAATGGGCAACCCAAGGAGCAATTGAAGGAGCCACCCAAGAGGCAACCAAATGATCATCCGAAGAAAAAACCTAAGGAGAAACCTAGGGAGAAGGCGAATCCAAAACCAAAGCCCAAGCCAAGAGTTAAGGCATTGGAGATAGGTCAGAGGTTTATGGAGCAGACAAAGGAGAAGCGAAATGAGAAGCTTATCGAGAAGCGAAAGAGGGAGCTAATTCTCAACTAAGGATCGCCAGTGCTCCATTCAATGCTCAGCTCAATGGAAGTTGCTTCACGGCAGGACGACCGCGATAAGTCTTGTCCCAGGACTTATAATGCTGAGTTGGCCTTCCTCCAAAATTATCAGTATAAGCGTTACATTAGGTTTTTATCTTTGGCTACTCAATGGGTACAAATTTATAATTTCTACTTATAAATTTATAACAGTGTACTGTTTTAAATCGCAATTGGCTTGTCATATTTTATTAAAATACAATTACATGCCAATTACTCTAAAAACTATTTATTGGAATATTTGCAAAATAAAAATAATAACAAAATTTTAAATTGAGGGAGAAAATTTACGACTATCTAAATCCCCCGCTAGATGGCGCGAGCGTGCTAGAGGGCGCTAATTTTTGTTAAAGTTGCAATGTTTTAAATAAGAACATTTAAGGTTTAAAATATGTATTCCTCATTTTATAAACCTTGCCTTAAAAGTTTAAAAAAGAAATTGCTTTCCGTATTATCTTTAGTTTTTGTATCGAATAAAGGTTTTTGGTCATGCAAAGTCTTAATGCAGATGTTCTGCTTAGGTATTAAACATATTTTACACTTTTTTATGAAAACCTTTATTAAACATCCACTATGAAAAAAGCAAGTGTTAGGAAACTAAACTAAAAAAAAACTAGTGTAAAAAAGTTCAAATTACTAACGAATTTGCGAGTGCTATTATCTTGACAGCAGCTGTGTAATTCCCGCAGAGCTTCCGTCGGGAAAAGCTCTTCCATATGACATTGGCCGTATCAAAAGTCGCTAGATATAAAAAACGGGTAATCTCGATCGTGTTCCTAGTTGTTTACCGAGCGTGAACGCAGGCGGAGATTAGCGGAGGGAGCACCGGGCGAAGAAGGGAACATGGCACTCAAGTTCGCAGCGAATCTGAACTTTTTGTTCACGGAGAGGGCGGCGACGATCGCGGAGCGGATCCGCTTGGCCCACCAAAGCGGATTCCGGGCGGTGGAGATCCCCTATCCGGAGGGCGAAACCGGCGACGTGGTGGCCGCCGTTAAGGAGACGGGCGTGGTGGTCAGCCTGGTGAACCTGGCCTTCGACAAAACCGACGACCAGTTGCGCTTCGGTTCCACCAGTGTTCCAGGATCGGAGAAGCTCTTCCGCAGCCAATTGGATGCCACCATCGAGTTCGCCCGCCAGGTGAACTGCGGCAAGATCCATCTCACCGCTGGACTCTTGAAGGCGGGTGGCCAGGAGAGTGACTACACCAAAACGTACACCTCGAACCTGAAGATCGCCGCCGATAGCTTAAAGGCCAGCAAGATGGTCGGCGTGATCGAGCCAATTAACAAGTACGCCGTTCCCGGTTATTTCATGAATTCGTATGCCAAGGCCGCTGGAGTTCTGGCCGCCGTTGGAGCGGAGAACATCCGGCTTCTGGCCGATCTCTACCACCTGCAGCACCTGCACGGCAACGTGTCCAAGACGCTCGAGGAGTACAAGGCCCTCATTGGTCACTTCCAGATCGCCCAGGTGCCGCATCGCCACGAACCGGATGTCTCCGGTGAACTGGACTACGGCTACGTGTTCAAGGCTCTCCAAGAATTCGGTTACAACGACTGGGTGGGCTGCGAATACAAGCCCAAGACGACAACTGTTGAGGGACTGGGATGGGTCTCCAAGCTGGGCTACACACTCTGATCAGATCAAGCGGACTCCAAGGATTGCATTTACGCACATGTATTTACACTTTTTACAAAACATAAAGCTGGTTGAACCAATGTACCTATTTTATTGCATTTGATGTTTTGAGAAGCTCTTAGCTGCTTTAAACTATTTTTAAAATGGTTATATGATGGGATTATCCTTGTCATGCTTCCGTCAAAAGGTCACGGAATTGACCTACAGCAAGTGTGGAAAGAACAGTAGCTACGCACACACGATTAGATAAGATTAGATAGTCGACAGATTCGCGTATCTCTTTAGGTGTCACTCTGGCTGCTGATCACCCGCTTGGCGTACTCTGCAATGTGGAGCACGCCATGTTCCAGGGAGGCGATGTGCAGGTTGCTCCCGTTGCAGAAGACCGTGTTGATGTGCGGATTATGCAGCTCGGCCACCAATGTGGAGCAGGCCGTCGAGGAGTCCCCCGTGGACTTGAGCATTTTCTAGAACAGAAAAAAGGGTTTACCAAGGCATAGTAGCGAGGGAATTTAAATCTGATTATACGAGTAGGTCCTCAGAAATTGGACGATACGTAAACGTTTTGTTTATTTAGAAAAATTTATCAAACACCCATAATAACCTAGTCAATATAAAGATCAAACCCGGAAGACTTGCACTAATAATCCCATTTAAGATGTATTTGATTGCTTGTAAAACATTAGCTAAAAGCCAGCTCACTTTTCCCAAAGGTTGAACTCTCAATAACTTTTACTGATTATAAATCGAAAAGGTGCTCGGAGTGCATTTAGAATGAGTAAAAACGTAAATTCAGATTACTAATACATACTACTATTACAGTAGTAGTAACAAAACTGATAATGTTTGTCCTCATTAAGTATTGCCTAACTTTAACCTGGGTTTTCGTCCCATACTAACATTAAACCAACATTTAATAGCCCCAAAACCGCAAAACTATTATGATTTCGGCATGGACTCTTTTGTCTATTCTACTCCTATCTCGATTTTGTGGCTAGCGCTTGTCAAGATAATGTTATATAACACGCCCTTAAACGTATTTTAAGATTTATGATAAAACTGCTATGCAAGCGAGATGAGATTTTCAGTTTCTGATGGTCCTATCCTAATGGTACGTACATATATGCAACTTTTATTTTTTTTCATATGCCGATATATTCAGAGTCGGAATAATTCTTCTTCCTTTTCTTTTTTAGTTTCAACAAGTGGTGTAATAAAGGTATCCGCACTGCAGTCAAAAACCTGCCGTGAAGCTTCGAATGACTCACCATCCAAAACTCGTTTCCAGGCAGAGCGTTACCATCCCATGCGTAGGACACCACGAGCAGCATGTCCGCGTGCTCGGGGTCACTCAACTTCTGTGCCGGATTGCGCTTGGATATGAGCACCCTGATGCCGCCTGCTGGATGGCCTGGTATCTTCACCAGCGACCCGTTTCGCAAGCCGCCGCAGTCGGTGATCGAGAACCAGGAGAAGTGCACAAGTCCCACGTTACTAAGCCGCTTTCCCAGCGTGCGCATGCGCTGCTCGAAGGCCTCCAGAAAGATGCGCTCCTGCTGGGGAGCCGCCTTCCATACGCCCAAGCCGAAGCCCACCACATGGATGTAGGTCAGCTTGCCGACCTGCTGAGCCCTCGCCTGCGCTTCCAGGAGCAGCATATCGAAGCTGATGGCGTAGCGCCGTTTCATCACTAGATTGTCGAAGACGTCCTGCTTGTTTTTGGAGGGCCCAAACCGCCGGTTGTCAATGGTGGCCTCGCCGTGAATGAGGTCACGTGTGGCATAGAATCCGCGCCACAGGCGCCGATAATCCTCTTCCCGCGTTCCGGCTGGTTTATCCAAGGCCATCCCGTAGCCCCGTTCCGCAGTGTTCTGCTGGCGTGCTATCACAATGTCCTGGAACTCCATGAGATTGCGTCGCGACAGCCGGGCTCCAATCATGCCCACAATGACCCCGCTCTGTTGCAGAGTTTTGGACTTCGGATCGACGCGTCCGCAATTGGCCCGCTCGCCCTCGTTGATGAACTCCGTGTGGGAACTCACGGAGAGCAGGGCGGACAGCTTGACGTCGTCGTAACTGAGCACGTTGGCTAGCACTAAAGGTGCCTTCTCTTCCGGGGTGCCCACCGGTTCGAAGCCACTGGCACCGGTCTCGCCACTGAGCAGCAGGAACTTGTCATTGCGGGCAAAGAAGCTGGCGCAGCGCTTCTCCAGCAGGCGTTGCACAAACCCGCACAGGGAAAGAGGCTGGTAGATGGGCTTCTCCACGGAATTTCCTACAATTGCATAAATAGTTAACTTTGAGATTTAAGATGCGAAGCAAGTAGACCCACCCCAACGACACTTGTGCTCCAGGTACTGCAGATAGAGGCCCAGAGTACGTTCATGTATCACCGGATAAACGGAGGACACCTGCTCGTTAATCGCGCCCATCCGCTGGGGAGATTGCCTTTTTACGCGGACGCTCTCCACGCCAAACTAAAAGGCAATATAAATCAGATTTGGAGGGACTGACTGTATGGGTCGGTTTTAGCCCACCTCCAGGGGAAACTCCCTAGACCTGTCCATCAGCTCGCGCAGATCATCATCACCAGCAACAGGCTTCTTCACCTGCCGGCAATCTTTTAGCAATTTACGTCCAAAATCAGTTAGTGGCTGACGATCTCCGATGACCGCTGGCCAAACCTGATCCACTTCAGCTCCGAAGGTAGTCATGGCGCTTAAATGCGTTATGGTTCAATTTCACAATTGTATTTAAATTTGTTGGCGGTGGAGGCGTCATTTTATATGAGAAATGCATTAGTGATGGACTAACAATGAAAGTACAAGTGAAATAATCATGATACCACTTATGATGCTGAATAAGTCTGGCAACTCCAAGTCAGTCTAATTATTAACAACTTTACGAAATGATACCAGCATTGCAGTCATAAAAAACTTTAGGAAATGCTAAAGATGTTCATTTTCCTATTTTAGTTATGGTTTACAACGAATATATATTGGAAACCTGGCCGATTTAAAATGGCATCAAGCTTATCGGATGAGATTTTAGTTACCGGGGCGCCAAAATTTGAGGACATATTTTTGTTAATAGGCCCAAAACAAAAACTTATTAACTAAAATTTTTCTATATCTCACACCGTTTACGAAGTATCGAGCCTTAAATGTCGGATTATAGTGCGCGCATTACACATTTCTTTACTAAAAAGTGTTTATTTTGTGCCAATTAACAAAAATATGTCCTCAAATCTTGGCGCCCCGGTAACTAAAATATTGCCGCTTATCGATAGTATCGGAGAAAAAATACTCTTGGTTCCAGCTCTAGCCTCTGCCGCGGCCGGCTCTACCGCAGTTATCGATAGTATCGCTCTAACATTGTTCTTTGTTCCAGCTCTAGCAGATCCCGGTTGCCAAAAAATTAATGTGCATTTTTTTTACGGAACCGCGAGTTCGAGAGCCGAGCCACCAGCGTTAGGATTGCCGAGAAAGCCCGCCATTGCGCTGAGTAAGTTGCGTTGGCCGGAAAACGGTCGGGAAAGCGGAGAAAAGCGCGACAGACGGTGGAAATTGCGCGCGGCAAAAGGCCAGCGACAAGCCACACACAGACGCGCGCGTATGCACACACCTACATACCCGCACAAAGCCGACGCACACACAGACGCACAGCGCATGCAGAAACCGAAACACAAACAAAAAGAAAACGCCAAAGTCGACTCATAAATGCCCTGTTTCTTCCATACCCACATACCCTGCTAATTATATACCCTTCTGTTGCTATGAGCGTTAATTTCATAAAAATTACGATGATGACAACACTCTTTGAAGAGATCTGATTTGAAACCAACGAATGACACATAAACACGGAAAAATTTTCGACTAAGAGATTCCCTGTTTATTATGTACTTGGTCCTGTCACAAAATGTAAAGTTTTCATCCAAGTAAACAATTCGTGAAAGCCAAGCTAATTCTTAAATTTAGTCAGATTACCTGCATATTATGAGTAGTACCTGCAGCTCCTTCCCTATAATTGTTTTATTGAAAATGTGTTACCGACTTTTAAAAAAACATGGGTACAAACACGCTTTAGCTGAGAATGAAACTTGTGCTGCTTGTGCTTTATTACATTCTGGATCGACTCGGATGATCGCCGAACACTTTCTGCATGGAAAGACCCGCCCAGTTGCACATGAACAAGAACACTTTGTTAATGAAAATCAGGAATTAAAATCAAAAGCCATTTTTGCCTTAGCAAACATTGCGAATTGGAACTAATTAAACCATATCTTTCCTTGGACCGTTCTAAACCCACAACCACTACCATTTCAGCCCGGTGAACGAGAAACGTTTTTTTCCCCCGCACCGTCAACGCCAGCAGTCCGATTCACCGCTATCCCGTTGCCTCGGCTGCCGCCATCCTCCGGGTGAAGATGTCTGTCTACAGCGACCTGGACCGCCAGATCGAGCAGCTGAAACGCTGCGAGATCATCAAGGAGAACGAGGTTAAGGCCCTGTGTGCCAAGGCTCGCGAGATCCTGGTGGAGGAAGGCAATGTGCAGCGTGTGGACTCGCCGGTGACCGTCTGCGGCGACATCCACGGTCAGTTCTACGACCTGAAGGAGCTCTTCAAGGTGGGCGGCGATGTGCCCGAGAAGAACTATCTCTTCATGGGCGATTTCGTCGACCGTGGCTACTACAGCGTGGAGACGTTCCTGCTGCTGCTGGCGCTGAAGGTGCGCTATCCGGATCGCATCACGCTGATCCGCGGCAACCACGAGTCGCGCCAGATAACGCAGGTGTACGGCTTCTACGACGAGTGCCTGCGCAAGTACGGCTCGACGGCCGTGTGGCGCTACTGCACGGAGATCTTCGACTACCTCAGCCTCTCGGCGATCATCGACGGCAAGATATTCTGCGTGCACGGCGGCCTGTCGCCGTCCATCCAGTACCTGGACCAGATCCGCAGCATCGATCGCAAGCAGGAGGTGCCGCACGACGGCCCCATGTGCGATCTGCTCTGGAGCGATCCGGAGGATCAGACCGGCTGGGGCGTTTCGCCGCGCGGCGCTGGCTACCTCTTTGGCTCGGACGTCGTCTCCCAGTTCAATCGCACCAACGAGATCGACATGATATGCCGTGCGCACCAGCTGGTGATGGAGGGCTTCAAATGGCACTTCAACGAAACCGTCCTGACCGTCTGGTCGGCACCCAACTACTGCTATCGGTGAGTCATCCGCCTGCGATTGCAGCTTGAATTGTTTTAGCAAGTAAAAGTGTTCCTTACTTGCAGCTGCGGCAATGTGGCTGCCATCTTGGAGCTGAACGAGTACCTGCACCGCGACTTTGTCATCTTTGAGGCGGCTCCGCAGGAGAGTCGCGGCATACCTTCCAAGAAGCCCCAGGCAGACTACTTTCTTTAAGACGAGAGCGCAGTCGCCGCTTCCACGGGGAAGTGGGTACCCACTGGTGGCTGACACAAATCATCTAGGGAAAACAAAACTGCCAGGATGCCTAAGCTAAGCAAACGCGAGCTGCAAGTGCGTGAAAAACGATTGTAACATAAACACAAGCTAGCACATCAAACCGGCGGCAAGCGAACCCAAAAGCAACCGGTTACTGTTCCGAATTCATTTCCAGATTTTACGTTCTTTAGAACTACTTGGATATCTTTTTTTTTAACATTCGTTTTACCTTCCATCTGTGTTTAATCTGACCATTTGCGATCTTATGATGGCTGTTTGTGCTGTTAGGTGTCCGTGGAAGTCATCTAGTGTGTGTAGAGATCAATATCATGGATCGCGTATGAAACCTGCGCGTCGCATCTAGCTACTAACTAATAGGATTAATCACCCTTGTCCGCGACTCCTTCGAATTCGCCTGGCGCAGACAGACGGTCTGCAGACCCACCGGCAGCCGCCTTCTCTTCTACGCGAATTCCCTGAGATCGGGCGACGCACTATTTATATAAGCGTAGGTTAAAGCAATAAGCTATGTATCGACCGTCGAGTCGCGTAAAGGCGACACAATTAGAAAGGAATTAAATGCGAAAAGTCGTCAAAATGTTTATTGATTGGAGCGCGACTTTTCATGCCTGGTACGGAATTTCTCTACGTGAAAGCAGCTAAAGAAGCAACCAGATACGATAAATATTGTTTAGTAATTCCGAGTTTGTAAGGACACGTTTTAAATACACCCCAGATTGGGATATTATATACAATAAAATTATATATACTTATAATTATAAATAAAAATTGTAAGCTGAGTAACGAAGTTGCGTGTTTAATGAGTAATTGCATTTTTCCAAATGCATATCCCAAAATCAAGAAGAGAAGTGATTTGCAGTTTCTCGCTTTATCGGTTACTTAACGACTAGGCATAGTATACACATAGAAAAAATAGAAGGGCGTTTGTGATTCTGTAACGGGTTCAGCAGGGGTCTAGAGTCTGTCTTTTCCTCCTCAGTGTTCCTCCAGCTCGAGTCCGTGCTCCTTCATCTGCTCGTAGATGCAGGTCGAGAAGGCAACAGCAGCTTCGCAACTAAAAGAGGATACGAAGGATGTGAAGGACGATAAAGTACTCAAGGGAGCACCACTCACTGATCCTCGGGCAACTCGATCCCCTCGCACTTGTCAACCACCTCGGCGGGGGCGTCCTCCTTCTCCGCGTCGGGCTTACTGATGTGCTTCACCAGCTCCAGGGCGTGCTCCTTGCTCAGCTTGCCGGACTCATCCACCTGCAATGGAGCGGAGATGGTGACTCTGTTGCCAAACCAGCCGGAGCAGCACTTACAATCTGGAACTTCTTCATCACGCAGGACTGCAGGCACTTGGCCTCGTGGGTTTCCGGTTCCTCGTGCTTCAGCATCTTCTCCACATCCTCTGCGGAGGAATGCAATCGTTACTACTTATGAAACATATGGTTTTGATTTTTACAAGTGAGCGATGTTAAATAATTTTGATTTCTTTATTAGGCTGCTCCATTTTTTTCCACTATAAAGTTTATAATATTTATTTCTTCAATTATAAATTATTGCCGTCCAATGTTAATTTCAATGCAGAGCTTTTGATCATCTTTTAACCTCTTGATATCCTTTTATTAACTTAAACGTTTTAATAAAATTAAAAGAATACAAATTATAATTTTTTTTCGGTTTAAACATTTTAGAATGTTTGTCGTTGATTTTGTTTTTAAAACTTTCGAGAAAAACAATTAATTAAAATGTAAGTATTTCCATCAACGTAATAATTTAATTCGGTCCACTGATTTGCTTAGTTAAATTTCTTTAACTCTTCCAAAAAGACAAGATAAAATATAAATAATAAATAAAAGTTTATCCATAAGTTCGTAGGTTAACCTGAATTTTTTTAATTTGAATATTTTTGAAGACTTGATAAATATCCTTTTGTCCTTCTATTATTTTCAAAATGATTTTGGGTCATTGAATTCGTTTAGGTTTTTTTTATTTTTAGTTTTGTAGGAGCATGAGGACAACTTACCATCGGTGGCGCCCGTCTCCGCCTTGCACTCGTTGGCCAACTGGGCGGCGTGGTCCTTGCTCATCTCCTCGTGCGGCTTGGCAATGGAGGCTCCCAGGTGGCACACCAGGACCAGGAGGACCACGACGGACAGACTAACCGGACGCGACATTTCGAATTGCGATTGAACGGTGCGACGAGCGAACTGAGAATTGGATGCAAATCAGCGACGACGTCGTCGTTTTATAGGGGGAAACCTGAGGCTGGGATCCCGTGATTGACTTGGCAGATCAAATCCATCGGCGATCTCCAGCCGCGTCTCAAGCAGCTCCGGCAATTACTCGCAATTATGAACTACATGGGCAGCACATGACACTCCACAATTCCGTTCTCCGTTCTCCGCCGCCGCCGCCGCTGGACGGGATCTCCGCCGGAGATGCCCTCGACTGGGCATCGTGTGAACAAGTGACACTCCACACACTCCACACTCCACACGCCGCCTAACTGGGCGATCGTCCAGCGATCTCCTCTCCACTTAACTGCCTAATTGGTCACTGGCATGAAATCAGACAGCAAATCAGTGAAAATCGAAATGGAAATGAAAATGCAAAATTCCGCTTGTAATTAAATCGATCAACAGCTCTCCGGGTGCGAGATGAGTGATTGTGTCTGAAGCTATTATATTATTATATATGCATTCATATAGCGCACATGCACAGGTAGTTTGGGAGCCTGCTTTTGACAGCCAACGGGGCAAATTGGCCGTTTAGGCCATAGTATACCCTTGATCTGCCCGTCGGCTTCCCAGTTTTCGAGTTTCCGAGTTCCCAGTTTGTCTGTTAGCTCGATAACTTTCTGAGTTGATTCGCTCGTTGGCAATCTGTTTTTCAGGCTGTTTGCTTTTCCATTCAGCGGAAATTTGAGTGCACGCAATCCCCCTTTGGATCCCAACAGCTGGAACTGGATTATAACCAATATCGTGTGGGCATGTTGCATGATCACTTTTTTATGGCAATTGGCCTAAAGAAGGTTTACTCGGGTGCGATAAGATCCGCAGCAAAATTACGTTAACAAGTAGGAAGTCTATATAGTTTAAATAATAACAAATTAAGAACTATTCATGTTAAATCAGCCATGAAAATGAGGTAGTAACAGTCTGTTTTATTTAAAAGAAATTATTTAAGGCTTTGTAGCAGAAATAGTTACATACAAAGAACTTTGGCTTATCCACTCTCATGCCGAAGTAGCAAATGAATCTTGTACATTTTATTCTAGTTTAGTATAAATAAAGAATAAAGATGGCATACTATATACCCAAGTGGACTACTGAGAGGGTATACTGTACAATAAATGGGTGTAAGTAGACTGATCGCCTGAAGTTCCTCCACAGGTTTCCAGATTAAAGGTTCATTCCAATCCGATTGTGACTACCTGAAGTGAACTGACACTTTGATGGGTAGTTTTAACGATCCGAAAGATCGTCTTTCGAGCGTGACTTGTGTGGGCGACACTGAACTAATGAACTTGACTTGGGAAAAATCGCAGTGATCAGCAAAATGAAGCGGAGAGAGCCCACGTGCAGAAGATGGTAAGGTCATGGGCCACCATATAGCCACTATATAAGCCAAGAGGCAGAACCCAAAGAGCAAGCAAGCAAACAGAAACGACGATGAAGCCATCCACTGTGCCGCTGATCACCGTCTTGCTTGGAGCTCTGCTGCAGATGCACTGCATCCGTGGCCAGGGCCAACCCTTCGATATCACCAAACTGCTGCCGAAGAGCGGAACGGAGACCATTTGGTCGGTGATCGATCGCAATCTGCCGCAGGTGCAGGGGATGATCAACGCGGCCAGGAGCGAGTGCGTCCAGAAGCTGGGCTTGCCCAAGGACCAGCGTCCGCTGATCAGGGTCACCGATCCCAGCGAGAAGGAGAAGTGCCTGGCGGAGTGCGTGCTCAAGAAGATCAAGCTGGTCAGTGGATAGTCAATAGGAATTGCAGGATAGAAGCAATCCCCTTTTGTAATATTCATTTGCAGATGGACCAGAACGACAAGCTGGACATCGGCCAGGTGGAGAAGCTGACCAGTCTGGTGACCATGGACAACAAGATGGCCATCGCCATCAGCTGCAGCATGGCCCAGGGCTGCAACAGGAGCATCGTGTCCAAGAATCCCTGCGAAGCAGCCTTCTTCTTCAATCAGTGCATCGGTCGCCAGCTGGAGCGCAACAATGTGAAGTTGGTCTGGTAGGAGTCTCCAGGGATCTCTAGAAAATTGGTCTGGTAGGAGTCTCCAGGGATCTCTGGAAAATAGTTATCTACATATATATAGTGGCACCATTACCACATTCACCAAAGGAATTTGGATAATATTTGAGACAATATTTTTGAAAATTACCTAATTGGACTTTTTGTGAAAATTGAAAATTGTTGATAGTTTAAGTTACTTGTAATACGAGTTGGCATTAAAACTTTTTTTTGACATTTGTTATTGATTGAAATAAACATATACTTCAAACATTTTTTGTTTTTAATGTTACAGTCTAAAATTAGTCTAAAATTTGTGCATACAGAGAAATCTTGAACCTTTTTGCACCATTAGAAGTGGAAACTTTTCTTTAATAAAAAAAAAAGTAATAAAATAGTTACTTTCGGTATCATTATTTGTACTGCTGTTTTTCAATTAAACCAAATGATAAAAGAGTTTGAATGCAAACAATATAATAGCCTTTGCCAGGGAATAAACATATTCATAAACGACTTATTAGGTATGTTAATCCGACTTATCCCATCCCAGCCATAAATATTCAATGTTTCGTTGGTTGGGCGCTTTATTTGTGTCGGGAACCACTACAAGTTCTCGAACTCTTTCTAATTAAATTGAACTGTACTAACACAAAAAAAAATAATGGAGAGCATGCGATAGAATTATAGAATTCCAACCCAGTGGGTCTATTCAGTGACTTCGGGGATTTTAAAGCCAGAGGAGCGCATCTCGCGGAGCATGCACATTGCGATTCCGTGGGCGACTTCGCACCTGAATAAATAAATAAAACCACATAAACAATATTAATTAGTGCCGCTTTTTTAAGCAGTAATTCGTTTAAAATATATATAAATATATAGTAATTACACAAACTAATAAAGTAATAAAAATAAAATAATAATAACTCTTGTTCCCTAAGGAATGTTAAATTAGTAATCTCTTGTTCATTAAACACGCGATCAGTTATATAAATGGTCCAGTCAAAAATGTTTAAAGATGACTATGAGATACTGAAAATTGTTATATATTATAATATATTATATTCATTATACTCTTATATCGTTATAGATTAGATTTCCCTGAATACTTAAGGTATTCGGATGATATGTAAATGCTTAAATGAATTAAATTCTTAAAGATGTAATGATAATCCCTTCTTGGTGCACACTCACCTGTCCGTTTCCGCCTTCAGCTGCTCGTTGCAGACCTTGGTGATCCGCCGGCCATCCTCCTCGCGATCTGGGAACATCATGTTCATCATCTCGACGGTCTTGTCCTCGCTGAACTGCGACTGCTCCTTGGTCATCAGCTCGAACTGCTCCAGCAGGCACAAGCGGAGGCACTTGGTCTCCTTCTTGGCGTCCTCCTTGTTCAGCACCATTTCCACGATGTGCTCTGCAAATCAGGAATTCGAATGATGAAGTGGGTGGAGTACTTAGCCCACGAATGATTTGTATTACCTCTCAGTGGCTTGGGAGTGCAGCTATCGCCGAAGGGTTCTATCAACTCCACCACCTCGCTGACGGTCATGGACACCTCCTCCTCGGCATCCGCGGATCCCATTAGGATTCCGGCGCAGGCCAGTGCCACCAGAAGGGTCGTCAGCGTTCTTGTCATCCTAATCATGCGGCTGCACTGCATCATACTCACGGCTCGCTGTGGAAAGTGGACGGCCAGGGATCGCCGCCGTGCGATTTATACCCATCGTTATCGTGTTCGGCACATCCGGTACAAGTAAATCACCTCGGTTGTAGATCTCCCTCAGATAACCATGACATTGCTGGGGCGGATCATGCGAGCCCTGCCCATCCCACACCCACAACCCATTCCATTCCATTGCATTCCATTGCAGCCCAATCAAAATGATCCACAAAATGAAGTAGAACCCATGGAGCTAACCTTTATTGATTTGGTTTTTGTTTTGGGATTAGTGACACTATTATTTAATGGGATGAAGCACAATCCCTCCTAGGGAAACACAAACACCTTGATGTTGTTCTTGAGACAGGAGAGCAGGGCGTGGGCGGGATCGCAGTTGGGAGCGTTCTTTAGTCCTGCGGTGGAGTCCTTGCACATGTTGATGCCCTTGCGGTACTCGTCCTTGTAGCTGTCCGGCATCATGATGTCCATCTGCTTGAGGGTCGACTCCAGCTGGAACTTGCCCTTCTTGATCTTGCGTGGGAAGACAAACAGATAAGTCGAGCAAATCAAATTGAAAGGTTTTGTATTTCGACACTTTAATTAAGTTCATTTAAACTGCAATAGCATTGAAAGCTAACTTTCTGTACAAATACTTTATAACTATACTTTACAAAACTTTATTGTTTTCAATATCTGCGTTCTGTTTTAAAATGTACTGAACATTTGTTTCAGAAGTGGCAAAAATAGCATTTTAAACAAGAGTTAATAAACCATCATAAATCTGTATTAACTCTTCTTTGAAATACTTTGTTCGATAAGCTTGAACGATATTGGTTTATCATTTCTAAGATTTTATTAAATGCTTAATCTGTTGATCGGTTCATTATAATATCAATAAGTATCTAATACTACCTCTCATCTTTTCTGATCGCAGTTTGTAACAAAAAAATAACTAAGAGTACGTACCGCCTGCATCATTTCGAGGATGCAATTAATATAGCAGTTGCTGTCCTTGTTGTTCGGTATATTCCCATTGCGGATATTGTCGGCCACCTCCACACTGACTTTGGGATACTTGGGAAGGCAGACATCGCGTATCAGTTTGCTGGCTGCCCACATCTGCTCCTCCGTCACCTAAAAGTATGTGGATAGTATCCTTGATCTTGTTCCATGAGATTCTTCAAGTGGTTTGAGGAGATTACCCCTGCCTCCGATTTGGGCAGCGATGCCAAGGATATGGCGACACAAACGAGCAGCAGATGGAACTCCATTCTCTGAGACGATATTGCGGATTTCCGACCCATCAGCGACTCCTTTTATAGGCGACTGGCGACATGCAAATAACTTGCCATCGGATTAGCCCTTGAGCAAGTGGGTGTGGGAATTATGGGTCAGCACAAACCTCCGCCCCTTCGGTTATTTCCATATCAAATCGAAGGTGGGTCTGGGCGGACATTTCGCTGAATGAAGCTATAATCTTGCCACATTAATTGACAGTTCGGTGTGGGATCGCCATGCGAGGTGACATGCGAGGCGGGATTCTGGATGCGAGATCTTTGGTCAATCCCATTGTGACATCAATATGAGATCTGTGGGGGCGGTTTCCCTTTATATGATATCACATCTGAATGGGCATGTAGGCGTTATAAAGAAGACTTGCTAGAGATACTCTGTAAGTTATATTGTGAGTTTATTCATATAATTTTTGTAGAATACCTCAGAGATATGAAATCATTTGTTAAAGGTGTTCCGATTCTCAGAACTTAATATGGATTGGCAGATGTAGCTCACCCGTTCCAAGGATTCATCCATTGGTTCTTAAAACCTTTAATGGAGCTCTAAGAATGTACAAAATGGCATATACCCTTCCACCCAAAGTGTATAAGAAATGAGTAGGTGTACCTTATTACCATTTAAATTAGTTGCAAGTAGCCATTTGAAAGGTAAATATATTTCATTTGTGCATTCTTTCTGATTGCTGAGGCTGTAGATAATATTGCGTGTGGAAAAAAGAAATTGCATCATTACAAAAATTATTTACTACCTTAGCAAAGGGTTCATATTTGCTTTATAGATCTTATGGGTTGAAGGAATGAACAAAGACGTAACTAAAACCATTTTCTTAGAGAACTACACCCATAATAATAAAATTTAAAACTAAAATAGGTCGATTGGTAACAAGTCAGGGAAGGCCTTGTCGATTGAGTGACTTCAATTCCGATTCAAAGCACAGTCCGAAGTCCGGTCAAGAATATAAGTTGAAAGTCGTATCAAAATTTTAACCTTGTGCTCCCAATCGCGTGGAATTCTTGTCCCAAATCGATTTCAAGATGTCCGAACAGTTCAACTTCAACGAGGTCTTCAACAGCCAAACGATGCGTGGTCGTGCCAACGTAAGTAACCCAGAGCCTCAAAATATATTTGGGATCCCTCCATTTCCGAGTCCAACCACCCACAGGTTGCCAAGGCCACCTGGGCCTCGGTGGGACTGGTCTACGTCCTGGTCAAGATGCACCAGCGCAACTCGAGGCGTCGCGAGGCGAAGCTCTACTGTAAGGGCTGCCAGCAGGCCTTCCTTCACGGTTAGAGGCGATCCCACCCAAGTACAGATCCCAAAACAGATCCATACCCACTATCCTTCGACCCGACAGGAACGATTCCCCCAAGAATCCCCAGTTTCCAGATACCCAGTTCACGACTTTCCAAAAACTCCTGTATTTTGTCAAGTCAATAAATTTCGAACCTTGACAATGAATCAATTTTTTCTTTAAGTTTAGTTGGCCTGGCTATGAGCTTCGTTCCCTGTCATTGTTATTTGTTTAGGCCCGCTCCCGGAGCTAAAAATATACACACCTCGCACCGAGACACAATCAAAGATCCCTACTTCCCAGATTCCCAGCTTCCAGAATCTAGACGATGGCTGAAGGCTTCAAGAAGTACTTCAATGGGACCACCATCAATGGACGCGCCAATGTAAGAGAGCTCATCATCTGCAGACACTTGTAATTTATAATGCAATCAATGCAATTCTAATACAATTCGATAATGTTATTAACATTTTTCAAAAGTCGGATAAGGTTGGAACAAGGTTTAGAATCTAAAACACGTATTTTGCCATTCCATTGATTTTTTATTATACTTTAAATAAGAAATATTAATACTTTATGAATTGGTTGACAGTTTAGGGTTTCCAACCGGAATAAACAATAATTTATTTAGTTGATTTAATTTCAATTACAGAAAATATTCATTTTTTTTTAAATATCTTGCTTGCATCCCAGATTTTGTTGTTTACTTTTTATTGAATGAGTCTAGTAAGAATCATTTTATAAATTAATTGATTTTTTATACATGCATTAATTAATTAAATTTTTTTAAATATGAGCAAGTTTTAATATTAAAAAGATTAATATATTATACTGGCATAACTATAAACCTATTGAATAACTCAGGTGGCCAAGGCCACATACGCCACGTTGGCCCTGCTGTTCATCATCTACCGGATGCGCCGCGGATCGGGCAAGTCGTCCGGCGAACTGGCCAGTGGCAAGTGCAGCTGCGAATCGGACCACCAGTCGGCACTCGACGGCGACATTGGCGTCTATGGCGTGGATCCCGACTGCTCCGTTTGCCGGGAGAAGGCGGAGCGGGCGATGAGCGAGTACGATCGGGAGCAGCAGCGTCGGGCGGCGGAGGAAGATGAGAACGGTTGCCGCGACGATCCGCCGCCGCCACCACCGCCATCATCCTCTGGAGGAGGAGGAGGAGGGGCCGGCGCAGCTCCGCGACGCAAGTGTCCCTGCGAGGAGACGCAACGCCGTGCGGAGGGAGCCGTCAAGCAGAGCAGCAACAAAGTGCGCGGGCAGCAGATCCAGCCGCCGTACCAATACCACCAGTACCTGCAGCCGGAGGGCGAGCCAGTGCGTCCGGTCAGCGAAGTGATGACCCAAGTCCACGGTGCCATCTACCGGGTGCTGCGCGGCGTCTATGGCATTGTCATGGGCAATGCGGCGGTGAACACGAGTGGCGGTGGCGGTGGCGGAACCGCTGGCGATGCCCAGACCGCCGGCGTCTCGGCGGACGAGCTGGAGGAGGAGGACGAGCGGGACGACGGCCAGGAGTACGAGAACGGGGACGAGACGCCCCTGAAGCGGCGCACTGCCCCCCGATCCTGTGTGCCCACCAACAGTGGTCAGGAAACCTCGGCGGGAGAAACGGAGGAGGCCGCCGATGCAGATGACCAGCCGAAGGAGTCCGCCGAGTACAGCGCCTTCAGCGATGGCTTCGCCTCTGGCTTGTACTTCACCAGCGACGAGAAGTGAGTGGCGAGCCACTGGGACGGGACTCCATCGGTTGCCACTGGTCTCCGAGGCAGACCTCTCGGGATTTTCCAAATTCTCAGTACGAAATACATACTGAAGATTGAACTACTTTCGTTCAAAAAAATTTTAATCTTTCGTGTTTATAGAAATTCTCAAAAAAAAAACAAATGGGATTTTCTAAATTCTCAGTAAAAAAATAAACACTGAAGAAATAGCTATTTTGTTTTAAGTATTTGAGTGGGTGGAATTTTCCAAATTCTCAGTACGAAATAAATACGTAAGATTGAACTAATTTCGTTCAAAAAAATTTTAAGCTTTGGTGTTGGTTATAAATTCTCAAAAAAATTGTAAACTTCTGACTGAAATTATAATACCTTCTGCAAGGGTATAAAAAATGAGCCTCAAAGTAAACATGAAAATATGTATATAAATTTATTTAAATTTGCCCTTGTTTTGGAAAAAGAGCAGTGAAACAAATTATTTTTAACTTAAAAAAAAATAAAATATAAAAACCATATAATGTTAATAAAATGTTAATTTAATGTTAATATAATGTTAATTTTAATATTAATTTAATATAATGTAAATGTAATGTTAACTTAATGTTACTAACATTAATATAGCCACGTCAGTGACAATGATAATTAATTTTTTTTTTCGTTTTCTTGCACCTATAATTCCCAAGTGGTTCTGGCTGATTCGTAGTGGGATACCCCTTGATTTTGGCCAAATTCTCAGTTCTCCGGGATGACCGGCAGTTTCTCTGAGAAACTCCCTCCGGTCTCTGGAAGTGTGTGTGTGTGCGTGTGTGTTGGTGAAGTGGTTCCAGAGTGGCAGAGAGAGTATCCGGTCGACTCCTCCTACTGGAGTCCACTCCCCGATGCAGTGCATCATGGGTCGACTCCTCCTACTGGAGTCCACTTCCGGATGCAGTGCATCATGGCCCAACTCGGCATGGGCTTCTGGATGGCAGATGCCTCCCTGCTTGGTGCGGGATCCGGATGCAGTGCATCATCACTTGACCTGGCATGGAGTTTGGTACATCCTTCTGCTCGGAGTGGAGTATGCACTGCATCATGACCTGACTTGGCATGAACCTAAAGGTGGCCGACACCTTCCTGTATGGAGTGGACTCCGGGATGCAATGCATCGAAACCTAAAGCGGTGAGTACTTTTTTTTTTAAATTAAGTGATGACGTGGCCTTTTGTAAATTTAGTGCAATAATTTAATTAAATATTTATTTTATTTCTTTTTCAGGTTTTTTGATGTTTATGCGACTGGTTGCAGAAAATTATTGGGGACACCATCATATTGTACTTATAACTTGGAGCTGGTCATCAGGATGCAGTGCACCAAGGGTTTTCGCAGTGAGTTCTTGAATTAGACAGTAAATAATTAAGTTAGTAATTTTAAGATGAAAAATACGACTTAAGGTAGGTTAGCTTTTTAAAAAAGAAATCAAGAGCAACAGTTAAAAACCTGAAAGTATTTAAGTATGAAAGAAATTCAAAAAGTAAATTTGATCAAATAATGAACTTGAAGTACATGAAAATCAATTTTAAGAAATAATTGAAAACAAGTAGGGACATAGTATATTATATAGTAAGAATAGTTGTAAGAATGCGGTTACCGGAGATATATGCTGATACCACCAAAATGGACTGGAGAACAGGCTGCAAGATCAAGGATTAAAGGCGTAATCTTCAATTGAACTCCACTTCACAATGCAGTGCATCATCTCAATGGGGTAAGTATTTTTTAAATAATTAGTTTGTTTAAATATTTCAACTAATATTATGAAATCCTTCTTTTCATTTTTAAATAATTAATTTGTATTAAATAATTGAACTAATATTTTGAAATCCTTCTTTTCATTACAGGTGATGACTATACCTTTCTACTTGGAGTGAAATTCAAGATGCATTGAATCAATAACCCAAAGAGGTAAATACCTATTTTACTAACCAAATTCATTCTAACTATTATTAATTGCAACAAATTACTTATTATATTTTTTTGTTTTTTATTTCATTTCAGGGTAAAGTGTAAAGTGTAAATGTTGCGGATAAAGTGGTGGCAGAGATTATCTTACTTCAAGAAGTCGAAAGATTGCAGTGCACGAAGGTTTTTTCGCAGTGAGTACACCAATTAGACACTAAATAATTAAGTTATTAATATTAAGATGAAAAATACGACTTATGGTAGGTTAGCTTTTTTAAAAAAGAAATCAAGAGCAACAGTTAAAATCTGAAAGTATTCAAGGACATGAAAGAAATTCAAAAAGAAATTTTATCAAATACTGAACTTGAGGTACATGAAAATCAATTTAAAAAATAATTCAAAGCAACTAGGAACATATTATATTAAAATATATAGTAAGAATAGTTGTAAGATCTGTCCTATAGCAGCTATATGATATACTTATATAATTTTGATCTAATCAAAAACAACGGTCTGATAATTTTTTTTAATCTCTCGTGTGAGAGCCATCCAGTACAGTCGGCCGATCCAGCCCGTATAATCCTTCTATACGAACTTTTTGCAATCTGAAATATTTTTGTAAACAAATTTTGACCTAAGATCGCGAAATTTGTATTTGTAAGGGAATTTTTTTATGGAATATTGAAAATGTTTTATGAGGTACGAATGTTCTAAGCGAATAGTGACAAAAACGTGATAAAAAAACGATATATTGGTTTTCATAATATTTTATTTAGCTGCAGTTTAGTTCAGATAGTTTTCTTTGCGGCGCCTTTTGGGCGCATTTAACTTTTGAATAGATCTTCATTAGAAACGGATTCAGCCGTGTGTTTTGTTTTTGTTATATTAGGGTTATCAATTAGCTTATTAACTGTTTTTTGGGCAGGATTTCGGATTCGGATAAGGGATGGATGGGAATGGATGGGATTGCGTCTAACGTTTAAGCCTTGTGTATAATTATGAGTGGACTTCAACTAACATTTATATTTAAATTTATATGTATATATATATACATATATAAATATATATATATATAATATAATATGGAAATAACTTTAACGCTTTGCTTTTTGGTTTCATTTGGCGATCAATCGATCGTATATTCTTTTTGCTCTCTCGCCGTCTCTTTCGCTTTCATCGCTTTCTTTTTCTCGCTGTCTCTTTCATTCGCTCGATCTGCCGTCTCGCTCGCTTTGAAGTGCTAGTTTAAAATATATGTTTATAGGTGTATATATGTGTACGTGTCGCGTGAGTGGGTTTAACTTTGAAGGCTTCGTGTGTCCTAGTGGGTGAGAGGATCCTAAACATCTGCGAGATTCGCCAGGTTTCCAAGACTCTTGCTTGTTTCTTCTTCTTTTTGTTCGATTATTTTGGTATTTGGTTTCATTGCTTAGCTGCTCTGGTTGGGGAGCAGGTCGGTTCAGTTTGGGCCGCCGGTCGGTCAGTGGGATCAGCCCTCGTGGCTAGCCACCGACTCCAGGTCGCTGTTGTCCTCGCTGCCGGTCGCCTCGGTGGGTTCGCCCATGGCCACCCGTGCATACTCGTCCGTATCGATGCTCTTGCAGAAGTGGATGGCGTACTTCAGCTTCTCCAACAGCACAGCCTGCATATATATACATCATTTGAGCATTAGTTTTAATATCTTTAAATGGTATCTAATGACAGTTACCTTGCACGAGTAGCGGGGCATCTTGAGCAGAAAGAAGCAGGTGTAGCTCTCGGGCAGAAAGTGGTCGGGTGGATTCTTCTCCAGCACCTGCAGCACGAAGTCGCGTCCCCGGAAATCGGCGATGGTGCGCGGCAAGCGGGTGCGGCCCCACACGAACCTCAGGAACAGGGATCGCTCCTGGAATGTTATTAGGTTGGTTTAGTTTAAATACCAAGATATCAAAGGTCAACATTTTCTAATGATTTTAATTTAGTAACATTTTTAAAAATTAAACCTCCTGTTTACTCTGAATGAATTTATTCCTTCAGTGAAATAAGAACGTACAAAAAATGATCTTTAATTTCTAAAACAATAATCAATAATCAATGACTTTCTAAAATCCTTTCAATAAACTCCTAGTTTCGTTCATTGAATAGAACACTTTTTTTTTCTTAATTCGGTTTATAAATTATACAACAAACAAAGTTTAATTTCGAAAACAATAATAAACCTTTTTAAAAATCAAAAAGTCTTTCTGTGTATTATGTTTTCTGTGTTTCTTAGATCAAATGCTTTCCTATAAATTGAAATGCTGGCTTCAATGCGAATATGTATAGCAGACTCACCTGGTTGGTGAACTCCTCCATCACTTCCCAGAACCAGGAGACGAGGGCCGAGCTCGGATCGAAGCCCTTGTAGGTGGCCACCGACTTGAGCAGGCCGAGCGGAATGTCCGGGGAGCCGCAGACCATCGCCTGCAGCTCGGCGGCGGAGAAGAGCGAGAGCAAAGGCACTGGAATCACCTTGGACATGCCGTCCCGCACCGCCTTCACCTGCTCGTCGAACTCGTGCAGCCGGAACCCGAGTGCCAGGCGGACGTACTCCGTCCGGTTTCTGGGCGAGATGTGCGTGTATCGCGTCGACAGCGGCACCTCGTGTCCGCGGGCCGAGGACGTCGAGAAGGGCAGCTCCAGGGCGTTGAACAGCTTCGGGTCGTCGTCCATGTTCCGGATGCAGAGCAGCCCGGCCACGTAGTCGCGGTCCACCTCGGTGAGGTCCGTGGGTCGCAGCACCTCTCCGGTCAGCTGTCGCCACACGGGCTCTGCCAAACTGAAATGGCAGGGATTTAAATATTAGGTTGCTTGATCAAGGATAGTACAAGTTATATAAAGATGGTAAAATATATATACTAATAAATATAGTAAGTACTTTATCGTCCATAAGGAAATCACAATTGCAAGATTCTATTTTTTGAGCATAATCTATTTTATCTAATGGTTGAAATGGTTGGATTTAAATCTAAATTGCGTGTTTCTATGGTTTTCTATTGTGTTTAAATCTTTTAGATGTAGTGTGTACAAATTCTATATATAACTCTTATTACCCGATGGAACTTTATTTCTTTACACTAATCTATCTCTTGAATTTATTCAAGAATATAAAATCATTTATTTATAAATGTATTTAAATTCTTGTTGAATAAAACCCAATGCAAAATTCAAATTACTTTGAATTAAGTTAGGTTTGGAGTCTCGGATAACTATTTTCGAATTTCGAATATAATAAACAAAAAATCAGTTAAAATTCCATCGGATAGGTGCTCTACCTATTTTACCACTGCTATAGAAATCCTTTCCTCAATATTTAAAGGCAAATGGCTTTAGTTTAAACCCAAAGGTACACAAATCTGACTAAAATAAAATGGGAAATGATTGCTGATCCTTCTACCAAAAACATTGAAATATCGAAGATCCAAAAGGGAAAAGCTTCCCCCCTTAGATTCGGTTACTCACTTGATGCTCAGCGGCGAGCCGGTGCGCACGGCGATGCCCATGAGGACGCCGAGGAAGCGGAACATGTTCATCTGGAGCACCGAGCCGAGGGTGGGGTCCAGCAGGAAGCAGTCCCGGTTGGCGCCCGCCTCGCCCCGCCCGTTCGGCGTGCTGATCAGCAGCGGAACACTGCCGTTCTGCAGCTCGTCGCACATCTCGGCGATGGACTCGCTGTAGCCGCCGCCGCAGTCGTCGACGCTCTCGCCCACGAACTTCACCTTCCAGACGCGGTGCGGCAGGGCCAGGGCCTCCTGGGTGAGCAGCGGCAGCTTCTGCACCATCTGGCCAAAGACGCTCTTCATCCCGTCGACGCCGGCCAGTCCGTTGCAGCGACTCCGCGACCTCTTCACCTGGATGCGATTCAGCTCGATGACGGGTCCGTGCTGCTTGTCCCGCACCATTGTCGTCTGGATGACCTTGCGGAACGCCGCCTCCTTGATGTTGTACACGAGCACGTCCTTGAGGGCGCCCAGACTCAGATCGCCCGCGATGGGCAGCATGGCCAGGCAGGGGCACACCAGCTCCGAGAAGTGGTGCAGCAAGATGAGGCGGGCGTGCAGTGCCTCCGGCGCCAGATCCCGCACCAAGTCGTACTCCAGCGGAGGATTGGGCAGCGGACGCAGGCGCTCGCTCAACTGCGATGTGGAGAGGGCCAGAGTGTGCGCCGATCCACAGGTGACCTTGACGATGTGCTTGCCCTGCAGGGCGGCCACCAGACGCGGTCGTTGGATGGCAGTGACGGTGCCATCGCCGAGTTGACCCTCATCGTTGTCGCCCCAGGTGTACACCTCGCCGGAGTCACTGCAGGCGACGCAGTGCAGCGAACCGGTGGCTATCGAGATGATCTTCTTGCCCTGCAGGGCAGCCACCTTCTTGGGTCGACGCACATGGTCCACGGATCCGTGGCCCAGGCGATGGAAGTCGCCCTTGCCCCACGTGTAGACCGCTCCGGACTTGGTGAGCGCCACCGAGAACTGGGAGCCGCACTCCACCTTCACCACTCCGAGGCCGGCGAGACTCTCGATCTTGTAGGGCAGCTTGCAGCCGTCGCTGCCGCCGCGTCCCAGCTTCCCGTAGTCGCCGTCGCCCCAGCTCCAAACGTTGTCGTCGTCCGTGATGCAGAGCGTCTGGGCGTCTCCCGATCCGCAGGCGATGTCGATGGCCCGATAGCCGAGCAGCGCCTCCACCAGCTTGGGTCGCAGCTGGTCCTCGGAGTCGCCGTGTCCCAGTCGGCCGTAGCGTCCCTTGCCCCAGGTGAGCACATGGCCGCTGGCCGTGATCGCCGCCGAGTGGGCGCTGCCGCAGGCGATGTCCGCCACGCTCATTCCGTTGAGGTGCTCCACCAGCTTCGGCCGGTCGTAGCTCATCCGGTTGCCGTGGCCCAGCTTGCCGTCCTCGCCCTCGCCCCAGGCGTACACCTCGCCCTCGGTGGTCAGCGCCAGGCAGTGCTTCCCGCCGGAATTCACCGCCACCTTCTTGACGAACACGTGCTGCAGGGAGCCCAGGAGCGTGGGAATGGCCCAGCTGTCGCTGCCGCCCACGCCCAGTCTGCCGCCGGAACCGTAGCCCGTGGCAAAGAGCTTGCCGTCCGGGGTGACGGCGAACAGGGACTGCTCCCCGCCGGCCAGCTGGACCGGACGCAGCAGGCTGAGCGCCTCGCAGGGCGTGGGCGTCTTGATCCGGCTCCCCTCCAGGCCGCCGAGCTGGCCGCGGTGGTTGTGGCCCCAGCCGTAGATGGTGCTGGCTCCGCCCCAGCTGAGCGCCCAGTCGTCCGGTCGTCGGTTGAGCCACTGCAGCAGCTGGGCGTCGTGCGGCGCCTGGAACAGCGTGTGGTCCTCGTGCAGCAGCGTGCCGCTGGTGGACTCCAGCTGGTGGGCGTGGCAGTGCAGATCCTGGTGATCACTTTGATTCCCCGGTGGTGGGGACACATTGCTCGCCGTGCTGGAGGACAGCGAGGTGGTGGAGTTCAGCATGGAGGCTCCCGGGGACTGGCCACCGGGATTTGCATTCCCATTGGGATTCCCATTTGGATTGGAATTCGAATTCGAACTCGGGAGCATCTCGGCGAACTTCTTGCGCACCTCCAGGCAGAAGGCTCTCGGCAGCTCCGTGCGGCGGATGAGGGACTGCGCCACTCGCACTGCGATGCAGTAGCGCTTGAACCACGCCCACTTGTGCACATCTCCCGTGGCGGCGGAGGAGGAGGAGCCTCCAGCAGCAGCAGCAGCAGCAGTCGAGGATGAAGTGGTCAGTGCGGAGTTGGCCGGCAGCGTGGCATCCAGCTGCATGTCGCAGGCGAGGGCAGCCAGGGTTTTGAAGTAGTCCGAGTGCATCAGGTGGATGCCACCGCGCACCTGCGGCTCCTCGTACTCGTACTGCCGCAGGAGCTCCGGGATGAGCGGTTGCAGCAGGGCGGAGAGCGACGGATCCTGGGGACGCGGCGCCTGGTCCAGGAGGAGGACGGCGTGCAGCTTGCGCAGCGACCAGATCCTCTGGGCGGTGGTCAGGGCGCCCAGCTGGGAGCAGGCGGCCAGGGCGGAGGCCAGGCGGAGCAGCACGCTCGGCTGGCGGGGAGCCAGGCGGGAGTCCAGCAGCGACATGACCAGCGCCATCGAGGGCTGCGACAGCACCGCCCGATCGGAGCCACTCTCGCCCAGCGTCGCCGCCGGCATGATGGCGAACACCCAGAAGCGCCAGCCCCATCCGTTCACCGAGGAGTCCGAGGAGAACTTCCAGCGCAGCTCGTCGCCCGGCACCCGGATCTCGGGTGCCCAGTGGGCGAACTCCCGGCCGGAGCGCATGGCCAGCACCCGACCGGTTCCGTCCATGATCACCAGCGGATCGTTGCGCTTCTCCGTGCTGCACTGGCTGTCGAACTCCAGGCGGAGCATCTCCGCCCCGGGAATCCGCACCACGCCGGTCACGTTCACGTTGTCCACGTACGGGTGGCTGCTCTCCTGCATCACCGGCTTGGGCAGCTTGCCCAGGCAGTGGCGCGACGTGCACAGATCCTCCAGCTCCGTGATGCACGTCTCGAGGAGCATGGCCGCCACCGGCGGTGCTCCAGCTCCCAGCGAGATCAGCGTGTCGGCGATGGTCTGGGCGGTGCTCGGCGGTCCGCAGCGTCCGCAGACCGCCAGCTTCAGCAGCTCCACCAGGCTCTTGGCCTCCGCCTCGCCGAGCAGCCCACCGAAGTCGTCCAGCCCGTGGCCGTATTGGCCGATGTGCGAGAGCATCTCCTCCTGCTGCGTCATGGTGGCCGCCATCACGGACATGGCACTGGCCGACATCCTCGAGTGCTTGTGCTGGGGCAGGGCGCTGCTCGAGAGGGATCCCGACATGGACAGGGAGCCCGTGAGGCTCTGGAAGGCGCTCAGCGGTCCGGCTGTGAGTGGTGGCAGTGTGACAGCTCCACTGGAGATCCCTGCTCCTGTTCCTCCTGTTCCGGTTGCAGATCCACTTCCAGATCCCGCTGCTCCTCCAGCCAGGAGATCGATGGCCGCATCGGGACTGTGCTCCTGGAGAGCGGCGTCGGTGGCATCGGCGGGCGCCTCACCGCCTCCCTGGGCAATGGTCTCCGCGAGTGGAGCGGGTGCTCCTCCTCCTCCTGCCAGTGCTCCTCCGGTGAGCTGCTCCTCCTCGGCACCTCCTCCTCCGCCGCCGGCGACTCCCCGCTCCTTGTAGTTGACCTTGCTGTGACTGGTCAGGGCGGCCACGATGAGTTGTCTGGCCTGCAGGATGCTCATGGCGCGCAGGACATGGCCCAGGGCCGCTTGTCGAGCAGCTGGAGTCTCGAGGGCCAGGCTCTCGCTCAGACTGGTGAGGCTGGGCGGCTTGGCCTCCGGCTTGGGACTCTGCACCGCCTCCGCCTCGTAGATGCCCAAACTACTTCCTCCCAGGGGATCCCTGGTGCTGCCAAAGGGCACCGGTCCGCGCTTCTCCTCGTCCAGCGTGGCATTGGGCAGTCCCCAGGCGATGGAGTGGGAGCTGCCGCAGGCGACGCGGTTCACGAACACCGCATCCAGTCCGATGACCAGGGCGGGCTTCTTGTTCACGAACGTGTTCCCGCTGCCCTGCTGCCCGTGGTCGTTGTCTCCCCAGGCGTACACCTGGCCGGCGTCCGTCACCGCCAGGCAGTGCAGGGCGCCCACGGCCACGTGGATGACCCTCCGCCCGCGCAGTCCTCCGATGGGCTGTGGCTTGCGCACGTGCTGGTCTCCGCCGTGGCCCAGGCGGTAGTAGTCGCCCTTGCCCCAGGTCCACACCTCGCCGGCCCGGGTCAGGGCCAGGCTGAACTGGGCGCCGCACTCGATCTGCACCACCCCGATCCCCGAGAGCCGTTCGATCTCGTGCGGCATGTCGGATCCCTCGCTGCCGCCGCGTCCCAGTTTCCCGAAGTCGCCGTCTCCCCAGGAAAACACCGCTCCATCCTCGGTGAGCGCCAGAGTCTGAGCATCCCGACTGCCGCAGGCCACCTGGACGACCCTTCGGCTGGCGAGGGCCGCCACCAGTTTGGGCTTCAGCTGGGTGGCATTGTCGCCGTGACCCAGCCGGCCGTACTCGCCCAGGCCCCAGGTGTAGAGCTCGCCCTGGCTGCTGATGGCCGCCGAGTGCGAGGAGCCGCAGGCCACGTCGCGGATCTTCTTGGCGCGCAGCGCCTCCACCAGGCGCGGCTTGTCCAGTGTCGTCCGGTTGCCGTGTCCCAGCTTGCCGTCCTCGCCCTCGCCCCAGGAGAACACCTTCCCGTCCAGCGTGAGGGCCAGGGCGTGCTTGCCGCCCGAGTGCACCGCCACCTTCTTCACCACGTACTGGTGCAGCACGGGCAGCTGGTGTGGGAGGGGCACGTTGTGGGTCACGCCGAGGCCGAGGCGTCCGTTGGTGCCCTCGCCGCAGGCGTACACCTTCCCGTCCTGGCTGACGATGAACAGGCTCTTGGAGCCGCCGGCGATGTGGATGGGACGCAGTCTACTGATCGTCTGCGAAAAGGTGGGCACCTTCACCTTGGACCCCTTGAGACCGCCCAGCTGCTCCTTGTCGTTGAGGCCCCACACCATCACGGTGCAGGGCAGATCCTGTTCGGGAGCAGCTCCCGGATCGCAGCTCCCTGCTGCTCCCGATCCCACTGCTCCGGCGGCCGCCGATCCCGGACCCACGGCCGTGCTGTACTCGCTGGCCAGGAACTGGGCGTTGGCCAGGATGTGCTGGAGGTCCGGCTGCTGGCGGCGACCCACGAACTTGAGGCCGTGGATCTTGCACTGGATGCCGTTGTTCTGGCACTGCTTGACCACCACCTCCACCCAGGGATAGTAGGTGGGCACCTGCTGCATGAGCAGCACCCGGCTGGCTCCCGCCGGCACCGGGATCCATGTGTACTCCTTCAGGCTGTCCACACACTCGCCCACCCGAATCTCCAGCAGGGACGGCATGTGCGAGTGATCCTCCGGGCTGACCTTCAGGGTGAGGCTGTGCACGAGGATGCGATCGTGCAGCTCGAGGCGAATCCAATGGCGACACGGTCCGCTGGAGCAGCTCTGCCATGGCTGGTTGCTCCCGTTCAGCAGGTGCTTGGCCGCCGCCTCGTTGGAGCTGACGGTCAGGGAGCGGATGCATCGCGACCAGTCGTCGATGAGGTCGCTGGGTGCCACCTGGCCGCAGGCGGCGGCGACGGCGGAGGAGTCTCCCAGGGGAGCGAGCGCAGTGGAGGCGGCGGCGGGGGGCAGCGGGGCCACCAGTTCCACCTCGTTGATGTGGCCCTGCCAGGCGGGCAGATCCGGAAAGTCGACGGTGAGCTGCTTGCTCCGCACCGCACTCACCACTCCGACGGCCGCTGATCCCTGGCTCCGGCCCAGCCTCAGCTGGCAGAGCATTCCGTACCGCATCGCGGCGGTGCGCAGTCGCACCCTTGCTCCCACGGCGATGGGCGGTGGGCGTGGCTGGTGTTGGGCCTGCGCCGCCTCCACCAACTCGATGTGGACGAAGCAGACCCAGTAGGTGCTCCCGTGGTTGCGCCAGTCCACCTGGACGTTGAGGTCGTGCAGTCCCTCGGTGTCCACGATGAGCACGGTGCCCATGTCGCCCTGCTTGATCTCCTCGAAGTCGCGGCAGCAGCGCACCGTCATCCCGGGACGCACCAGGCCGCGCACATACAGCGCATACAGATCGGCGGTCTGGAAGTCCTTGCGCGACTCGAACTTCACCGGCGGCGAGGCGGCTGCACTGCCTCCGGCCGCCGGCTGGCCCTCCACGGTGTCCGAGGAGGCGGACGACGACGAGGTGGTGGAGTTCGAGCTGGGACACTCGTTGTCCGAGTCCGCCTCGGGATCGTGCGTCGCGGCGGCGGCGGCGGTCGCCAGCGGCAGGGGATCCTCCTCGATGGTGTTGGCACACACGTCCGGATGCTCGAGGATCCACTGGACGATCTGCTCGGGCGTGGGCATGATCTCCGCCTGCAGCGAGAGCTGCTTGAGTGCCAGCTCCACGGTGCGTCGCGTGAATCCCATCTCCATGATCTGGTTGATCAGCTGGGCATCCGTGGCGGCCGCCGGCCACTTGGACTTCGCTTCAGCCGGCTCCGGTGGCTTCTGCTCCTTCCTGGCCACATTGTATACGGGCACTCCGTGCACCATCGTCGGCTGGGGAGGAGTGGCGAGAGCGGACGCACTGGTGGCCACGCCACCGCCATCGCTGAGCTCCTGGTGCGCCTGGGTGGCCAGAGATTGGACGCAATTGAGAGCGGCGGTCGCCAGGTCCATGTAGCTATAGCAGGCCTTCACCGGAGACGCCTGGGTGGCTCTCAGCAGGATGCACTGTATCAGGAGCTGCGCCTCCTGGCCACTTCCACTTCCGGTGGACAGCTGCTGCTCCGGCTCCTGTTCCCCGGACTGCTGCGACTCGGGATCACTGCGATCCGGCTCGTCGGCGGAGGCGTAGATGTTGCCCGGCGCCCGTTGCTTGAGGATGCGACGCAGTGCCACCTGGTGGCGGTACAGCACTCCGTTCGTGTGGAGCACCGCCAGCTGGAGCTGCTGGGCCCGCAGCAGGGCCAGGTCCAGACGACCGTCCGGACTGGAGGGCATCTCCCGGAGCTCCTGCGCCGGTCCGTAGAGCAGCACGGTCCAGGCATTCAGCAGCATCTCGTTCATGGGCAGCCGGCTCAGGCTGAAGACACTGTGGTCCAGGTGGGGCATCACCGCCGACAGCTGCACCTTCACGAATCCCGTACCGGACGCACCCACTCCGCCGGGCGCCAGCAGGCAGCGGCCCTTCGGCGTGAAGCTGGCTATCACCATGTGGCTGCCCTCGTGGAAGCAGTGGAGTCCGACGCGCGGGCGCAGGTCGTGGCCACCCATGGCCCCGAGCACTCCTAGGACGAACACCTGCTCGCTGTCCAGCTGCGCGGAGTGGGGCGACTGCTCCGCCAGCAGCTCGGCGGCCACGCAGAGCTTCTGCGCCAGGAAGGAGTTGATCACCGGGTTCCAGGAGGGCAGCGTGTGCAGGCGCCGGAGCAGGGCCACCAGCTCCTCGGCCACGCTGCCCGAGTGGGAGGCGGTCAGCAGGACGCGCGCCTTGCCCTCGGCCGTGGGCAGCAGACTGGCGTCCCCGGGACAGTGGAGCGCAATGCGACCCAGGGTGGCGAACAGCTGGTGCACCAGGGCGGGCATGCGGGGCTCCTCCTCGATGCCCCACTGCGCCAGGATGAACTGCAGCAGGCGCAGGCAGTGGAGCTGTCGGTACACGCCCGCCTCGTTGCCCGCCGGCTGCTCCAGCAGCGAAAGGTAGTGGCTCAGCCAGCCGGGCGTGCTCAGCTCCAGGCAGAGGCGCGGGCAGTCACCTGGAAGCGGAAGAGATGGAGCAGGGAACGAGGATTAGAATCAAGGAATGAGAATGGGATTGGGGATTATATCGTACTTCCTTCATTTTTTGAAAGATTAACAGGATATAATAAAGAAATATTCAATATAATAAACCCAATGATTGAAAAGGTACTCCTTTTCGGATTAAGAGGCCTCCCACTTCAAAATCTGATTAGAATTAGTTTTAATTTAATTTTAATTAATTAGAATTAAGTTTTGGTCCATTGCAGGAGCCCATTTTTTGGAAATTTCGAAAGGGGTTGTATCATAAAAATAGAAATAAAATCGGCCAAAAAATAAACTTTTAACTAATGATGCAGTTCGTCAGAGAATTTAAATATGTACAAACTTTTAGAGGTATGCCACTTCAAAACCTGATTAAAATTAGAAAAATCATTGACTCCTGATTAAAATTAGAAAAATTATGGACTTAGAATAAGTAAATTTTGGTCAACTTTCAGCAAAACTATTTTTTGAAAATTCCAAAAGGGGTTGTATCATAAAAATTAAAAAAAAAAAAAATCGGTGAAAATATAAAAAATAACTAATGATGCAGTTCGTCAGAGAATTAAAACAACAACTTTTAGAGGCATGCCACTCCAAAATCTGATTCAGATGATAGAAGTTATGGATGGTATTCCCTGGGATTCTCTGGATGAAAACTCACCGGAAATGGCGCGAATGAATCCGAGGTTGAGCCACCCCAGCGAATGGGAGATGCTGGCCATCGATGGCTTGGGGTAGACGATGGCCCGGAACATGCTGGTCATGCCGCGCAGGGCGTGCTTGTCCAGCTGGGCGCCATGGAGGCCACTTCCCACGGCCAGGATCTGCAGGAGCTTGGCGGCGCAATGGCGCAGCAGCTTCGATGGATGCGAATCGCTGCTGGGCGACGCCTCGCTGCCGGAGACATCCTCCCGTTCCGGTTCCGTGGGCGAGGCCACGTTGAGAGCACTGTCCGCCAGCTGGAGGTCGTACTGACCCTCCTTGCCCATGCGATACGAGTTGGTGGCTCCCGTGTACCACTCCACACGAACCCATCTGAAAAAAAAGCAAAAGGGAGTTAAGCAAAGTGAGTGAGTAAATCCCATTTAGAACTCACCCGTCTTCGCCCACTTCGCTGATGATTCGTCCCTCGCCTGGCGGATTGCCATCCTGGTCGCCCCACTTCCAGTCCGCTCCCCTCACGATCCGCGTGCCGATCTTCATCAGCTTGGCCAGGTCGGGACCACTCAGCTGCGCCTTGCTGGACTTCTGCTTCAGCACGCTGTCCTCGTACAGGATGCTCAGTTCGCCGTGCACCTGGCCGCTGGTGGCGCCTTCGCCGCCCGTCTGCGCCAGCAGTCCCAGCACGGTGCCCAGCAGGCCGGAGTTGATCAGCAGGCCGAGTTCGTTGGGACCCAGCTCCTTGGCCAGCAGACCGAACACACTCAGCAGGAAGCGGGCGCGGGGCAGCCGCTTCAGCAGCACATAGGTTCCCAGGTTGGTGCTGTCCTTGCCGCGGGCATGGCCCTGCTGCTCCTGGTTGACCAGACGCCGCAGCTCCCGCACCGCCCAGTCGAGGACGCGGGCCTGGGCGAGCAGCAGCCTGGCCTTCTGGTAGGCACTTATCATGTTCAGCTGGCCGAGAACGTGCAGCGAGCTCCCCGAAGTTCCCGGCGAGGCTCCTCCTCCTCCGCCTCCGCCCGTCGACGTGGACTTCAGATGGAGTCCCAGGAATCCGTTGAGCAGGCTGTACTGCGCCGCATCCAACAGGCCGTGCAGCTCGAGCAGCTGCTGGACCAGCTGCAGTCCGGCCAGCCGCAGTTGGTAGCGCTGCATCTGGCAGTACATGGCGCGTCGCGCGGTCTCCACATCGCAGCTGTCCTGCAGGGCAAAGTCCACGATGTCCTGCATCAGGGCGGGATCCAGTTCTCCCTCGCCGTGGATCTGCTTCTCGTTGAGCCGCCGCAGCAGCGACTCCTCCTCCTCCTGTTCCTCCAGCTCCTGCTTGGGCATCGCCTGCTGCGGCTTCTTCTCCTGCTCCTGCTGAATGCTCGCGTTGACCAGATCCTCCGGCTTCGCCGGCTGTCGCGAGGAGCGCAACTCCTGCAGAAGCCTCCGCACCAGCATCCGGAATCGCGGCGGACGCTGCAGGATCGGCAGGCGGCGCAAGCCACGCTGCTGCGGACTGATCGCCGGCCGCACCTCGTAGAGGAGGAAGCGCAGGCGCTCGAGGATCGGGGCGCACACCTCCTTGTAGCTGCGGTTCAGCTGCTGCCGCGTGCGCACCACCGACCACTTGGCCTGGTGCACCAGCCGAATGATCTCGCCCAGCTGGCGCGGCGGCGGCGATTCCAGCGTCTCCAGAGCACTCAGGACCAGGCCACCGAGATACTGATGCCGAATCAGGACGGCGCTCATCAGGCGCTCCAGCTCCTGGACGGGGTGTTCCGTCGCGAACTCCTGGTGCCACATCAGGTTGTGCGCCTTGCAGTAGCGCTCGGTGAGGGCCAGCCAGGCGGCCACCGGTGGCTCCGAGAGTCTCGCCTCCGCCAAGCCGCCGATGAAGGCATCCGCTCGCTGCTGCAACTGGGACTTGCCGCGTCCCGTGGCCAGTTGCTGCTGCAGTGGCAGGGGCGGCGGCTGCTCCGTGGGCGTGTTGCCCGCCGTGCTGTGGCAGCTGTGACTGCTGCGCGCCTCGCCCTTCTCCTCGTCGAAGGGATTGCTCGGCTGGAGGAGCTGCAGGCCACCGCTCAGCAGACTGGACTTGTCCAGCTGGCGGCACTGCAGCTCCGCCGGCTGCAGAGCGGGTCCGCTGCACATCAGGTTGGCCACCAGGCCCAGGAGCTGCGCCAGAGCGCACTCCGAACTGAAGTGGGTCAACCTACTGGGTCCTGGGGCAGATGACTAGCAGGGAATTGATTGATAATTGGATGAATTGAGGTACAGAACAGAATGGAATCTGGCAAAGCTCACCTTCTCCTCGCTGCCGGCCTGGGCCATGTACTTGCCCAGCTTGTGCTGCTGCAGTATGTGCTCCATGGCGCTCCTGTGCGCTTGACTGCCCAACTCGGCGGTGAGATCCTTGCCCAGACCAGAGTCCAAAATGCCTCGCAGTGCCTCCGATTCGCAACTGAAAACCGGGGTTAAGTAGGTGAGCATATCACATGGTTATATCCACTGAGAATCCACTCACTTGTATCCACTGAGATCGCAAACGTAGCCGGCCAGAATGATGCAGCGACTGCCGTCGAGGAGCAGGTTCTCCATGTCCGCCCTGCGCACATAGTGGGTCTCCGCATCGGCGGGTGGCGGACCACCCTTGGGTCCGCCGCGACAAATGATCCCGGGCCAGCCCATGTCGTCGCCATCGCGCAGTTCTCCCTCGCCGAGAGCTCGATTCAGTCTGTCCAGGACACGGAGCAGGGGCAGGAAGAGGCGCGCCCAACGCAGCCCACCCAGGCACTGGGGACGGTCGCGCTTGAGGAGCACCAGACCCACCAGCAGCTCGTGCAGCAGGGCGTCCGAGATGTCCGCCTGGAGGACGCGACCCAGGTGGCCCACCTGCTGGCTGAGGGAATGTTCGCCCGGCTCCCGGCACTGCTGCGCCAGTTCGTGGGCCTTCTGCAGGGTGCTGACGCAGGCGGGGATCAGGGCGTGCAGGTATTGCAGGAGCAGCGCTTCGGCGCCAGTGGTCTCCTCCTCCGGCTCCGCCTGGTGGATGTGGGCCAGCAACAAGCGCTGGAAGCGGTGCAGCAAACTCAAGCTGGGACTGGTGCTCGGCTCCTGGTGCTGCTGCTCGCGCTCCTCCTCCTCCTTCTCCTGCTGCAGCTGCTGCTGCATCTTGCCCAGATTGGGCGAGAGTCGCGTCTGCGAGAGCGCCGCATTGTTGCCCAGCAGTCGCGTGATCAGCTGCAGCAGTGGCAAGTGGACGCCATCCCCGCAGTCCGCCGAGCAGGAGCTGCTCTCCAGCCGGATGGCGTGCTGCAGCGCCGACTCCAGTCCGCCCTCGGCCATTAGGGAGCTGACCAGGAGGTCGGTCATGAAGCGGTGGCCAGCGGAGGAGGCCTGTCCGGGCTCCGAAGGCAGCAGCGAGGTGAGCGTTTGGGCTCGCTCCGCTGCAGTGGGCAAAAGGACACTCCAGCCGTCCTAAAAAAAGTGTTTAAATTATGTTTTTTATGGGTAATTTTTAGGGATTTATTGGCTGTTCAAACAAAAACAAATATTTCTTTTGTCAGTCATGACGGAATGCATGACAAAATGCAAAATTCCATTACATATTTTTATCTATTCTATAAATATATTATATATTAATAATAAAGAACGTAGGACTGACTCACTCACCTGCAGAGCTTGTTGTGCGGCTACTTGGATGGTGCGTAGCACCTGGCTGCCACCGGCCAAGCCGAGGATCCTCGTCTTGAGGCTGCCGAGGAGGCGACTGCCGCTGGCGAGGCCCACCTGGCGCGGCTCCACTCCGTTGGCGATGAGGGCGAGCAGCTGCAGGCGCACCAGATTCAGACAGGCCACGGCGATGCACTCGCTCTCCTGGTTCGGCGTCTGCCGGTTGTCCTGGCTGCTGCACATCCCCAGCAGCTGGTCCAGCAGCCGGAACGTGGGCTCCCCCAAGTCGATGACGAAGGGAGCGCGCAGCGGAACGCCCTGGTGGGAGCTCTGGGTCCACACGAGACTCTGGTTGCTCGTGCAGGCGATTCCGCTGGCGGGGAGCGTGGGCAGGGCCACCAGGATGGGGGTGCGCAGCAGCGGTTCACTGGACACGGAGGCCGGACACACCTGTTGGCTATCGTTGCGGCCCCATCCAAAGACCTCTCCGCTGCTGGAGAGCGCCAGACAATGAGCCACACCCACCGCCACGTCCACAATGCGTTTGTGCTGCAAGGAAGGAGAAGACTGAGTAACTAAGATCGAGTTGCTATAATCATCGGGGATATCCCACCTGCAAGCTGGTGACCAAACGCGGAACACTGCAGCCCTGAACGCTGCGCTCCACCAGCTGGTGGCCCAAACAGGTGGCCTTGCCCCAGGTGAAGAGCTGACCCTCGCTGCTCAGCGCCACGGAGAACTGCGATCCCGCGAAGACGCGCTGCACCCTGGGCAGGGATTCCACGAGGATCGGCTGCAGGCTGCCGTTGCAGTTGCCATTGCCCAGCTTTCCATAGTCGCCATCGCCCCAGGCGAACACCAGACCCTCGGACGTGAGGGCCAGCGAATGGGCATCGCCGCTGCCCAGGGCCACATCCACCACCATGTGCTCGGCCAGCGCCACCACCAAGGTGGGCAGACATCTGTCGTCGCTGTTGCCGTGACCCAGACGGGCGTAGGTGCCCCTGCCCCAGGTGAGCAGGTTGCCGCCGCAGGTGATCGCCGCGCTGTAGGAGCATCCGCAGTAGACCGACTGCACGCAGTGCTGCTCCAGGGCGGCGATCTTGGTGGGAACGGCGCGGGCGTGGGTGTCGCCATGGCCCAGGCGGTGGTCCTCGCCAGTGCCCCACGAGTAGGCGTTGTCTGCAAAGAGTTCGCATTAGAGAGTAACTCAAATATGTAGTAAAGAGGTTCAGAAGTTACGACCCATAAAGCAAATATTTCGATTCGCTGAAAAGTGTGCTACATTTTTTTATCCTAAAACCCATGCAAAAAGTCCTTAGCAACATATAAAGTAGTAAAATGAAGATTTAGGTACTTAATTAAACAAAAATTAATACAAATTTAGATGTATGCTGTTGACTTTTTAGAGTATTCTTTAGAACAAAAGCCTTGACTACCAGAACATGCAACTTGAGTCCAAAGTAGAATAAACATTTGCCAGCCAACTGTTTACACAATAATCTCTTCAAGGAAACTGTTTGTTTATGCAACTTAAAACTGCAACTGAAATTGAAATTGAAGTTGTACTTGAACTGGCTTTAAACAAAGAACATGAAGATATTACTGCAATAATTTCCCATTGTTCATTTGCAAAGCGAGTTTCCGTGGAATTAATTATAACATGTTTGTCATATATTTAAGAGTCTATTTAAAACGCAGAAAACATTTACAAGAATTTGCAGAGCGGCATTTATATTTAAGATACGTAATTGGAACATGTAGTTTGCATTCTGTTTCAAATTAGAACAACTGACCTCAATGGCAAGTTAAAATTAAAGTCATTTATGCCTACTGCACTACATTTGTTTTCATCTAATAATAAAACAGTCTCCAAATATGTTAAATAAATGCCTCTATAAATAATATTACGTGTAGAAATGTATGACAAAGAAAAGAAAACTTTGTGCGTAGAACTTTCAGATATAAGACTCTTTGTCCGGACTGAATGCATTGAAATACCATTGACCCTGAGTTGAACCCTGTATTGTGACCAGTACTCCATGAACCCCTTACTAGTTTTACCTCAAATCATCGCTACATTTGGGTTTACCCCCAAGAAGCCATCTAATTCTACTTACGGTTGCTGTCGATGGCCAGGAAGTGGCGTCCCTCGCAGTGGCCGGCGATGCTGATGAACACCTCGTGGGCGACCTCCTCCATGGGCAGGGGCTCCGCCTCCGGCTTGGCCAGCCGCCAGGTGTGCAGCTTGCCCTCCTGGCTGAGGATGAGCAGCTGGCTCTCGCAGCAGGCCACCTGCTTCACCTGGAACCGGCAGCTGAGCGTGGGCACAGTCGTGGATTCGCCGCTCCAGCTGATCGTCGGCTCGGCGCTGAATCCCTGCTGATCCTTGGAGAGCGTTGGCCAGCCCAGCGCATAGATCCGCTGCTGCGGAGCCGAAACAGACGCAGCAGCGGGGGCGTGGCCATTGCGGAGCAGGCAGCGCGGCATCAGCGGCTGGACCATGCGATCCAGGTGGGAAATGATGACGACGGCGGCGCGACGAAGGTCCACGATGGCCGCACTGCTCTTGGGCAGCGAGAGAAAGCGCAGAAAAGTTTCCGTGGCACTGGCCACCGGAGCACCGGGCTCCCCGCCAGCGATTCCGCCCGACTTGGCGGTGGCTCCGATCTTCTGGTAGCGCAGCAGAATCCTCTGCAGCGGCGCTCCTGTTTTGCGCGGCATATCCCGATTGTCGTTGCCGGCGCGATCCTTCTCCCAGAGCATCAGCAGCAGGACCACGCACTCCAGCGTGGCGGCCAGCGTGCCCTTCTGCACACCCAGCTCCAGCAGCAGACACAGCGCCGTGTGGCGATCGTTCAGCGGAGCGGTGCAGCGACCGCCCATCGGATCGCCGAGCGCCACCAGACGCAGGAACTTGATGGACCGCTCCATGACCTCTAGCCATAGCGATGAGACGACGGCCGCCTCGAAGAGCGTGGCCTCCGGCAGTTCCTGCAGAGAAGCCAGCGCCTCACTGAGAAGCTCGCTGCACATTTCCGTATCCTCGCCGGAGCGCCAGGCGCGTCGCAGGAAGGCGAAGCTGAAGTTGAGTGCCGCCCGGGTGGCCACACGCGCCAAGCCCAATGCTCCGTGCTCCGGCGGATCCGGCATTTGTGGCTCCACTGCCGCATTGGTGGCATTGATGGCAACGATGGTGCTGCTGGTGGCGTTGTTGGTGGTGGTGGTAGAGTTGGTTGTGTTGGTTGTGGTGTTACTGTTGACCGCCGACTGTCCTCCCGTCGCTGCGAGGCGCTCGCGCTCCCTTTCCCGCTTCAGGGCCACAAAGTAGCGCTCGTAGACGAAGAGCTGCTGGCGAAGATGCTGGGCGGACAGGCAGTTGCCGGCAGAGCGCAGGGCCAGCTCCTGCAGCTCGGAAATCATGGAACGCTGGCAGTCCAGACGCGCCTGCTGCGCCGGCGGCTGACTCCAGAGCCAACCGCTCAGCACCATGTCGGTGACCTGGCTGAGATGGGCCGCCTGCTGGGCGGCCGCCTGTGTGGTGAGCTTCTTGATGGCCGTATCCGAGTCCAGTGGCCGGCAGCCGTCGCAGTTGCAGGCGGAGAGCGGGCCGCAGTATTCCGGCTGACAGCAGGAGCACTTCAGCTGCTGGGCGCCACAGTAGTGCTTGCCATCGTCGCCCAAGTACGAGAGCTGGCCGCGGGCATTCAGGATGGGGGCGGAGGGCGAGGAGACCAGCTCACAGTCCTGGATAAGGTGGTTCCAAAGCACCGCCCCATCGGCGACGTTGCGCAGGGAAGCGATGAGATCGGCGCGCAGCCACTTCGCGTCCAGGAAGGGCAGCGGGCGCAGGTAGAGATCGGGCGATTGGCTGGGCGACGGGGCTGATCCCGAACCGGATCCAGAACCAGAGCCGGATGCACTGGCTCCTGCTGGCGGAGCACAGGCCGGTGGTGGAGCTGTTAGGCTGGAGCCCGCACCCTGGCCACTGGCTGCTCCTGCAGCTCCTCCACCACCACCGCTTGCTAGGCGATTGAACATGGTCTTTTCTCGGGCTTATCGGGTGTCTAGTGCTCCGCTGACCAGCTCAGCCCAGAAACAACAACAATGGCATGGCACATTTTCCCCTGCAAAGTGGGAAGGGGGTGTGGCGTGGGGGGGGCGGGGCGGGTCAATGTCGTCACTGGCACACGGACCTCACACACACAGCGAAACACACACGGACACAATGTCAGGAGTCCAGGATCAGGATAATCGGTAGTTATCCTGCTCCGCACTGCTCATTTTGGTATTCCACGCGGGTTACGACACCCAGAATTATTCGCTTACAATCGCACTCTCCGAAATTTGCACTTGCTGTTTTTTCTGTTTTTTTTTTTTCAATTAATAGTTGTCTTTAGCGATGGCCGATAGTTTCTAGACCGTCATTCGTGACTTGTTTGCCAGTGTTCTAGAGTCACGGGATGGCAGTCACTACTTGGCGAACTTAGCGGGTACAGTGGGCACTGGCCAAAGTGAAAAATATATGTGATGAGGATGATTAATTCAACTAAATTTTGAATATGCTTTTACTTGTAATGAATTTTAATTTTGTATACAATATCAATTAATTGGGCGGAAAAAATATTTGATATAAAATACAACATTTTACAATTACGATAAATTGTATTATACGCAGCAGCAGAACAGTAGTTAAACAGTTGGGCACCAGGACCCATAGCAAGGGGGGTATTGTTTGTATTTCTATAAGTTAAGATATTTCCTTTCAGAGCGTGTGTTGTGAAAACTAACTTGTTATGCTGTTTTTGAACTTTTCATCGCGCCTTTAGCGATATGGCAACGTAGAGCATTTTAATCAATTTTAATGGCAACTTCAATGGGACGGATTTGCACATTTACGGAAATTTAAATATTAAAAATTATCAATATTCCAGTAAAAAAAATTTTTAAATTAATTATAGGAGTGGTGCTTAACAGAACATATAAAGTTATTCCAGTGTAATACGTTTCCACCTTTATCGATAAGAAACCTTCCGTAGTGTACAAGGGATCTAACAGAAGATATACAAATATCGATACACTGGTACTCTGGCAACCCTGGCAGAAGCTGAAGAAAAACAATATTCACGGACTTAAACAAAATTATTAATCACTCCTCGTCCTTGGGAGCAGCCTGCGACGATGACGTCGCGCAACCTGACGGAGGTGTTCGTGATTATGCGAAACAATGCCTCCAAAAACCGTAGCCACTACGACGATCGGGTGAGTCCCAGGATAAAGTTCAAAGTCGGACGGACTTAACATATGTTGCGGTTTTTCGGATTGCAGAGGGGCAGCGATGCGGAGCGCCTGCTGAAACACTCGGTGCGCGAAGCGGAGGAGGGACTGGAACTGCAGGATGACTACGGCACTCCTCCCGCCTGGCTGGATAAGTTCGAGGAGGCGCAGTACACCATGTCCAAGTGGGTAATTCGGTAGTTTAGGCTGCAGGTTCTTCTCTAAGCGATTGCCTATATTTCCGCACAGGATCAAGCCAAAACTAGACGAGCTGGGCTCTCTGCATGCCCGGCACCTCCTGCGGCCCGCCTTCGATGATCAGCGGGACGACGAGTGCGACATCGAGGTTCTCAGCCAGATCGTCTCAAAACTGATCACTTCCACGCATCGGCACATCCAGTGCGTTCGCTCTAGCATCGGAGTGGGCAGCAAGGTCGAGCAGTGCCTCACGGCCAACGCGGTGCACTGCGCCCTGCTGCAGCTGCAGGAGCTGACGGTCAAGTTCCGGGCCAGCCAGAATGCCTACCTGCTGCAGCTAAACTCGCGTGAGGAACGCTCGCAGAAGTATTTCGATGACGGCGCCGGAGGTGCTGGCGATGTCTTCACCAATGTGGAACTGGGTGACCAGAGCACCGATAACTTTGTCGACTCCTTTGACAACTTCCTTCAGCCACCGGCAGCGTCGTCGGAAGGCAAGAATGGCAACAGTTACCTTTTCGAGGACGACGACCAGGCCATCGACGATCACTTCCAGCGACCGCCGGCCAGTAGGATGACGCAGCAACAGCTCCTGCTCTTCGAAGAGGAGAACTCGCGGGTGGCGCAGCATCGCGAGCAGGAGGTGACCAAGATAGTAAAATCCATTTACGACCTGAACGACATATTCAAGGATCTGGGGCACATGGTGCAGGAACAGGGCACCGTGCTCGATCGCATCGACTACAACGTGGAGCAGACGCAGACGCGTGTCTCGGAGGGATTGCGGCAGCTGCACAAGGCGGAGATGTATCAGCGAAAGAACCGCAAGATGTGCGTTATTCTCGTCCTGGCGGCGGTCACCTTCTTCATGCTGCTGCTGCTCATCCTCACCAAGCTCTAGTTTCCAATTTCCTAGTCGACGTCATTCCCGTGTTTTTGTGTGTATGTGTATATTGTAAATGTTTGAATACATGTTATATTTATTATTTATTGCTAATGCTAAAAAAAAAACCCCAACTACTCCTGCTCAATCTCAAGATCACATGCGCTCCGAAAGGCGCGAGGCGACGGCCCTCAGGTTGCCGTACACCTTGCTGGGTGGGGATCCCAGGATCAGATTGCAGACAGCTCGGCGCGCCAACTGAATGTTCTGGTAGCTGCCCAGGATGTGGATCTTGCTGTCGGCTAGCACGATGCGGGTTTTGGTCACGTTCTCAATGGTGAACTTGGTGCGTCCACCCTTGCCCGCCAGTCGGCCAATGGCACGCGACTGATGATCGCCGCGCAGCGTCTTCACGTCCTTGATTTCAAACGATTCGACGAACAGATCCTCCAGTCGCAGCAGAGCCAGGGCGTCGTCCACTTCGAAGCCGCAGAGGAAGGCGCGCACGAAGTCCGCACCGCGCTGCAGGTTGGCAATGTCCGGCGTCTCCGGGCCCACGCGCAGCTCCACCTGGCGCGCCTTCATGTTGAAGCGGATCTGCAGCTTCATGTGCTCGACAACCGGCGTGAAGATCTTCATCCAGTGCTCCTTCAGCGAGGAGTATCTGTGCGGCGGCACGGACACCTTGCGCAGTTCGCTCCTGGCCCTCTTCGCCTTGGGAGCAGAGGATGCCCGCGTGGATACCAGCAACTGACCCTCGATGCCGGTCGCCTCGTCCACCTGCATCTCCACGTCTTCCTGCGTTGCCCCGCGCTTGGGAGCCCTCTTCGCCGGCTCGAAGGCGTCAGCCTTGATGTTCTCTGTCTCCATTATGGGATCTGTTTTGGCTCCTGGTTCCTGGCAAATTGCGTTGTTTTCCGAGATAATTTCCAGCTGGCGTCCACGTGCTCTAAATATATCAAAACATAAATGTATCGATAATTTTTGACGCGATATGCATTGCGATATTGTGGGAGCCCTACCTTAAGGCACAGTAATGAAATTTAAAAATAAAAAAATAACAGCAGAAATAATAAAAAACCTAAACTGGAAAAGTTGTATTTACTATATCCAGTACTATCGTTTAAAAGCTAACATTTTGATTATCTTTATTTTAAAAATATCATTCCCATATATTCTTTGCTGTAGTTCTTTTGGGAATACCTTGGTTTTTTGTAAGCCTGTAATGGGTTTTTGAGGACAAGAGAATTGAAATAAAAATTTTAAATCAAATGCCAAATAAGAATTCCTATAATCGCGTAATATAGTTCAAATAAAGCAGTAATATGGATTATCTTAAAACAGTTTTAAATATTAATTGTATTTAATTACCCTGAACAGAAGCGTGACAGTGTGCACAGCATTTTTTCGTTATAGGTGTCATATCAGATAGCCTTGAGTCATTCAGTCGATTATCGTAATCGAAAGATTGCAATCGAGTATGCGGGAAAATTAAACTTCTTCCTGGGGCAAATGCAAAGTTTTTAGATTAATTGTGGGCACCTAGGTCAGCGCTCATCTTATAGCCATTAAAACTTTCTTGGGCAACAATGGAAATTATTTTTGCATCAGCCGCAGCGATAAGCGCTGCAAGGCCTCCTGTTTCCCCTGCACTTGAAAGTAAAGTTAAGTAAGGCGAAGTGGAGTTAAGTAAAGTTAAGTATGAGTAATGCGGCCACCAAAGGCGGCGATAATCTCAAGTTTGCAATTGCACTGGCAATTTGTTTGTTATCTCTTCCGTTTTCCTCTTCCTCCTTTTCTCACCCCCGCCATTGTCCCTTTTTCGGGCTCTTGGGAAAAACTTTTACCGAGCCTGAGATATTTGAATAAGGACACTAAAAAAAATTATAAACTTTGTCTGCCGTTTACCGAGTAAATATTAGTACGCATGATATTCACAGAGTCCCCAAAGTTTGTCATGCATTACAAAAATTAATTTAGTTTTAACTTTAGTTTTTCAGGTACTCAGGTTGCATTTAGAAACGCAACTTATGAATTTTGTTTTTCACAAATGGCTTATTTTATGATCATTTTTATTTTATTAGTTAGTTAGTTATTTTTAACTTGATTGGTTGGTTATTAGTTTTAACTTTATATCATATATGTTTATTCACATAACAAGGATTATTAACCTTGTATTTCAAACTATGTATTAAAAAATACATTTTTTCTAGAAAGTTTATTAACTGTCAAGCTGAGTGGAATTTTTTTTTTGAGTGCATAAAAATCGTGGGCTCGGATGGCGATATGAGTGCAAATAGCGTTGGCTTTCATTTGGCATGCACTCATTTGGGTTATCTGCTCGTCCACTTAATAAACTTAATGACTCTCGAAGCCTTTGGCTGCACATGATTTTGCCAGGAAAATCGCCTAAAAGCGCTCGCCTCTCTCTCGAGTTCCCAGGTCAGCTGATGAGGCTGAGTCCTGCCACGCCCACTTGGTGCTCCTCATACGCAAACCGTCCACCGTTCACCGCCCACCGCCCACCGCCTCTTTTGAGGTCCTTTGACGTTGGCGGCGTTGTCCTTGGTAGCCGTCGCCCCGAAACTGACGACGAAAATGAGAACGCGAAATACACGCGTAAGGGCTTCAAAGGTTTTGGATGAACTGCATCAAAGTTATAATTAGTTGAGGTTATGTTTGGGACAGGACCTCAAAGGCGACCGAGTATCTATGTGTCTGTCACACAGAAAATAACCCAACGCTCAATGTGAAGAACTTGGATTTTAAAATAGCTTTATTTTTATTAATGTGAAGCTTGCTTAAGTTTTAGATCCTTTAAAAATTAATGTTTATTCAAGAGCTTTTGATGATTGTGGGCATAAGATTTCTCTTGATTTGAAAAATAATGTCGTAGATAATAGAAAAACTGGGTTATAAAATGTTTATCGTGTGAAAATAGCGAATATATTATAAAACAAAATCCGAGATTAAACCTTCCTTACCTTCGCAAATCCACAACAAATATTTTTAGTTATTAACAAATAATATTTAATTCTAAAATTAAATGATTTTAAAGCAAGATTTGAGTATTAAGTGGCCCATTAAAATAAATCTAGCTTTATTAGTAATTGACATTTATACAACTAATTTATTTGCAAGGCTACGGGACCTGTGTAAAACATTATAAATTAAATAAATTATGAAACTGCCATGCATTTGTAATATGTTTTTGGTTTCTGTGCAGCATGTCCTGTGCCCGAAAGGATAATCAGATTAACCGTGGCCCGTTTCGCCTTCTTTCTTTCCCTCACTTGGCTTCGCTTGTTGGGTATTATTAGAGGGTCCAATAAAAAACTTGCAGTACAAATTTTACTTTGCGGATGAGTTTTGACTAGCGGCATGTGTTTGTGTGGGTGTCTCCGAATCCTTTTTTCTTTCTTTTTTTTTCTGGTGTTCCGCAGCCAAATTATTGCGGCCAGGACGAATGTAAAATATTTGATTGCCCTGCTGTTCGTCAAAATTGAGGTGGAGTGACTGATGAAGGACGAAGGACGAAGGAGGAGCCACTCAAACCAGTGGTAATCTTGAAGAGGCAAGCGAGCGCCATAAAGTGAATTATAACTGAGAGAACAATATCATGTCTTTTTATGTTTTTTTTTTTTTTTTTTGTATGGCAGAGAAGTGTTGTTGCAGAACTAAAACTATTAACCTATAAACCTAAATTTCCGAAATTGTTTACCTTATTTTTGGGAAAAAAAAAGAAAAGAACAGTTGGTTGTTTTTTACATATTGGGAAGGATATATTTGAGCACAATTTAAATTAAATACATTATAGAAGTATACATTTATACTTCAGTTGTTTTTGATCTGCTCAATAAAATACAAGTTTTGCTTTTATATTATTTACATTTTTGAATTACTTTCATACAATTAAATACTCTCAGTTGTGAAACTGGTATCTTATGGGCCTTTGATTTGACCTTACTTCCTCGGAAAATCACCTCAAGTGAACCCCTTCCCCTCTCAAATTAAAGGAAAATCCCGAAAGAAAAGTCTGCGTCTTCAACTGAAGGTGGAAAACGTGACGTGAGGCTCTGATTCCCTCGCCGCGCTCAACTCATTTGGTGCTCGACTAATCGCAAATAACACACATCGATTACAAGGCACATCTTCGCGAAGGGGGCGTGGCAGGACGAGGGGGGGGCGGAGGGGAATGGCTAGAAACAGAGAAGAAGAGAACGGCAACAGAAATAGCAGCTGAAACAGAAACAATTAGCACGAAGCAGGACGTAATTGGCGTGCAGTTACGGAGGCTGATTAAAGAAGCAATCATAAAATTAAGACCCATAATCCTGTGCAATTTGGACAAACACACACGCAAACGGAATGGCAAGGAATTGAATGGAGCAACGAAAGTGGGAAAGGGAGGGCAATAGGGAATAGGGAATAGGGAGAGGGGGCGGGGAATCCCCAAGAACACGGAGTCCAGTGGAAGCTAATAATAACCGAGCAAAACCAAAGCAGACGCCACCAGGACCAGCATCGCAAAAACAACAAAAACCAAACACAAACAGTAAAAACAACAAAAACAACAAAAACAGTAACAAAAGCAACAACAACACCAGCACAAAAATCACTTTACACGCTCCAAATACGAACCGAATGTCTATGTGTGCGACTCCCAGGGACGAAGGACAATGGGGGCTTCGGGGGCTCCAGAGCCCCATTCCTCCCAAGTGTGCGATTTCCAGTTCGAGTTTTAGTTTGAGTCGAATGGAAGCTGCAAATTAGCGTTAAGCCAGCCAGTTTTTGGCATTACTGTCCCGAGTTCAGTTCAATTCGATTAAGCCTAAAAAATGCGTAAGTAAATGGATACAATTTTGAAGGATAAATATATACAAAATATATGACTATTTAATTAAAGCAACCAATTTTTAGAAATCTACTAAGAATCTAAGCATTTTGTTGTTTAAAAACTCTTCTAAAAAACCTAACAGTTTAAAATGCAATACTTATATTTATGAAAAATATAAAATAATACCTAAAATATATATTCTAGACTCTATAACTGCTCAACGTTTTGTGCCAGAGCAGAGCAAACTAACAAAAGTGAACAGAGAGGTGTGAAAACATCGGTGGCAACAAGTGTTACTTGGCCGAGATGAAGTTTCCCCGAAATTTCCCATTGATAGACCCCAAAGAATACAAGCTGTCGTTGCCTCTGGCGAGTCCGTGTAAGTGCTCCGTATTCTGGACCTGCAGTCCTGCCAAAAAGAGTGAAAGGGGAGGGGAAAGGAGAGGGGATCGGAGGAAGGGGGCAGCTGCTGCTACGTGCGGCGATTTGTGTGCCCTTGTAATGCCGAAAAAGCGTTCCACAAAACAGTTGCCAGTTGCCACAGGCGGCGGCAGCAGCAGAAGCCGAAGCAGCAGCCACATCAGATCCCGGAGAGCAATATGAAACCTTCATTAGCGAGCTCTTTTTTCCAATTGGAATTGGAAGGAGTCGCCGACGCCGGGCCAACGAAACGGATTGAAAACGCTTCCGGCCATACAAATTGTACGCGAAACGTGAGAAATTAATTTTTAAGGTGGACACGCAACAATCCAACATCCAATACAATTTGACCAGCCTGCGAATCAAGGAGTGGAGTCCTGGAGTCCTGGAGTACGACTGGAATATGAGAATACAAATTAAATTTATTGAATGCGGAATGTAATATAAGGTACAGGTTTATTTTGAATTAAACGCTTGTGAAACACTTTTTGGTAATTAACAGAACAGAAAATATAAATTAGGCGGTATATAATATAAAAAAAAATGTGGTATGACCATCAGAATCCAAACATAAACAAAAAACATCGATTATTTATTACAAATAGTTGAGTAATTTACACTATTTGTTTTATCTATTTGAATGGAAAGCACTTGTATTTATTTTTACAAACCAAAACAAAGTATGAAAAAACAATGCAAAAAATAGTTTGA